AAAATAACCATGGGACAACATGTACAACATGATCAAGCACAGCGGTGAGATGTTTTGTGAGTGGTCCCTTTCTGGGATTCCCCTGTTAAGAGAGTCTGCTCATCTGCAAGCATGACACATTTGCAACTTTTAACTTAAAAGGAGTAGGCAATTATATTAGAGGATACTAAAGCTTCAGTGCATCATATAAATATATGGCCAAAGTAAAATGATATCCTTTAAGGCGACATTTGTGTGCACTTGTGTGCGTCTGTGCATGTCAAATATTCCCATTTAGCTTCAAGGATAATTGGGACAAGCACTGTTGGGCGAGTATCTATTAAACTCAACTATTTTATTTTACCAGGTAAGGCCCACTGAGCTATACGGCTCTTTTTAAGAAGCGACCTGGCCACAAATGATAGTTGAAGGAAGTGGTTTATCACGTGGAAATTCATAGCAGCAAAATACTCCAAAAGCATGTTTCTCAATGTGGAGGGAAAACACGGAGAAAGATCCATAGAAAAATCCATGCGACCATGGGGAGAACATGCAACATACAAATATACAGGCATCAAGGTGGGGGATTGAACCCACGCACTCCCGTATACCATGCGAGGTAGTTAACATCTCGCCACGGTGCCACCACACCTCCTTAAGGCTGCTGGCATGGCACTGCACTGCAGCAGGCAGTGGCTAGCACAATGTCTGGCCGCTATTTATTTCAGTGCTGATCATACTGTGTCAGCCAAGTCAACCTCGAAGTGACCCATGGCAAGTGGAGTTTTAGATGTCAATTCACACCATATCCTTATGTTATGTACACCAGACTTAGATGCTCACTAATAACTTAGTCCCAGCAGCCTATAAGGCTTACTAGGGCTCTTGCCACAGCATGTTTTGCATGAGTGTAATACTTTTGAACAGTTTATATGTTTATGTAGAACTGCTTTTTGTGTTCAGATTTTTGTCCTTCCCCCGCAACCTCCGATTAGCACGGCTGGCTGTGTACGGTGCGAAAGAAGTTCAACATGCTTGTTCTAAGTTGGAATAACTCACTATGTGGTTGGATGTGGGATTGAGAGTGAAGACGTTCAGGTGGCGCGAGCGGGGGCTGCCGTGCCCCCTTTTTCCCACGCCCCTTGCGTTTCCCAGTCTTTGTCTGCTCCTACGAAAAAAAAGCGGCGAACAGCAGTGAAACGACACATCGATACGATCGTGTGGCATATTCTCAAGCGCAGAGCGAACACATGGCAGAGTACTCAGTGTCTACAGAGTTCTCACCAAGTCTCTGTTTAGCAGGCACTGGCACCACCTATTACACTCAGGTGGAAGGAGGCAAACAGTGGATAAGGGAGGCAATGGTGCTTTAGCACAAATGTACACATCTTATTTTGACGTTGAGTTAAATTAAATGGAATGCTCATGAAAGGGATACCTACGGACACCAAATACCAATGCATGCTGTTCTGATATTGTAATTACAGTACACTCACCACCGTGCCGTGCCGACACACAATTGTATAAAGATAGATGCATATATACACACACACTCATACACACAAGAACATACAAAAATAGAGACATGCAATCATGCACATACATGTCTTAATGATGAAGTTTCATGGAATCAAGGTAAAAAATAAAGTGCTTCCGACTCATATTTCCAAGCAATAAACATTCCCTTATCTCCGAAAAACAATATTCTGACGCCCCTATCTCATTTCGACACTTCTACGACATTGCTAGGAGCCTTTACTCTGGCTTCCTAAATGATTCGGTGGATGTTTTTTTTCCACACCATGGCCAGCAGGCTATTCTAAGCCTCTGCAACTCAACTGCCTCAACCTCCCTGCTGTGCACACTATTGTGCTGTTTTAATGCACAGCCTTCAGACCAAATCGGCTATCTGAAATTGAAATAACCTATCTTCGTCAACAAATTGAAGTCCCTGTACATAAAACTAAATCCCCGACTGTATAGTTTCAGTCTCATTAGCTGAGATGACAAATTCAGCATCCACCTAATCTGCCGTTATAACTCGACAAACTAAATCCTGGTTATCACTGCCACAATCCCCCTGCTGAAATCGCTAAACCCCATCTTCATCGTTGGAAAATCACGAGAGAATGTGGCATTTCCCAAGCTGTCTTAATACAAGCTTAATATAGGGACAAAATAATTTCCCTACGGTTAAATATCGACCCCTCTTGTTCTGTAGCTCACAATTAGATTTGTCTAATTGTCTGTGACCTTGCACTGCCTGGGAATTTGTATTGAGTCATTCACAGACACAACACCCCCCAATGCTTTTAAAATGCCACCGACTGCAGTAATGCTCCTCTCTTCCTCTCTAAATGCAACCTATCATGCTCATCAACAAGCAACACTCCATTTACTACAGATCATTGTCTTTGCCACTATTGTTATCGTTTCGTTAAATAAGAGTAATTTCATTGATCTGATTCAGCTTAATAGCATGGAAACACCCATGCTCTGCCATGTGATAAATACATTATCAATGTGTTTTTGAATAACCTTTTGGCAAATCAACAGTGGTCGAGCAGCTGTGTCATTTTCAACATTGCTTCAAGGCCACCAATGTATGCTAAATGTACAATTGCCCGTCTGAGCGGACAGATACACTCTTTAAAAACGACACAATGGTCAATCAGAAGTTGCATAAAGCATGAAGATCAGTCGACCAGCTATTTTTTCAACGACCCTTCCACAACACACTATATTTTGCCTGCTGATAGTTCCCCACTGTGTTTTCATAATTAGGGCCGAAATCAGAGGTACAAACTGTGCCGAGGTGAGCATGGTGAGACGACACAGCAACTTGCTCTAGAGTATTGAGAAATTTCGTTTCCCATCTACGTTTGTACCGTTGGTTTAGGCTAAAGCAGAGACTGCCACCTGAACACGCTGTGAATCCAGTCTCTTCAATCCTCCCAATCATGTCGACCAATTAATTGCATGTTGCCCCATTTGCTCACTCATGCTAGACCTGTGAATGACATTGACGGTGGGGATTAATTTAATTTTTTGTAGCATGATTATTTTGTATAATAATTATCATATTCCGCATTAAATTCAACCTTCTGCTTTACACATTTGTCTTGTGTATTGAGTTCCTCTGACCACTTCTACACCACAAGCTCCTTAGAACGCACAAAAGAGCACATTTAAATATGGCTACCGCCCCTTAGTCATCTGCCAGTGACGAACATGCACTCGTAAACATTGTGGATCGCAAGGTCATGCAGACCTTTACAAAGTCCATGGCCATTACGAGAAAATGTGTTCAATTATTATGCTCAAGATTTGTTATTAGGTCATAGGTTTCCTTTAATTGTGAAAGCTTTTTTTAATGCTCTCCCCAAGGCTCAGTTTGATTTATCATATTTTAATATCCCCTGGAATACATCCGTGATGGTCCTGTTGGACGATATTCCATTAACTTGCACGCATTGCCCATCTTGAACTGTTCTCCTGCTTGCGCGTCTTCCTTTGTAAAGACTTGTTGGGCCAGCATCTTCAATCCCCTTGAAAATGTAAGACCAAATTACTTCTCCCGGGGTTTGCCCCTAATCCAAGACTCATAAAGCTCTCTGCAGAGCCATGGAATTGGCCTGTCCTACGTCAGAGCTCAACAGTAAGTTTTTTTCCCCTTAAGCCTTGCACTATGTAGTTAAATTATCTTTAAGTTGTGCTACAATGCTAGAACATAGGCTTATCTCTCCATAACTGTATTGATGACCATTTCTAAGCGAAGCAATGAATGCAAATGACAACCCCACACAATAATCACCCCGATATTACACAAGGGGAAAAACTTATCTGAATAAAACTATGAATGTATATGTGTTTCATTCAATGCTGGATTCAACCATACACAAATCAGAACCTGGAGGATTGAGGTACATTCCAATTTTTTTTTTAAAGCTACCCCCCCCTTTTCCAAGCCAACAATCTAGACACTACACATTGGCTACCTCTGAGCGGCCAACACCACCCCCGTCATTAATTCACCCAGTATCTGCTAAAGATCAACGATCAGATATGCAGAATATTTAATTATCCGGGAGGAATCCGATGAGCTATAAAGCTCTTTTTCCCAGATGTCCAGGAGGGGCACGGGGTAAGAACGTTACAATAGCAAACAGTACAAAAAAAAACACGACAGCAGTGCAAAGTACAAGAAAGGTAAACAAATCACACAAACATACAAATAAAACTAAACCATCCCCATCCTACCAGGCAAAGTCCACCGAGTTAACTTATTTTTCAGAAGCGACCTGGCCACAAATGATAGCTCGAGTGGCCCATCATTTGGATATTTATAGCACCAAAATAATCGAAACAATGTCAATGCATGTTTCTAGATTGTGATATTAAAACGTAGGCTTTTGCGACCAATATCATCCATAATATAGTTTTTTGGGTTAGATCGCGACTTTACCGAAAGAACCAAGAAGAGAAATATAAATGTGTCGTTCAACCCGCCACCACCCAACAGCCAATTTGTGTGCTGTACTAATAATGAATTGGCATGTTCTGTTTACGTGACAAATCTTATTAACCAGCTGTGTCGGGTGGTGGTGGGTTTAACGGCACATTTATATTTACGCGATCTAACCCGAAAAAAACCTATATTATATATTTTGAGTGGGGTGAATTGTAGATACACCACCTTTGAACTTTATTTCAGGCAGCATCTTGCCCATTGCATGCCTCACATTAAACTGTACGAGCTCGCACACTATATTTTACTTTGCTGTGTTCATATACACACACAACAACAATGTAACTATCCATGCTCGAACATAAGGGTTAAGATAAATATTGAGTACTAATTAATTTGGAGTGTTCTCTTGACATCCTGTTCTCAAATCGCTTGGACAGTCTCGCACACTCTGCAAGAGTAAACAGCTCCCCGTGTCAAGTTGTGCTCTCACCGTCCCACCCACGAGCGTGGACGCAAGCGCGTGCGGGTACCCATTGGGGACATCGGAGGTCGCAACGCCCACAGCCAGCCGGTGGTCAAGGCCTGTGTTACCTGAAACACAGCGCAAAACGGTCACTTGACTCGTCTTCATGTTTCAGTTTTTCAGTTTCATTTATTAGGTATAACCCTGTGAGCCATGCGGCTCTTTACTTGGGTGCAACCGTAACAAACAAAAACATGAACAAGAAACATCTTAAAGTGACTAGACGCAACAGAAAAATCCAGGAAAAAACAGCAAAGTCTTCCAGAAAAAACACCGTATTTCAACGCTGTGTGCAAAAATCCCAGTGGGATGCAAGTCATTAGCTATTGCCAATTCACTGCCGGAAGAGAGCATCATCTCCATGCCATCGGCACTGCCACCAGCGTTGTGCAGCCACCAATCTATATTAACTTGCAAAGTCAGCTGAAATGTAATTGCTCCATCTCCCTCCTGATTGTTTCCCTCCCCGAATGGAGTATATAATTCTGCTGTTTAGTTTTTTGTTTTTTATCTTGTCACTTGCCAGTGCATTCTGTCCCATCTACTCCCACAAGTTTTCACCAGCAGTGCATCACACAAGACCAAAACTGGCAGAAATTTAAAGCAATAAAACTGCAGGTTGCTCCAATGGAGAGCGGAGTACAACAGTAACCGCACCATTACTAATATGAGCCAATAATATCTATGTGTGTAACGTGCGTGACGTCACTCCACGTCGACCAGCCCCCTTCATTAAAAATCATGAACAGGAGGGGGTCTTCCACATGGACCCCCCCCCCCCCTCATTAATAATCACGAGCTGATGCACGAGGATGCTCAAGAGCGCAATGGTCGGCTAACGGATACGTGCGCGCAGATTTTTCAGAATTGTGGTAAGACTCGCAAGCGACCTAGGATAGGACAGGCACATGTGCCGGGGAACGTAGGACACCAATCGCACTCCAGAGGGTGTGTGGGGGATGCTCACCGTGACCCGAGTGCAGAGCGGCACTGCTGTACTGCTGCGGGTACCAGGCCGGGGGCGGCCGTGCGGGCGGGCCGTCGGTCCGTGCGTGCTGTGTGGGCGCGCATGTCTCCTGCAGCTGGGACCCGCCGGGCAACTGCAGATGGGGGAGCGGGGGGTCGCAGTAGGGATTGACGCATCAAACGGCCTCTTTAATGTCCAACGCTTTCTTTCAAGATGAGGGATCCCAACTGCCTCGATACTCTCATCATTTCTAAGCCTCAAAAGCTGTGATCTTGTTTGATTTCATTCTTGTTTTTAACTGTAAATGGGCGAGTAAAGAGAGGAATATAACTGTGTTTTCAGTACTTGGGTCACCTCATTGTATATAAGCTACTGCTTAGAAAAGGCACCAAGATTGGTGACAAATAAATCTGTTCATTAATAATATTTTTTATAACTGATGAATACAAAGCTTCCCAAACTTTAACAATAATTACAGTTCCTATTATAATATACAATTAACTCCATTCAATTCTGCATTCCCATTAATTGAAACACTGAAGTTTTCCTGTGTGTTGTATGCGATACTCAGCGACCCGAGTTCGATTCCCGCTCACGGCCAACACCAGTGACAATTATTTGAACCGGTCCTGGGCCACCCCGAGTAGACTCAGCCTCAAATGAATACCTGGTGTGGTGTGTAGTAAACATCGTCACTAAGGAGACAAAGGCGGCCGGGCGTGGTGTGTTGGCCACCCACAACCTCGTGTACTGTTCCGGCCTTCTTAGGTGCTCACTAACAGCACTTGCCCCAACAGTATGTTAAGGCTATACGGGGGATCGTTGTCTTTGTCTTGTACGCAGTCGATTTTTACTTCATTTTTTACGTCTATAATATATCCTGGCTTTTTTTTCAGTCTAACAAATGTCAGGTTTTTGCTGTTTTTTTATATTTGAGTTAACTACTTCAGTTTAATTTGGTTTTCTTAATTTTCAGTTCCATTTCGGAGATGATTAACTCAAATACCACTGGCAGAAAGTCAACACCTTGGAGGAAGCGCAGTCACTATTGCAAGTTAGCACAGCATCACTGGAGAGCTTCAGCATACAGGCTGAATAATCGTTCACTTTTTACAGCCCGTGAAAAAAAGAGCTACACCACATTTGTCAATTTCTGGCATCTTTAGTCATGTTCACGGATTTTAAGGAGCGAGGTGTAAAAATGACAAACGCCCCACTGCCGCTGTTATCCTTTCAATGCCGTGATTGCAGATTTTTGTTTATGGCTGTGAAATCAATAAAACAAAGGCCGTGGTATTCATCACACGAGACATGTTGACCCACATTAAATCCATTTGCAGTTCATCCGGAAATTGCATGCCTTACCTGAGCCAATTTTGAAAAAAAAAATGTATAGGCACAATAGCAATCCAGTTTTGAAATTAATATATAATTTATAATATGAATTAGATTAATAATAACCTGGCCTTTAAATATAACCTAGCCATATACGAGTACCGTACTTATTTTTACGTTTTAATAAACATGTCATAGGATAGGTTAGACTAGATTATTATAACAAGGCACTAGGAGTCATCATACGGCAGTGAGATGGAAAATTAACTGAGTTGCAATGAACTGCTGTGATACTGATCGGCATTGTGTGGAGAAAACATTGTTTACATCACATTACAGGACAGATCACATCACGGTGCCGAATACATTTTCAAAGTAGGTCAAATCACGATGCAAACACAGTGACAATAACTATGTCGAGCAGCCAGCGCTGAAGGGTAATAATAAGTGTGAAATGCAAGCTGGGAGGTTTTTAATAAGCTACAGCAATTTATCAATGTTTGAGAATCAATACCTGGCCTTGAACTGTTCATCTCAACGGTGCTTAAAGAACCAAAGAGTAATTACTGCAGTCACGAAAGCTTCAAATCAAGTTTTCAGAATCTACAGTTAACCATTAAAATGTGATGCACATACCCAAAATGTTCCAGGAGTTCACAATTAGACTCGATGCAGTGCATTAACTCTTCATTACTCTTCATTAGTTTTTGTGAGGATGGTTTGGCGTAGGTCAAAATAAAATAGCTGAATGAAAATTACATTAAAATGTTACAAAATCCAATAGAGGTATTAAAATTAACTAAAACATTAATGAAATCATCAAATTATTTATAACTGGATTAATGCTTATTATGTGAGAGAGTAAACTTAATTTTAATATACTGTGTTTGGCTCTTAATAATGGAGTTCACTATCCTGAGATGTAAAGGGAAGGGATGCCAACCACTTTTCCATGTGCACGTTGCATCATCTAACGTGTGGCAAATCCACACAAGGAAAATAATCTGAATATCTGCTAAATGTAAAAAGTTCATTTTAGTAAGTGAAAAATCTAAACAAATGAATGATAACAATAAACATAATAAAGGTTTTTGGGTTAGCTCGCGTTATTTATAAATGTGTCGCAACCCTCCACCACTTGACAAGTCCAATCACGAAAAAATGTGTCACGTTGACAAAAGACAAATAAATTTCGATTTAAAGCTTTCGTGAGTGCAGGGATTCATATTCTTGGTTCTTTCGGTAACGTCACGTAGAAGGGAAAAAAGTAAAATAATAAAAATAAAATAATACAATTATCACGACGTTTCGATTGCAACACAAGCAATCATCATCAAGTGTGAAAACTACAACAAGAACATTTCAAATTTCCTTGCTGTGGTTATTATTTTATTATTTCCCTTCTACGTGACTTTACCGAAAGAACCAAGAATATAAAAGACAAATAGTTCACTACTTTAGTGCACCGGTGTGTTGAAGAGTCGATCCACAACATTCACAATTTGAGTAGTACGACGTTTCGCTGGAAATTACATCCAGCATCTTCGGGCGATTTGCCAGAATAATGAAACCATCCACTTGCTCCTGGTCTGACATAGCGCAAGAAAACGTCACAATTGTTGAACCCCATCAGGAATCGAGATCAGAGGCGGAGGTGGGGGTGTATGCAATTATGTAATAGATCAGTAATCAGCCACTTAGCATGTGACTCACCTGTAAGGAAACTGCAATGTGCGTTGTGTATTACTAAATAATACACTTCCAGGCTACGCTGAGTCTATAGCTATCAAAGCGATTGAAATTATTTGAATTCGTCTCAATTTCAATTGTATCTCTAACTAATCTTTGCCAGTAATTAGTTCTGCATAACACTTCAACGTTATAAAAATCAACTGAATGTCCTTGTTGGCAAGCATGCTCTGCCACCGCTGACAGCTGTTTGGAAGAATTGAATGTTCTTTTGGTGTTCGTTTAGTCTTACGCTCATGTTACGTCCTGTCTGTCCAATATAACACTTACCGCATAAGCAATTGATCCGATATACACTTTCTGTTGATAACTTCAGTAATTCATCTTTAATACAAGACAATAGTTTTTTGAATTATGTGTACAGTATCAAATCTCACTTTCATGTTTTGCTTTTGCAAAACACGGGCTAATTTGTCAGTAGCTCCTGAGATAAATGGTATTTTGATTGTTTTGATAATCTGATCACTTTCAGCAGTATTGTTGTTCGATCTTGATTTGGCATTCAACGCTCTGTTAATCTGAGCATTATTGTAGCCATTCAGTCTTAGTGCTTCTTTAACATATTTAATCTATTTCCTTAAACTTTCACCATCTGACACTGTCTTTGCCCGATGTATGAGTGTCATGATTGAGAGGATTTATGTGCTGAGTGATGATGCGAATCTGCATTCAGATAGGCATCCGTGTGCGTTCCCTTTCGGTAGACGCTGTGTGTTATTTTGCCATTTTGACCGCGTACAAGCAAAATATCCAGGAAGGGGAAGTGTGATGTTCACCTCCATTTCCATGGTGAACTGAATGGTTGGGTTTTGCGCATTGAAATGATAAAAAATTCACGAAGTATATCTTTACCATGTGGCCAGACAACCAAAGTGTCATCGACAAATTGAGAAGAATTCAAATAATTGCAATCGCTGTGATAGCTATAGACTCAGCGCTGACTGGAAGCGTATTATTAAGTAATACAAAACACATATTGCAATTCCTTACAGGTGAGTCACATGCTAAGTGGCCGATTACTGATCTATTACATAATTGCAAACACCCCCACCCCTGATCTCGAATCCTGATGGAGTTCAACAACGATGACGTCATCCTGCACTACTTAAGACCAGAAGCAGGTGGATGGCTTCACTCTTCTGGAAAATCACCCGAAGATGCTGGATGTAATTTCCAGCGAAACATCATAACCGAATTGTAAATGTTGTGGATCCACTCGTCAACACACCGGTGGGCTAAAGTAGTGAACTATTTGTCTTTTGTGAACGTGACACATTTTTTGACTGATTGGCCGTGTCAAGCGGTGGAGGGTTGCGACACATTTATAAATAACGCGATCTAACCCAAAAACCTTTATTATGAATAATACTGGTCGCGAAAGCCTGCTACGTGTTAAACTGATAGCAACAAAACAAGAAATAGCACAGGAGGCACCAAGACAGGAATATGAATAGGGAAGGTTGGCTCCTTCCTGGGGATTCAGGCGACCACAGGCCTTTGCATAAAGAGCCTCAGAAAAGGTTTTGCATGCTTAAAGCCACAAGAGAGGGGGGGGGGGGGAGTGTCTGGTTAATTAACATCGCGATAACAAATACCTGCCACCGATTAACCTGCTGGTGCCCCCCCCCCACCCCCGCTGGGAAGGCAGACTGGAGAATGTACTTTATCACAGTGGCTTCCCACTGTCACCAGCGGCCCTTCGATGCGCCACTATACTGACCCGTCACAATGCACCGGATAAGTCACGCTATGGCAATACAAAATCCACAATGGATTTTTTTGCAAACACACCGGAAGTATTTTCCACCGCGCCAGTGAGATTATTTCCATGTAATCCAAAATCACAATCTCTTGCCAGCATAAAAATTGGTAATTTCTGCCATCACATCCCTCGGGCTTAACTGAGAGTGATAATAACCAGCCTTGCACCACATCGCATAGCTATTATGCAAATTATTAACAACCACGCTGCAACTGGCAGGGTCGACAAGGAGTCGACGCTACCTAGGATTTAAGCCGACGGCCCGGCGAGGCGAGCCCCCTTGCGAAGGCATGCTGCATCCCGGGCCAGGGTAATAGTCGTGTGCCTCCCACAGTGGGTCACACTCTGGCAAGAGTGTGACCCACTGTGGCGGGCTGTGCTGTGGCGGGCTGTGCTGCGCTGCCGTTGAATACTCCCATTCATCAAGCTACTCGGTACCGCGGCCGCCCCCCCGCCCCCGAGTCAACACGAAGCACAATGGTGCTGCACGTTAAAAAGTACGGCACAATACATCTCTAACACATCACTTTTTTCGTTTTATCTCCCGTGAAACAGAACAGCACGGTGGGACAGAAACACGCGTGCTAGACTATGATAAACTTGGCTGCAGGCAGGCTATTACACATTCAAATGAATATGAGGAAAAATGAAGCAAAAGAACACATTGGATTGTATTACTAGAAGCTAAGTTGCTATGCAGAAAGTGTTTATTAGGGCTTATGGTTTAGATGATTAGTTATCATTCACGGATACGAGTTTATTTCTGAGACTTTATAAAGGAATGAGAATTACATATCATAGGATATCAGTGTTCATGGGGTAATGGATAGGGTGCATGACCAAGGGTTATGAGTTTAATTGAACACCTGCTGTTGTGTGTGTGCATAATGAAACAGGTTGGCCAGCGTTCCCTGAACTCCACTGTGCATGCCCCCCCCCACCACAATCCAGGTTTTTTTTCCAAGTCATCAGATGCCAGCAACAAAGAGTGACTTAATTTGAATTGCAAGAGGGAACACTGGTGAAGATGTGAAACTTGATCCATGCCAGGGACATGAGGAATTGATTCTTCAAATTGTATCCCTGCTCAAACGAATGTAGAGTGCCTCTCGTATCTGTTGGTGGTCATTAGGCAGTGATGAAATATCCATATTGCATACTGGTTGGTCGAGTGTGACTGCGGCGTCCCTCACAATCATTTATGGCCTTCGGCCAGGAAAGTCACAAAAAAATTGCACACGAACGACGCATTCACGTAAGCACCCGATGCTCCGTTTTGAAGTTTTAAAATTAAACATCTTTGAAGTGTATTATGTTTTGAATTAGATAATTTGATTTCTTCATTAAAAGCTTATATCATTTTACATCTGGAAGACTTCATTGAAAAGGACATTTCGTGTGAATTCTCTCTCGTCGTTGAGTAGATGGCCTTGCCAGGAATTCGGTTCGATGCGGACTGTCACCTGGCGACACGGAGCTGCTGGCCGTGTGAGAAGACCGCCGTCTGCAGATCGATTCCAATGTAATCGAACGTTTGTCTCGGCGCCTCCATCGTTCATGCAGGGGGCGCGTAGATTTGCAGCGCCCCCTGCATGAAAACGACGGAAAGTGCAGCGTTCATCACAGATGAAGTTGTGCGCTTATAGAAGAGTATGGCAGGGGGTAGTATTTCCAAAAAATACTGTTATTCTCCAAACCTTGATACTCTTCTTCATATCTACTCGATGGTCAACTCCCAAATGGGTTTTGACCGCAAGATGAGCATTCTCACCACAGCATCACCTGACCGGCTTAGGGGTGAGGTCTTGTGTAAGGTTTTCCCAGGCCAGAAGTTAGACCTTGGGAATAAGAGTGCAGGTTTTTAGATGTGCAGGGAGAGGTGTGGTGATAGGCACACTAGGGGCTGCACACACACACCTGGGATGAGCCTTTATCTGCACTGTACATCAAGGACATCTCCCAGCCGGAGCTGCCACCTCCTCGTCTGCTTCCCCTCTCCGCAGACGCCGGTGGGGAGATGTTGAGCTGATGCATGGCTCCCTCTGCCTCCCCTGCAATGGGACATCCACCTGGACCCAGCATTCCTGTATTTCAACAATCACATACACGCAGATAAATACAGGTGAACAAAAAGGTGATTAAAACAACCGATACGAAAAATATTAAATGGTCACAGCGCAAACAAAGAAGCGGACGTGTGCTTGTGCAACATGAACTCCCACTTGGCGTTTAGCTTTGAATGCAACTTGATTTGCGGTATACTTTCCTTTTCAGGAAGGAGGCCACAGTCTATGATAGGTGTTGCAATAATGATTGCAACACCTAAACATTATTTTTATTCCCAAACATTTGTTTTGGCAAAACAATCAAACAACCAGTAATGCAGGTTTACGAAGGCTATCTAAATTCGGGTTTGGCTGTGTTCTTATTCAGGTTCTTAAGGCAAGCCACAAGAGCATAATGAGGGGGGGGGGGGGGTGAGCAATCGTAAAGCTCCTGAAAGGTTAAGGAGCATATTAAATATGCTGAAATTAGCAAAAAAAAAACAAAAGGTTTCTATAACACTTGGGGTACAAAAGGATATGGACATAACACATTGTTTGCCCCATCTTTGAACACTACTCGAAAGTTATAAAAATCCATGCGTTGTGCAAGTCAGCATGCACGCCTTATCAAAGGGATGATATAATATAAATAACTATTTTGTTTGTTCGATCTTTTTTCCTTACCTCTAAGCAAATATATCTAAGCAATGTGAATGCAAAACATTGCTTATATATAGCTGTTGTTCTTTGACCAGACATTTCTTAGATCAGCAATTATACACACACACACATATGCAAGACGCACCGTGACCAAGGAATCTTGCACCCAAATCACCATTGATGGGTTTCAAATACTCAGGGTGGCTGTTAACCGATCTCCATGGCAACACACAGCAACAGGAAATTACCATTTAATTGGGAGGCATCCACGCGTGACGTTGCTCTCCCCCCACCACCACCCCCCTCACTTCCCCATTGCACCCCCCCCACCAAAACCAGTGGTGTTTGCAACAACAACAACAAAAGGCTTGCATCTAGCGTGACGATTACGGCTCAACTCTGGTGCCACTCTGGCTGCTGATGCCAATTACCAAGCATTTGAGCACAAAATAAAAAGTGACTCCCATAAAAGAAAAATAACTGATAAACAAAAAAATTCAACATGCAAGAGGCAGTGACAATCTGAAGTGCAGCTCAAAGCGGCCCTTGATTTCAGAGGGCAGTGCACGAAAGAGAAGCACAATCTAAGGCGACACCACCATTGGCGAATATCAACTAGAACGCTGTATGGACAAATCTTATTTTCAACAGATGAACAAACCTCAGTTATAAAAACACGCAAATATTGGGGAGGGGGTAGAAATACAGAATGAATAAATGTCACACGCACAAATGCCGTAGCCGTAGTTTGGCCAGGTGCATTTACACATGTCCACACGCGCAAAGTATCACACGGTGTTTTACTGGGGCATTTAAAGAGGGCGAGCTATCGTTAAACATGCGATGTCAGACAGTCACTGCTCGATAGACAATCGATGTTGGGAACGTCACCGCAGCCGGTCAACGATGGCGCTTTTCCAGAACGTCACAAGTCGGTCAATGGTGGTGCTTTGTGCATCAGGTGAGGTGACTGGCAAAGTGCAGTTCATGTGAAACAAGCCACTTCCAAAAGCAATTTACAAAAGTGCCACGCTCCATGCTAACCATGCGGAATAACCGCATAATAACGGTCAATTACTAAATTATGATGTTAGACAGTGCATGGTTAGTCTGTGCACTGTTCGAAAATACTGTGGAAAATTGTTACGAAATTACACAGTTGGCGTTGCAACCTTAAATCGTTCAATTTTAAGGAACAAAATCTGAGTGGCTGAATGCTCTTTAAGCTGTCGCAGTGCATGCCTGCGTGAAGCCATGTCAGATTGAGGAATAGATGTACGTACATGTGTATGCACGTACGTACACTAAAACATAGATACCTACATACATTATACACAAACAACAACAAAATAGATTTAACATTTAGTCTCAAGAGACTGTTAAATGAGTGCCGTGAACAAGCACCTATTAGGTTTTATATGGCACATGTTGGGGGGCTCTGCCGAGCATCATGCTGAGCCACATTTGTATCCCTATTAAAAACATCCCCTCTGCCAAGTTGCCACATGGGAGGCCTAAGTTAGGCACATTCCACTTCTATGCACTTCCACTAACCCGCTGCGCCATCACGCCTCGGAGTAGACACACTCGTACATTTAAAATCAAGCACACAAGCACACAGCATCAGTGAGCTCAAGCACACACATGTTCACACATCCATTGCATTTGGCCTCATGCAAGCTGGATAAGCACAACGACCAAGACCCAACCGCTCCCCGACTGACCACCTTTGCGTGTGCACAAGGAACGAAATACAATCAGCAAGAGGCAGGATGTGTGTGCTTATATCTTCTGCCTCTCACAGAGCAAACATAACAACCCTGGCTGAGACCGCCCTTCCAATCCCCTCCTGCCCTTTCTGGACCCGCTCATTTCATCATCCATCCCTACCCTTTCATTACCGCTCAATTAGCTCAAGTGCGCGGCACTGAGCATGAAATAATAGCGGTCTAAAAATAACCCTGTTGTTGAACTCGTTAACATCTTGCGGAGTCCCGATGTATCCAAGAGCAACGGATGTCCCTGAGGACCAATCATTAACAGAATAAATAATTGTCGCGTTAGCACCCGAGGAAAGGGGAAAAATATTAATGCCATTTTCGTCAGTAACACAATTTATCCCAAAAAGCTATGCCATCTGGGCTCAGTACAAAAAAAATCTGCTGAGGTAGAGTTTTACAAAAGGACATTATAGGAATTTACTATCTCGGGCTTGAGACTAACAAACTGGACATGACACCAGCACACATTGGTCAGCTCTTGCGAGTATGACAGAAGTCTACAAGGCGGGTTCCTGAGAGGGACCGGGGGCATTGCATTCTCCAAGCTGGAAGCTCAACATCTACAAGCTGGAAGCTCAACATCGACAAGCTGGAAGCTCAACATCTACAAGCTAGAAGCTCTATCTACAAGCGGGAAGCTCAACATCTACAAGCTGGAAGCTCAACATCTACAAGCTGGAAGCTCAACATCTACAAGCTCAACATCTACAAGCTGGAAGCTCAACATCTACAAGCTGGAAGCTCAACATCTACAAGCTGGAAGCTCAACACCTACAAGCTGGAAGCTCAACACCTACAAGCTGGAAGCTCAACGTCTACAAGCTGGAAGCTCAACGTCTACAAGCTGGAAGCTCAACACCTACAAGCTGGAAGCTCAACATCTACAAGCTGGAAGCTCCACGTCTACAAGCTGGAAGCTCTACATCTACAAGCTGGAAGCTCCACGTCTACAAGCTGGAAGCTCAACATCTACAAGCTGGAAGCTCAACATCTACAAGCTGGAAGCTCAACATCTACAAGCTGGAAGCTCAACATCTACAAGCTGGAAGCTCCACGTCTACAAGCTGGAAGCTCCATGTCTACAAGCTGGAAGCTCAACATCTACAAGCTGGAAGCTCAACATCTACAAGCTGGAAGCTCAACATCTACAAGCTGGAAGCTCAACACCTACAAGCGGGAAGCTCTATGTCTCAAAAGCTGAAGCTCTCCGTCTACAAGCTGGAAGCTCAACATCTACAAGCTGGAAGCTCAACATCTACAAGCTGGAAGCTCAACATCTACAAGCTGGAAGCTCAACATCTACAAGCTGGAAGCTCCACGTCTACAAGCTGGAAGCTCCATGTCTACAAGCTGGAAGCTCAACATCTACAAGCTGGAAGCTCAACATCTACAAGCTGGAAGCTCAACATCTACAAGCTGGAAGCTCAACACCTACAAGCGGGAAGCTCTATGTCTCAAAAGCTGAAACTCTCCGTCTTACGGGGCAACCACGTGGTCGGAGACCCGAGTGAAGGATCGACCCATCGTAGGAGTAACTCCCCTGTAGTCTGGTAAAGGGGCAGTTACCCCTTGGTGTTACGGTGTTACAAATAAAAGTGTTGCCTCTAAAAGGGACAACGTCTGCGACTCAGTTGGATCCACGACACATAAAGAGAAAAAGTATTTTCATTCCACAGTGAACCTTGCAAGTGCTGAAAAGGACACTTCAATTGGGTGGATCGTAGGATGAAACATCTACCCACAAGTCAAGTTCACTTTTTTTTAACCAGGTAAAAACTCGGGAGACCAGGACAGTTGAATTTGCATGAGAGACCTGACAGTGAGGAAGAGGTCTATTGGGAGAAGGGGGCTCACGCCATGTGTGCCTCCTAATGTTAATGAGCATAACACCGTTATGTCTAATAACCCTGAAATGGGCTGTTAGACCGTGTACGTGACTATTGCACACTTGGGAATTGGCAGAGTAATGACATTTTGGTTATGGATGAAATGAAATAATTTGTTATATACTTTGCCAAGACATGAAAATAAAACATAATAACCATCATTCATGTTCAATGCATTACTGAATAAAGGTTTGTCCATGCTGATACCAGTGTTCAACGCTCATCTACGTCAATCCCGATTCATCACTCCATCTCCTGCTTGTTTGACCCACTGTGCATGTCTTCCCATATGCTGTGTTGTTACTTTCATTATTGGTCATAGTATCCAGTTGTGAAATGTTCGGCCAAAACCCATTTGCTTTTTTCAATATTGAATGTGAAGTCTTCGATGCTACAATTTTCAAAATCTATGGATCCCCTTTTCTGTTTCTTCGAGGAATTCAATTATGTTGCTTTGTGTGTACATTTCCCTTGCTGTAATGTGTTTGCTGTCAATTATGCTTTTCAGCCATCTGTCATAGGTACACATTTATCATGTTTTGATATAAGTACACAATTCTGATGAAATTTCTATTTGTAAAAGCACTCAAATCATTTTATCTGCACATGTATACTGTTTACAGGGACAAAACGCCATCACGTTTTTTTCGAACAAATTGTTGAAGCATGCTGCCTCACAGTAATTGTTTCTAATTTTCAATGTGGTCATATTAATTTTAAATTGCATCGGCATTATATTTTTTAAACTGTGTATTCATGGACTTGTTGGCTGTATGACCTCGCCTGTGCATTTGTGCATGCGCGTGTTCACCTGCGTGCGTGCGTGCGCACACATTCGTGCTGTACCTGATAGAGTGTGCGCGTGGAAGCTGACGCCCTCGTGGTGGGAAGGTGGCATCAGAGACGTTCCATTGGGCATCACGTGCTGCAGGCCATGCCCACCGGGACCTGCCACCCTCCCCCCTTGGCTGGGATAATGCCCAACGTGACCAAGGGGCCCCTGAGTCGAATAGTGGCCACGGGCGTTTTGGGATGAATAATTCCCTGGTGGCCCAGGGCCTGGGTGCATTGGGTATTGGCCCTGCACACTCTGTGTGGAGTAGTGGTCCATGTGTCCTGGGGGCCAATGACGATACTGTATCTGCCCCCTGGGCACATTCTGGGAGTTCTGCTTTGCAGTGCGCCGAGTTCCGGACAGGGCCAGTCAAACCTAACACAAGTGAATGGAGCAAGATTTCGTAAGTACTGCTGTGGTTATACGTGATGCATAAACATTTAACATTGACAACAACAACAGCACAATTTCAACGTATGTCGTCAGGAAAACCTTATCTGGGAAAAAAGTCTGCGTATATTAAAGGACATTTTTAAAGAGTTGCACTTTTCACCAGGCAAGGTGAGCAATAAATTAAACGTTTGAAAACATGCCCTACAAATATAATTTAAATAATGCTAACATGAATATAGATAGATGGTGCAACCAGACTGTAGCATAAAACATATTGATGTTAATTGTATACATCATATTTTATTGTATCTTATTGCTTCAGTACATTAAAACAAATTCCATGGCTCAGATTGTGCATAGACACGTGCGAAGAAAAATGTTATATGGGCAAAGTCACTAACAATATAAGACACCTGTCCCCATGTGAGCACAATGATATCACAACCAACAATTTCAATTTTTTTTCCACATTTTCCCCATCATGAATTTGACAGTCTCGATTACTAAAATGATGGGCATATTGTTAACGTGCCCCTAACGATGACAATGTAATGGCATAAAAGCAATGACTGTGTGGCAGCCGAGAGTGAAGTGACACGGCGACTGATGCGATTTAACATCACAAGTGGGTGATCCTACCGTAGTGGTGCTGAGTCCCTGGACCGTTGGTCCCCTCCCTGAGATCAGGCGTCCTCAGATTCATGGGCATGCTTGGGAAAGAAATAAGCAAAACACACAGAAACACCGACAGATAAGTGACAGAGGCAGACGAGGAACAGGAGACTTGGGCTCGCTGGAAGACGGGGCAGTAGGGGGGACAGAACCAAAAGGTCTCGCCATACTCAAGGCTGACACTAAACGTATCTCAGTCATACTGCTCTTTCCTCAGCACTTGTAATCATGTTAGACATGAACTAAATGAAAAGAATACAAGTCATATTGTAAATTAAATAAGGCAAATTTATCTAATAAGGCTGTGAGATGGGGTGCGAGATGAACTAACCTAATGCATATCGAACAATGGCTTGGGTTAGTTAAAATTTAAGAATGATGTTACAATATTCCATTGTCAGACAAGCCTCATTAAAAGTGGCAATACATTTACAACCACCCCCAGAGCGCTAATAGCAGGCAATGATTTAACAGGCCTGCGTGATCATTTTGGGGGAATCTACTTTTTTTCCAAGGCTACATTGATAACATTAAACGCAAGCAGAGCAGACATCTCTGTCTTGTTTAATGCAGGGCAAGGTAGCTATGTAACTATTAGCGTGCCGGGTCTAGAATTCCATGTCCACCATCCAAGCTCGGAAATTCTCCGTCTGCAACACCTAGCCCGTAATGCCATGTCTGAAATGTTTAGTTTAGAAAGTTAATGTGCTAAAATACAAGTTGTCAGTTCCTGTAATTGTAGCACAGAAGTGCTTTGTTTGGCCTCTCACGACTAATCAGAACCAATTCTTGCACAGCATTCCATTTATACCTTTCCTACAAGAGCAGCCAATGTAAAACGCATTGGAATGTTTTTTTTTTCAACTTTTTATCCCATCGCAAACCGGTTCAGTTTAAAACCTCAATCTTATTTCCGAACATTAAACAAGGCAGTTTGTAAATTGGGCCTACTGCATGAGTACTTGGTTGCCTTGTCCCCAGTGTTATACAGCCTGTTGACCAGATACAATACAAGCTAAAGTACCACTCTGTAAGCATTTTATTACAGTGCAGAGAAAGAATACTAAATGCTTAAATATATATATATGCGTGCTCTACAGGAATATACAAGAGCTTGCCTCGTGTGGGATGCAAACTTGGCAAATGCAAACAACTTGTTTTCCTATAACAGTCCCTAATAAGGAAGCCTGTAGCACCATGCCTGTCTGGTTGACTCGGTCTCAAATGAGTACCTGGTGCGGTGTGTAAATATCGCCACTAGGGAGACAAAGGTGGCCGGGCGGGGTGCTGGCCACCCACCCCGTTGTGTGCCGTGCCGGCCTTCATAGGTGCTCGGAAACAGCACTTGCTACGGCGGGGGGGGGGGGGGGGGGGGGGGCTTTGTCTGTCCGTGTATCCAATTCTCGGCGACCGGATACAATGCTGAGTGGTGCTATGCGTTTGGAAAGAAGTATTTACAGTGCCACGCTGAGCCACACACTGCACCCCCAGACAAAGTGCAAGTTTAATTAAAATAAACCAAATGCTCTTAACAGATTTCACTCTGTACTTCTGCACCCAAGCAGTCGCCACGAGGTGCTGCTGTCACGGCTTTATTGGCTTATAATGCGGCAGGCGCTGTCTACTTATGACACATGCCAGTGCATCACTGAGCCACATAATAAAGGTCTAAAAAAAGAAATAATCCGTTCCCTAAAATATTGGTTTGTCAACTTGTCAGTGTCGCCTGACAGTGTGTGACACAAATTAGCTTGGTTCCCTTGCAGCGCGGAGAGAAGAGCACCACTCTTAACTCAAGCCATGGGTACTCGGGAGCACATCTGCCAATGCACATGCGATGGACAATAAACAAAGACCCCCCTCCCCACCGTATAGCCTTAATAGACTGTTGGGGCAAGTGCTGTAAAGCAAGCAACTATGAAGGCTGGCACGGTACACAAGAGGGTGGGGATGGCCAAACACCACGCCTGTCTGCTTTTGTCTCCATCGTGGCGATGTTTACACACCGCACAAGGTACTAATTTGAGGCAGAGTCGACCTAGAGGAGGCCCAGGACCAGTTCAGATAATCGTCACTGGTGTTGGCCATGACCAGGTTTGTTTTGCAGCGCGCTAACTGCTACACTACCGCTCCCCACAATTTACAAAAACGCGACACGCATGCACACAACTTGCATGTGACATACAGTTCGCCTATGTGCAACCAACATGTGGTATACATTTAACACGCATGTCACATGCATGATACCTCTCAGAAATATACATGGCATGAACATGCATCCAAAGCATGATCATCTTTATCCTAAAGAAGTTTAACATGTAATAATGTATTCAAGAGTATTGGTACACCAAATGACATCTCACCCACACAGGATGCGCAATGTGAAATGAAATATATACACACCCGCACGTCTGGCCAGACAATCATAAAATGACAAACATAATGAACATGCACATTTATAAACAAAAATAAAGATCCCCTATATAACCTACATAGGCTTTTGGGTGAAGTGCGGTTAGCAATATGCCCGGCTGCCTTTGTCTCCCAAGTGGTGATGTTTACACACTGTACCTGGCATTCATTTCAGGCCGAGTCTACCTAGAGGTGACCTAGGATCAGTTCAGATATTCATCACTGATGCTGGTCATGATCGGGAATCGAATTCGAGACAATGGATTCATAGTACAGCAAACCAATCATTGCACCATGACTCACCATATTTTACATAGATGCCCACACACATGCAATACCCACAATAACACAAACTGTGGCAAAAGTGCATGCATCAGTTACATAAACACATCATTTTTAGAGTAGCACCACTCAGAAATCAGGCAGCTTATTACCCACAGTGGGGTGACTTCTTGTTGCCAAACAGTGTGCTGCTTCTACGTATTATTATATTACGCTTGTTCCCAGGAAAGCCTCACCGAGCCTCATGACTTTTACAGGAGGGTCCTGCCAAGGTTTTATCGTTGGAGGGCAATGATTGCTAGATAAACAATCCAATTGAGTAATTTCCAGGTAATTTTACAAATTTGGAAAAGTCGGGCCATGATGCCTCCACACAATGACCTACTCTTGCGAATAAAGTCACGGGATCTTTAACGTCCACTGTGAGGCCGACGGCACATTTTTACGGCGAATACATGGTTAATATACCAACAGTATTAATCAGGGAAGCTACTGGTTTCGTTTAATTTGTATGTGTTTGGGTCATAAGTACCTTTCTTGTACTTTGCATGATGATCACGTTATTGTATTGTTTGTTGCTGTAACATTCTCATCCGCCCCGACTGGCCATATGGTAAAAAGAGCTTTAGAACTTATCAGATATTCTGATTCTGATTCACTGGATCCATAAATTCAACTGCTGTACGCTGCTGCTACTCCTTGCTGCAAGGTGTGGCTACACGTTACTAAACTGTGTCCCTTTGCTTTTATAATGAGCTGACCCTACTTCTCAATAACTCTAAATTGTTTCTATACTTCCATCACCTACATTATGAGCAGCACATCAATTGAGCTTTTACAAACATCTCAATCTATGCGAACTGTCACTTCAATCACAGTGAACTGATGTTTTATGTTGTGCATACTTACATACGTTTAAACACTAAACACCCTCAGCTTCCTGAGGCATTGCTCTAATCTAAACATTTGATATATAAAATGTTCTGCACCTTAATGCGTGGTCAAGCCACACAGTCAAAACATGCAGATTATGTGATTTAAGGATTGCTGGCCTCATGATACCGTTCCTTACAATGCAACTCCATGCCTGCCTGTCAATGTGTGAACGTATTGTTTATTTGAGTCCTCTTCTGGTTATTTATTGCCCAACTTTCCCCTCAAGAGGGAGATATGGCAGCTTGATAAATCTATCATCGCATCATAAACAAAGCAATTGGCCAACAATACAAGTGGCACAATTTTACGGGACCTAAACACACACACACGTGCATGCCTGACGCGTACAGCAGGGACCTGGCAAAGACAACGCAAGGGCAACATGCTTCAAAAGAGATGTGCTTTATAGGCGTTCATGTCCTTCCTCTCCTATGCAAAATGTTTGGCAGGCTAAAATCACAATTCTATGTGTTGTGCCACATTTTAGGGCATGCCGGACCCAAACACGTGTGTTATGCTCGTCGCCTGCCCACGTATAAGGTGTTAAAAGGTGCGGCCAAGCGACTGTTTTCTCACAACACTGCTGGCAGGAGGACCTCCACTCGAGGGAGATCGACAGAGTCCCCCCCGCTCCCCCCCGAGGGTATTTGACGTACCCTTCCACCCTGGCCAGGCGTCTTGAAAGAGTTTGGAAAACCCACACTTTACCATATAATACTGTATTCCCATGAACACCACAGCTCGGTGACAGAGGTTGGGAGAATTTTAAGAAACTAGCTTTTTTTGTTCACTGCTGCACCCATAGAGTGGACCTGCAATCTCTGGATTCCAAGTCCAGTGTGTTAACCATAAGACCACGACAGAATTACCCACCCGAGTATGACGTGCTATATGGTCCGCCTTCAAAACGCGATTTATAATCTCAAAAGGGTGATTAACCGATTATATATAAAGGACATCAATGCATTCATTAATATGGAGAACCATGCCTAGGCTGCAGAGCACGTTACGTGCCCGTGTGCACTGATGAGCATCGCTTTGCGTTATGCCATAGGAAACTTTCTCATACCTCTGCCCAGTGGACGATGATCCGTGTGCCGTCTGGACATCTGGCTGCCAGGCCTGGGCCACCGATGAGGCAAACTGTGGAGAACGTTCGTGACATTGACAAGAGGTGAGCGAGGGGCGGTTGGGGGCAGAGAGACAAATGCTTTTAGGTTACAGAAAAAAGTATTCGCTCTTAAAAGGTAACAGGTACCATGAATGTTTGGTACTTTTGATGTATGCAAGTTAAAAGATGTTTTAATAATGGATTTGAAGTCAATTATGCATAATACCTTCCCCCATTGGTAATGTAGCAATTAATAAGCCATGCGGCACTGAACACACCTGGCACATTCTGCATGAATACCACTGTCATTATGTACTCACCAATGCTAATACACAGAGGAAATAATTGGGTAAACTTACAAATGAGCAAATAGGCACAAATGGACACACAAACACAATAATATTTGCATGCACAACACAAACACACGTACGTGTGCAACACAAAGGCGAGGATTCAACAGTGATACACATTCAAAGTATCCACTGTGGGTGAAAATAAACCCTGGTCATACCTGGCAGCAAATCAATGTGCAATGAGTTACAGGGGATTCTATAAAACATGTGTTGCCTCCACAAACTCGTGAACCCAGTGACCTTTGCCGAATCTAGCCCCTTCTATATCCCTTCCCACCATTCCCTGTCACGGCACTATGGACAAATAGCATGCCCACCAGTAATGGTTAAACCACCACCATCACCGTCCATTTTTGTTGTCTCTCTTCAAATCTCTACATCCTTTTCGATTTCCATATCTACCTATTACTTCATCTCTCTCACATAGCCTGATCCTTCTCCTCTGAATACTATACACCCTGATTACCAGCATGAGGGCATCTACTTTCTCTTTTGGCCGCAATACATCCGTAATTCGATCATTGACCGACACAGACTTTCAAATAATCCAAACTATTAAACTAAACTATTAAACCAGTTTTATTTTAAAGATAAGGTCCACTGAGCTATATAGCTCTTTTTCAGAAGTGACCTGGCCACCAATGACAGCTTATTAGATAGTGGCTTATTACGTGGAAATGTAAAGCAGCCAAATACTCTAAACGACTGTTTTCTAAATGTGGAGAGAAAAACCGGAGCACCCCCAGAAAAATCCATGCGACCACAGGGAGAACATACAAACTGCAAATATATCAGTGTCAGGGTCGGCATCGAACCCATGACCTCCTGTATACCAGGCGAGGTAGTTATTACCCGCTCCGAGATGTCTGCAAGTTGTAGTGCTGAATCTCGGAACGCGCAAGCAGTTAGCCATAATTTTATTTTGAGAGAAACATAGCGCCGCTGTTTTTAAAAGACATTGTACTCACTGCAAAGAACTGTAGCAACACAACCGCACTCAACGATAGCTCGTGCCAAACTGTGCCATACTCCCTCCCACATGGCCTTGTGGGAGCCTCGGTACATCTTCTGACCTCAAGACGTAACGATTTCCCTTCCGATTGGAATGGGAAAGGGTTAACATCTTGCCACCGTGGTGCTCCCATGTTGCATTTTCCACTCTTCCCTCAAGACGGGCCCCACTCTGAAGTAATGGAGGCTACCATTATGGCTGCCATGAACTCGTGCTGACAAGACATCAGGGTGAGTAGAATGAGGAGCCCATGGATGCAAAGAAGTCTGATGGAGTCACAATTGGACTCTGTTGCAGAGTCGATATGGGCTGTAATTTGGATGGTACATGCACTGGTGCAATCGAAATGACAACTTTATTGTTGCAAAAGGAGATGTAGCCCCTGATGACTAATTATCGTCTAATTATCTTCAACCACCATGCAATGTGAGTCAGGAGGGACCAAATGGCTATGTGCACGCACACCACACAAATACACAAACGTCTGTACGTGTAAACACCTGTGCATATGTGAGAATATTACAGCTGGGGTCTGTTAGCACCATCATAGAGCGTACACACTCAAATATTAACTTGGTCAACAGAACCAATTTGTTTAAAACTAATATACATAATTAGTTTTAATTCAACGCTGTTTTATACAGTATTTGTGCAAAGTGTTATTTGCATATAAGCACTTAAAAATACATTTTAGAAAGAAGTTTACAAGTTACATAATTTTAATTTGTATTTAAGTGTGCATCTGTATAGGTCATTATGATTGTTGTAGATGCATTTACACGTTATATAAACAGCTTTTAATACACACAACTGATTAAATAAGCATGCTTGCATTTATAATAGTGACGGGTGGAAATATCAATAGCGATTTTTACACCGCCGGGCAAGCGAATGTATTAGCAGGCCAGCATTATTGTAATAACAGTCATGAGAGATTTCAAGCGGTGTGTCTGCACGGGGCAAGATATATATACAGGGCATCTATTGGAACCAAGCTAAGAGACACAAGAATCAGAACAGTTTGTTATGTTGTGAGGAGATATGATGCCTTAAAACTGTGATTATTGTTCCCGCTGTATCAGCCTATACAAAAGCACAGTGACCCAAACTATTTCAAGAGGCTTAGTCACTGAAACAAAGCCATGCAGAGCCTGGCGAACACACATTTCATGTGACGCAGTTGTGACTCAACAATATTAGCCAAGCTTGTGTCAAGACAACCAGCTACACATTCTCCACAAGAAACACGTCTCAGCAGCGCACCCTGGAAATAAAATAAAAAATCAATAAAATATTACTATCCGACACGGTGATGTGAAAAGAGGAAGCGGGTGATTTATATGTATTATTCCTGACAGTGCAGTGTGTGATTCTGTGACATTCGGGTCTGGAAAGCTCACTTCTGTGTTCACATCACTGCAACTAATCCATTTATATGTAAAGGCATATTCAGGGGGAGGATTAAACAATTATGTATGACGGTATTCAAAAGCAGCATTTTTACAGCAAGTCACAATTATTGCAACATTTTAAGCAAAACCTTAGGGAAAGGGTGAATTCATCCATGGTGTTAAGCAGTTTCATATTCACATTGAAACGCAGGTTCATAAGTATGCAGTTGGGAACGAGAGTGCGACTGTAATCGAGGTAGGGGGGGCGCGCGCACACACAAACCTGCTTAGATGGAAAATTATAATCATTATCAGTCTAAAGGGCACAGATGCATTTGCAGACGATACATACATGCATTCCACTATGTACAATACAGCCATAGTGATCAGTACAGAGTTAAAAGTGACCTAAACGATGTATAACGGCAAGTCAACGCTCACCACTGTATACAAGGCTCCACATGCAAGAATTTTACTATTTCGTATTGAGGAGGGCTTGGAGAAATAGGAGATGCCTACATTTCATTCCACCACAAATTAAGTCAGTGTATATATATATACACTGCTGGGCAAACAAAGCAGCTGTGTGATGAGCTTAATGTGGATATAGGAAGCTCCAATTGTTAAGTGACGAAGCATTAAATACAATCAGCCAGCAGTAGACGGAAAATGACAGCTTTTCATGGTGATGCATAATCCATGTGTGATTGGTGCAAGAACCGCTGTCATGCATTGGTAAATGTCTTACACTGCAAGCTATAAATCATGCACGGCTTGTAGCACCAGTGATAGCTCAGACAGTGGAAAGACTTGTATCCCACGACGCTGCTGAGGGAGGTCTTGCATGTGTTCTCGTCCACAGAGCAAATAACGTGCAATGCAACATGTAAAATACACCTGGCATGAGGGGGGTCCCGTTTGTGAATGAAGCGTGCAATCACCTGCTTGTGCGAGCACTGCGCTCCCATGGATCCTAAGGGCACCGCTGTGTTGCACATGGCTGCAGAAACAATACACGCGCACACTAGCATTAAAACACACACACTTCCAGACCATTCCCTGATACATTACACGGCCCTTTTTCATACAGCAACCAAAAAAAACACCCAGAATGATAATTGTGCCTAGGAAGCAGCGCGTTAGGATTTATTGTGTGCAAGTGTGCATGTGAGCCACACGGGAAATGTGACCGATTCTCGGCTCGCGATGCGGCGAGCTAAAAATAGCATCACCTCCCTTGGGAGAACATGTGCAATCGCGCAGACGCATGAGGACGTGCAGACGCACGCGTGTACAAAGGCACTCGCATGCACGTAGGCTTTCACACACAAATGTACCTGCACACCTCCGATTATAATCAAGGTTGGTGAAGTACGGTGCGAAAGAAGTTCCCCATACATACTTTACACAAAGGCATGTGGCACACGCACGAGCATATGAACAATGTACAGCACACCTTTACAATATGAACAAAATAAACACGCACACACTTGCATAAATACACATCTTTGTCAGATAGACAGAGCAATGCCTACGCAAGCTTGAGAACAAAACCAATCTATATCCAGATTTGAAACATGTACTCTCATGAATGGCGGTCCTTTTCAGTCACAAAGCATGGACAAAACAGCACGCAGATACCCAGGCAAACGAGTTATAACTTCCATCGAAAAGGCTGTAAATAAAGGCTCTGATATTTTGCATATCAGGGTACACGGTTCAACTTACTACAGCCCATGTTACAAAGCGTATCCTAGTAATCCAAATACACATCAATACCATTTTCACCAATATCATTATCTGATATTCATGAAGTATTGCCATTCGTGACCATTTATTATGGCCAGTAATAAACACAAGGATATGGTTAGAAAGAATTATACCATGGTTAGAAGGCATTGTTTCTCCACTGCTGTGTTTTAGGCTTAGTCGATGAAGGGGAAGCTTATGCTGAATGCCAATTCCAATCGTGCAGTTGGAATACTATAATAATGTCATGTACTGACACCCTGCTGCCACCTGCTTCGATGGAGACACAAAACAAAGACAAAGATCCCCCGTATAGCCTTAAGACTGTTGGGGCAAGTACTGTTAGCGAGCACGTTTGTTGAAGGCTGGCACGGTACACGAGGGGGTGGGTGGTCAGCACCACGCCCGACCACCTTTGTCTCCCGAGTGGCGATGTTTACACACCGCACTAGGTACTCATTTGAGGTGGGGTCCACCGAGGGGATGCCCAGGAGCGGTTCAGATAATCGTCACTGGTGTTGGTGGCCATGAGCGGGAATCGAACTCGGGTTTCCGGGATCGTACCGCGGTCGTGCTAACCGCCACACTACCGCTCCCTACTAGACACATGCACACACACGCACACTCGAGTGCAGCTAAAGCACACACTCGCTGTGACATACACAGGGAAAACTTGCATACATTACCCCCACTGCCCCCTAATTCACCATCCTTCTGTGACTGCGCTTTGTGAAGCTTGACAGCTTCCTGACTGCTGCATTAAGCAGGCAGGTTTATTTAACATATAGAAATGTGATATTTCAATGCGCACAATTTGCCATTCAACTGTATGTACACACATAAATACGCACGTACACAGAAATATTACGTAAACCATTGCTTCTGTATCACAGCATTTATCTAGAGGGGGCTGGCAATTATGGCATACTTAACAAGGATATCATGCAATAAAAAATGTAGTACTTTTTGTGTATTCATTTTTAATATGTAGCCTTTAATAATATATTTACAACAACAAAAATTGTGAATAGTGCATATAGGTCACACCAGGCAAAGGTTCCATTCAATCAGCTATCCCACACACCCCACACAGTCTGCCTGCCAGCCACGTTGTCTGCCTTAAGAGGCCAACAATTGCTTAACCGCATCTTCCGCCGATTGCGTCTCTGCCATCCTCGTAGGCCACTTGCCGGGCTCCGCATCGCCTCGTCACACGTGCCCCTGGCCGATCTCACCAAATCCGGGGCCCCCGCTGAATTTTGCTGGTTGCACCTCACTTCTACCGTCACCTCATCGAGGCTGCGACTCACACGATGGCCAGGTTGCTGGTGGGTTTAGCCAGGCTTTTCAGCAAGCCAATTCAACTCTGTATTGTTTAGAGTCTGCGGAGCAAGCACGGCAGAGGGCGGGGTGAGCATTTTCTGCGTATTGGTGAAGATCCAATACTGAAGGTTCCCTCCTGTGTGTCAGGACGCTGGTATTTAGCTCCTGAACGTATTTCCATACGCAGGAAGGGAACTAAGTCTGAGGGTGGAATTGTTCCTTGCTCACCTTGCATAGCAATGCTTTCTATTATAAAGGATTGTTTTAACCAAGGGTCCAAACAAAGACGAGGGAGGCTATGGTCATCAAAATGGGCGAATGTAACGGGGCGCTGAATTAGGGTTAGTAATTGTGACGGGGTATGTGTATATGTGAAAAGAAGATGTTGGTGATTAGTAGTTTAAGAAGAAAAATCTGGAATTAACTTCAGCACAGGTGAATTTTTTATATATGGTGTATTGTGATTAAATGTCTGAGATTGACAAGAAAAATGTACAAGGGTTGACTTAAAAATGTCTGATGTTACAGCAGCTGCTTTGCTTTGTCACAAAAAGGTATGCATTTAGCCTCGAATGAACTCAGCAGCATAAATAAATCACTAAGATGAACTGATATAAACCAATACAGATAACCCTAGGTAAGGATGTATATTAAACAGAAACCTAGCCCCAGCATATTTTGTGAACTTGCTTCATGTCAAAATTGAAAACATTAAACCACAATGAATTTAACTCGATACAAATTATATCAAAATACTGCTAGACTATGATAATGAAAACAGTCACAATGACTAATGTAAGGCTTTTAATGGAGGCTTTTTTCCCTTATGAGCAATGATGTCACACGGGAATGAACTGAAAATAAAGTGATAAATCCAACTGTGTGTGTATTTTTAATATCCCGTTCTTCAACAATAACTTCATAGCAAAAGCTAATTAAATTTTATTTTCCAACAATCATTAATATCCTTACACTCTCTCCTCTTCGCCATTCTCACTGGATGTAGAGAACACGAATCGTGAGATTTAACCCCAAGGCGGTGGCAATGAAGCATTCACCAGCACCATTTGTGCCAAAGTTCCCTGCGTCAGTGAGAGCCAGCCATTCCATTCATCCCATATTCGTTTGATACAAACGTTTGGCTTCCAGCACCATGAGTTCATTGCTATTTACGCAGCTAGGAGCGCTTTGATGCTCGCTGTCTCATTTACAAAGGAAAACTGGACAATAGTATATTAATTTAAAAACTCATAATATGGCCACTGACCAAACATGTAGACTCGCATATAAAAACACATCTGGGCAGCAGTGGCAAATGAAATCTGAATTGGTCCTGAGCAAGCCCACTTCACTAATCTGCACTAACAGCATGGCGAGGTATGTTCAAATCACCCCCACGACTGACACAGCTTGGAAAGGCCTTCATCCAGCGGTGGATTGAAAAAGGGGTGTAAGTTTATATTTTAGTCAGATCTGATCCTACAATCCTGAGCCAACTAGCTCAATGATGAGCTTGCTGATGACTAGTTTATCTGTAAGTAGCATAAATGGAAAGATCAGCCACTAATTAGGTCAAAAGCATTGAACCAGGTATTTGTTCAATCAGATGGCAAATGGAATCAGGTGCATGTACAACACGTTTACAAGGGTAAGTAAGATCCATATGCATTCTCACGTACATGAAAACACAGCATTAACATAAACCATTCATGTATGCAAGCTGCACATATTGGGATATATTTGGCAAATAAGATGCTACTTACATTATGGGATAAAGCGTAGTGGATGTTTCATTCAGAACAAGAGTCAACCACATGACTGAATAGGATGGCTGCTGTGTCGAAATGAAATTCTGTGCATTATGGGTTATGAGACAATATATAAACACAGCAGGTCTCACCTTGGTATGGGTTTGGCTGGGGGCCTCTCCACTGTTGGTTGTGATGCTGATGGGGCATGGTGGCGCTGGAGCTGCTTGTAGGAGTGTGTTGGAGCCCCATGTACTGTTGCTCACGCAAGCCCTGGGTACCATCCACATCCCTGAATGACTGGCTCTGTTAAAATATACATGGAGATATGATCAGCTTAACACCCATGAATCAATAACTTACCTTCAACTAGTCTTGAGCTGGCTAATATAAGTCTCTTTTGCAAAAGATACGATTATATTTATTATGCTTGTTTACCCCAAAAAATCCCCCAAGAGTTGCACGATTCATTTTAGGAGGGTCCTGCCAGGTAACTGCATGAGGTTTAAGATCACAATTTTCAATATTAAGAGCACAATCAGAACAGATCATTCTCGCATATGTACGAGCATGTTAGAGTTCTTATTGACGAAAAAAATTAGATCACTAAACCAAATTAGCGAAGCAAATTTCACACACCAAAGGCGTACATTTTTTTTCTTACACAAATTGTCAAAGCATAATACACCGTGACAATATGAATAATTTAAGTGCACAAAATTAACGATATTTTACAAACACCTGTGGACAGATGTAATCTATCACAGGGACAGATCAAACATGTTAATTATAAAAATATATTCATTGGGTGTACGTGGTTCATTCATTGAGAATGGCAGATGCATTAGGGAAGATAAGTCTTTACACATCTAAGATTCTCAATACACATGCGGGGATACCTTTGCCTGTCTCTCACTGTCCCACAAATCCCTTACAACTCCCTCCTAAAAAAAATCTTCAATTAGAGAAGAACCTGGACTGAGCCCTCATCTCCACGAAGTGGTATTTAAGGTCTGTATCTGCGGATTAGCAGTGTACAACCCTCCATTCCCCCCACGATTCTAGAATTTCCTCCTGGGATTTCAGCAATTCCTGGGAAGGAAGTGCAGAAGAAGTATGCTCTGGAGTTACAAGGGAGCACCGTTGGGACAAATCCACACAAATTCCTGCAGCAGTCACAAAGTCACGTAGCCCGACTGCATTATATCTCAAATCGTAAGCATCGTAGGTACAGGTGGATGTTCTAATGGGAGCCCACTGAGCAAACACCAGGTTTCTTCAGGTAAATTGCAACACATGCTGGTCTTCAGCTATGTGGTACAGATCATCCTGATGAAGATGATGTTGTTTTATGATACATTAGAGTACCTGTCTATCTTGTTCTAAATTTAAATACTTGTGTTGCTTTAATAAAGACCTGGGGCATTGGCCCTTGTGCTCTGTCTGCAATATTAAGACAGGCACTGTATCATGATGCACGTTTGCATTGTAACGGCGATGCTGATTTTTATAATTGTTTTTTTACCCTTTAATCTGGCAACAAAACTGACACCTTTTTTACGAGGAGTCATGTTTGCATAGACCACAATACCTGCAGTCATAATGCAAACAAAAATACACAACTCTGATAATGTATGCACTGTCCTTGATCAGAGTTGTGTTTTTTGTTGCATTATGACTGCAGGTATTGTGGTCTATGCAAACATGACTCCTCGTAAAAAAAGGTGTCAGTTTTGTTGCCAGATAAAAGGGTAAAAAACCAATTATCACATTTTTTACTGGCAAATGAGGTACCAATGGTACTGATTTTTATGTTTGCAACATCAGCATAGAGCTTAATAAATGTACCTGCTGTTGTTGGAGAGCTCGGTTGCCACTAGATGTATGGCCACGGTTGCCATGGCCCGCATGCCCCCCATGCATCTGCGTGCTCCTAGGGGCCCCAGGAGCCTGGTGGTTGTGGTTGTTGTTGTTGTTACGCCCCCACGACGGAGGGCCGTGCTGTGGACTCTGGCCGCACGGGAGCTCGGTGTGGCCGGGCGACGGCACGCCCCCGGCAGGCAGGAAGGGCGACCTCTGCAAGGCCCAGTGGTTGAGGAGAGCCTGTTGAGAAGGTGGGCCGGCAGGGTAGCACACACCTGCACTGGCCTGGGTCTGTCCTGAAAACCTGGGATCCCCCCCGCGCATGTGAACCATCTGGCCCCCATCCTGAAAAGGCACGCATCACGGGCATGCATGCGCATTCTCTTACACACTGTCATGGGACGGAAGACCATCCAGGTTCATTCATTTACACGCTTGTTTTGACCAAGCCGAAGGTTTTGCATTCTCGACGTTAAATTCGGCTTAAAGAAAAGACAATAAAAAGCTGTGTGGGTCATGCAATCATCCAATTAGCTGCATACGACAATAGCACCGTACACAACAGAGATTGGCCAAAAAGGCAGATTAATCTGAACATTAATTCAAATTCTGATTTATTCACAGCTAGTACACATTAAATTACACACAGCACACCTTATATAAATGTTATGATTCACCATGGAGTCCATCTACAACTCGTGTGGTTATGTGTATGTCATACCAATAACACACTATTTATTTATACTGGATAAATCAAAAGAAAGTACACATTTTAAATTGGTAATAAATGCAAATTCGACGATATTCTAAATACAACATATATAACCCATTTATCAGACACATTCACATATACATGCATAATACACATTAACATGCATACCCACAATGTGAGCATTTATAGTCTGAAAAAACATTTACAACCGCCTCTGCTTTTAACTTTGCATATCAACACCACAATGTGCGATTGGAAAAAAATATCAACACTGTTAGCACAGGCAGAAACATAATGTCTTTACAATGGTTTCAATAAGGAAACAATGTACTAATGAGTAAAGATTCACAGATATGCAATATATAAATAAGGCAAAGCATGGAGTGTAACATCATAACAACTGCAGTCAGAATTGTGTGACGAATGGAATGAAGCATCTTCAGAGTCAAGTTATAATAGCAATGGTGTATATTTACAAAACAGCTTCGAAATAATGCTAATGTAACAGCGCAACATTTTAATAAGGAAAATTACTGCAAAGGGTAGCGTTGTAATCGTGATGTAAAAATATACCATAACAATGCTGCACAGAATTGCAATGGCACTAAATAGTTTTGTGATAACAGTTTAAAAAAATATGAAGTTGCAATAATGTAAGATTGGAATACCGTTAGGCAATAAATGCAGCATTGCAATAATGCAGCAACGTATATTTAATGGTTTCCAATTATGCTCCAGTGCAGTGCTCTCAGGGGCAAGCAGAGATGATAATCAAAGAGGGGATAATAGCAGAGAAGAGGGGGGGGCAGACGAAAGGGAGGAGGATAAGGTAGAGATCATAAGACAGGAAATGGGCAGGTAATAAAAAAAAAATGAGCTGATGGGGAAAAGCCAAAATGAGAGAGACAGTGAGATGGAGAATGGGAAGCGTGGTATACTCGAAATTCAATTAAGCGAGGACAACTGTGAGAGAGACAAAGAAGGGAGAATGAAGAGGTTGGGAAATGTATTCGGTCACATGGAAAGAGAGACATGACGCAGTGGGTGGAAAGTATGTAAACAGAAGGATTGAGATGGGAAAAATTAGAGGGAATACTAAACCGAGAGAAAGGGGGAATTAAGATAGGGCCAGGAAGAAAGAGGGAATTAACAAAGAGAAGGTATAGGATGAGAGCAGGGCAGGGAAAATACATTATTTATGAACAGTAATTCTCACTGATAACTGTCAAATGAGATCACATGGCGACTGCACAAACCCCCAGCCCCCCGGGCTCACCGTGACGCACATCCACACATGGGCTGTGACGCACCCACTAGTGAGCCAAGGGGCACACAGTATGGAGCATGCACGCGCACACATATAGGCGCTCAAAGAGACACGTAATTGCACAGAGGCTGTGGGACCAGCGGAATAGGACACACATTTTGACGAGCTTTTAGAATGTTTTTCATTGCAGTTGTTCACCTAGCTCAACAAATAACAAATGTGCAATTGATATGCACCATAATCAGCCACAATCTATCTTTTGCCGAAAGCCTCCCCAAGCCGTTGCCATCACTCACAATCTCACGATGGGACAATCCATATAGCTCATGCACACCAGCAGATTTCATTGCTCCATCTCCACGTTTGGACGGACTCGTGGTCAGGTGCCCTCCTCCGGCTGCCACTTCGTCATGAATCTCAACCACCAGCCACCATCTCATACAGCAATGTGTCCTGCCCAAACTAACTTAAGTCAAAATGATGTATCTAACATATTCGTATTCTCTGTCTGCCTCTCAGTCTAACTCCAAGCAAGCACCTTATAATGCTGCCATACACTTTTAAGCTGTCCCTTTGACAATGTCTATGTTTTTATTACATACACTATCCATACACATTTACAGACATGATTAAATTTACATATGAAATTATTTCAACTAAAACGTGTCCTTTATACATACTTTAATGTTAGTCACATTCTTAATGTCTGCTCTACTCTGTCTGGGCAACGGTCATTGACAAGATACCCAACAATGCACCACGGTTGGCTACGTACGGTGAGAAAGAACTTCAACATGCATACACTTCTGTAGCAATGTATTGCACAATATTTATTTACAAACATAGTCTAAAAATTAGGGCTGTAACTATGCATTCATGCATGCGTGACAATCAATTCTTCATCCCAAACCAAACAGCTTGCCAAAGATAAAATCATTCATTCACGCAAATAATATGCAAATGATATGGTATTATTATGGTAATTTATGAATGACACATAATTGGGAGAGGTGAAATGTGACAGAGCAAGATAAAATGGGCCAACATATAAATGTGAATAAAAGAAAAAAAACTGTCGAAACGGAAGTGCAAAATAAAATACAATTTGAGAAAGACGGTCTAAAATGCGTGGCAGTGCACAAAACCGTAAAAAAGACAAACAATTGAGAACTACAAGATTTGAATGAGAAATTACAAAAAAACAGACCTCTATGTCAAGAGAATTCTGAAGGCCGAAGTGCAGTGAGAATTTGTATTCGTTCATAGCATTTTATTGCCACCAAATCCAAGCAGGAATTGGTCAATTTTGCATCATTCATTTACATTAACAGTATCTTGACTTAAAGCTTTCGTGACTGCAGGAATACATATTCTATGGGTTTTTCGGTGAAGCAATGTAGATAGAAAAATAATAAAAATATCACGACATTTCGATCACAACACAAGCAATCACCTGAATACGATTGCTTGTGTTGCGATCGAAACGTCGTGATATTTTTTTATTTGTTTTCTATCTACGTGGCTTTACCGAAAGACCCATAGAATATTAACAGCATCATTTAAAAAATCTACAAATTCACAATCATTGACTATAATGCAAAACCTCTGATTCAAGTATTGAATCGCCACACATGAATGATTAGATGCATTGAATCACGAGGGAATTGAATCGTTACGACCCTACTTAAGAATACCTGGGCATTGTTGGCATCTTAACTTTAGCTCAGACAGTTGGGAATATCAATTAGCTGGCACACATTGTATGTATTAAACTGATCACATTTACACCATGTGAATTATAATTATAAAGTCTTTATTCAAGTGGAGGGAGGCAACTGTGTATAATTAACTGCAAAGAGTAATTTACGGTCACATGACAGTGAGTACTCATAAAAAAAACTGAAGAGGTAGTGTTGACGACAGGCATGGTCATTTTCACGCTTAGCTTTTAAGGGAAATTACATACTGTAGCATTTGCATTGAGGCAATGGGTTAGCAAGTTGGGAAATTATGCTTATATACTCACGATGCAGATAGGTTAAGGTCGTTATGGTTTAATTATAGAGCAAGATCCGATTTTACACTGCATGCCAATCTGCCAACACAGTCTCCACCACAACCGCACCTGTGGAAGTGCAGGTCCCCGGGGCATCGGGGACTGGCAGTTGACCAACGTGGAGCACCGACTTTCACCAAAATGCGCGGCCGCCTCGGCAACATTCATCTGCGCTGCAGCTGTAATTTAAATAAACATAATACATTTTTTATTAAATCACAACATAGCGAGGATTTTTTTACGATTATGCATACATCATCCCCCTTTTATGATATGCCACTGAAGACAATGATGGTAATGATAATTTTGGTTGACTCTTTCCTTTTATTCAAAGATGTAAATGCCTTCACAGCTGGAAGGTGAACAGCCAGGGGAAATTATGTCGACAAAAATAAAGATGCTCTGTCAACTAATGGGATTATTTAAATCCTGCATACCGCCACTTGTAAGACTATTTACAAGCTTCTATGCAAAGAGACATAAAAACAACCATTATAATTTACAGCCTTTTGTAAATCCGCTGCTGGATGAAGGCACTCCAATGCCATGTCAGTAATTTGGGTTATTTGACCATATTAGACCATGTAAGCTGCATAGCTGGGAATCAAACTTGGTCACTGGGCTCACATTGCAGTACTCTACAGGGAATAAAACACAAAGTCCTTTATTGTGGTAAAGACAATTTCAAAGTAAAACAAACTTACTTTGTGGCAGCCAATAATTATGCACATTTAATTGGTGGGAACAATGCAGCTATTTCCAACGAGCATCTCCTGTGAGTCACAGCAGGAGATCAGCAGTGCCAATTTGGCCCATTTCATAGCAACACAATTAGATTAAATCTTGACTGAAAGCTTTCGTGACTGCAGGAATTCATTCTATTTGGGTCTTTCGGTAAAGTCACGTAGATAGAAAAATTGCAGTTCACCTGCTGTATTTTTTCACCTGAAGGCAATTGCTCGTGTTGCGATCGAAACCTCGTGATTTTTTTATTATGTTTCTATCGACGTGACTTTACCGAAAGACCCAAAGAGTACAATTATATTAGTCATACAATAACTTTGCACCAAAATTTCTTTGTTTTTTTAAAGCAATTTTACCGATTAGTGGCATTAAACCAAGAGAGAAGTGCAGAGCGGAAATACGCCACCGCTGGCTCGCAGAGTCACAGCGTCGTGCGACACCGCAGATCAAGTCTGGCCAAGGCTTACAAAAATAATATGTGGATCTGGTTCAATACACGCCTCCAGACTGGCACTGCTCTTCCATGGCAGCTTGACAGCTAAGGTTTCACGGAAAATGTTACGTCTGTTCCCACATCCACCACAAGAATGTGAATAGGGACAAATGCAGGTTACACATGTATTATAGTTACGCACGAGTTGATTAATTACACACTGTTATTTGGACATGTTAATACCACAACAATTTGCACGTAAATGTTTAAGGTAGATGAGTGCAAAAAAACCTTATTTAAATATTTATCATTCATATTGCGGGGTCTAAGGAAAAATACTGAAAATGTTCAATCCTAGATTTGCTAAATAAACATACAAAACTATTATCAAAAGTTCTAAATAATTAAAACCCTCTTATAAATTTGAGCCTGCAATTTAGATGTATATATAGTCTTTTTTCCCCTGCATCCAGATGTTTCCAGTTTCAATATATTTGTAACTGGATGATTATGCGCTGTGAACACGTCAAACAAGCACACAATCTAATAAAAACGTGGACGTAAATCTCCTGCCAGCATGAAATCACATTAAGGGCCACATTGTGCCTCTCAAATGCATAGTCAGGTTGAGAGCATTACCCTGCAACTGCTAAATTGCCAGAATGTACTTTCACAAATGTTCACCAGGGAAACATGCTCATGTGGAGAGGTGGGGGTGCCTTTCTAGGCTACATGCTGACCAATGCAATACTTTGCATATGAAAAATCTAGAAGTATTCATATCAGCACTCTGTACCATCACAGGACACGCATGAAAGAAAGCAAAACAGCTTCATAGGGCCCCTCTCGTTCTGAAACAAATAATACATATATTTTTGTCTTGAAACTAAATTATCCAATGCCAAATTACAATAATCTATTTAATAAGGAGAGTTTCACCGAGTCTCGCGACTCTTTTCTCATCAGATTTCAGCATCGGCACATTTGGCCAATTCCAAAAATGAGTGTTTGGAATGTTGGAGGAAACCGGAGAAACAGGATAAAACCCACACAGTTCCTGAGGGTAAAGATGAACACTGCTGTCTCTTGCCACCTGGCAACCCCCAAACATACAACACTTAGAGTGCCAGGGTGTTCACCCATCTCTGTTTTGCGTCAGAGATCTAATACGATTAGGCATATTTACGGTTATTTTCTACAAGAGAAATTCACAATTGTACGCAAACTTCAATCATTTAAAAATAAATTCTACTTACGAATCCAATTCAACCCATAATTAAATTTTATATCTACGAATGAAATTTTGAGCTGCTCAGTTATAAATCAAACAATCTATTGAAAATGCTCCATAATAACTGTCCTTGAACTGTCACTATTAATAAAACACATTTTATGTTGGCAGCCACAGAAAATCTAAACAAACGACAGATTGTACAAACCTTCAACAAAGTCCTTCTATGTTATATTTAAACTGCAATGATCCAAAATGAGCATCATTTAAATGTTTTATTTCGGTTCAATAATCTTCGATCTTACCAAGTAAGCCCAGATACAAACCCTGGTGTATTTGAAAGATACAGGGGGCATATATAAAATGTTAAAAAAGGAAATGTCTTCGTAAAAATAAGCCAATATATTTTCATGGATAGAACTGATATTTACACAAGCAAATGAAAGCCAATGTCTATACCTTAAATAAGCCACGCTAATATCAGGCAAATACTGCAGTGCTTTTTCCAAGGCCCAGTAATAAGCACAATATTTTACCGCAATTCAACATGAACAGTTTTGAATAACCCAGGGATTTATAAAAAAACATATTTCAACGAAATCTTTTTTTATAAATCCCTTGCCTCCTGCAGAGCATGGATGAGTGAAATTCCACTTGTGCTCCTTTTACCTTAATTTATTCATGCGACTTTCACAAACGGCCTCAAGCGTGGACTTACCGGAGGTGGCGTGTGTGGCGCTCCCTCCGCCCTCACCGGCGCTCTCAGCTCTCCGCAGCACGGACACGCCTGCGCGTGACGGGTGCCAACAACTTCCCTGCTCTGCATCGGCGCTGTGCATTCGCCGCACGCCCAGCCCCCCCACCTTCCCCGGTGGAGCGCTGCGCTCACCGCTCTTCTCTCCCTTGCCGTTCCTGAGAAAACATGTGCTCATTACTTACCAGCCGTGCGATAACAAGCAGACAACCGTAACAAGCATTGGCACAAACATTTCTCATTACTTTAAAAGTCTTGGGACCAAAAAAAACACTTTACCAAGTGTGGTATAATAAGCAGCCATTTTCGTGTCATCACAAGGAAAGCATGAAACAATTGCAATCTCTGGAATATCAAGCAGTGGTTATCTTACCAGTCCTGGAACAACGACTCATATACAAACTCGTAGACATATCAAGATTTAACACATTGTTATTCCATTGCAAGAAAGATCAACTCTCAGTGTTAGTGGTACCCTTTTCAAGTGGCCAAGACAAGACATGCAAAATGCATGGGAAAGTGTCAACTGAGTGGAGTGATGTGGCGGTCAAATACATGGGGGGGTGGGGGAGGATGGGATGCATCTCACCCGTTGGGCTTGCTGGGCTCACTCTGCATGGGCGACTTAAGGCAGAGCACAGATACACACGTACACAAAGACAAACACATGCATAATCATGCATAATCATGCTGAGAGTGATAAAGATCCAAAAACTGTAAGAGAATGGCAAATATCATGATTACCACCCTAACACAACTGGATTAAGATGTTCATCAAGTGCTTTCTATTCTCTAAAGAACCAGTCACGAAAGCTTCAAATCAAGATTGCCTTTCTATTATTCTGCATTGTTTATTTATGGATCTTGAATCCAAATTGCATAGATATCTCAAATAAAAGTTATGCATATATTTCATTTGCACGTAATGTGACACCGTAGCCATTCTACATGGTTCTCTTTTGGTAATATGTGGATGATTGTTACATCTCGGTCATTTTTATTATGCAGTACTTGATGTGTAACATAGCACAATATACAAGCATGCAAGAACTACATGTTAGACGTAGATTGGGCAAGGTGTATGAAATCTGCCATGGACATGGTGGCGATGAATGAATAAAATGCACATTAAACCTGGTTGAAGATGCGCTCCCTAGCGAGCCGATATTCTTCTTCGCGCTCCTCCAGCGATTTGGAGCGTCGGTCCAGTGCCATGGCTGGACCGTGAGACTAAACGCACGAGTGAAAAGTCAGAGGTTACATACACAGGGCCCAACAATCACGAATGGGGATCTCAACATTTTGAGTCTCACCTTTGTGGGGCACGTGTGCTATGACCTACATCGAGTGCAAATTTAAGAGTAGAATAATAAAGTGGGTTTAGTCTGTTAAACGTTTCATTAGTGGCTGATCTGTAGGCAGCATCACAGAAGTCAAAAAGTGGTAGAATGATAGCTTCAACAAATTTGCAGGTACAATTGAATGGGAAAACAATGTTTATTTATTTATAAAAACACAATTTTTGATGTGATTTTCTTTAAACAATATGGGGTAATAGTTTATTTGTGACTTAAGTACCAACGTCTACTAGCAGGAATGGAAACCAAATGACTGCGAACTTAGCGTGGGGTTCACTTAAGACCACACAGATCTACAAAGTCACAAACACCGGCAACTTTTTGAGTATCTACATTCACCTCCACCTTCCTTTTATAACATCCAGTCAATCGCACGCACCATATTGTCACAATCTCAGAGAAATGTATTCAAATTAAGCTGGGTGCCGAGGGCTTGGAGAGACTCGGGGGCTCACCTGCTGCGAGCTGGCTGGCGGGCTCTCGCGCTTGAGGATGAGCTTGCGAGGGGTGGGGCTGCTCTCCTCCACTGCAAAGTGCTCTTTGAATCGCTGTAGGGGACTGTGACACGCAGTCACCAACGAGAGACATGTTCCCGTCTTTGTGTTAACTCGGAACAGACCATTCATTCGAGCACCGATGGCAAATGTCTGCTATAGCGGCCACAGCGCGCAAATTGTGGGGTTGTGTGAATAATAATACAGTTGTGTTAAGATGTTGAAACACCAAAGATACCGTTTGCAAGGAATCAAGTCTACATTAACCACACGTACTTGTGGTGAACATGCAACCAAAACCTGCTCTGATAAAATATGCATTGTCTTTGAAACTGATCCTCCACCAGATATATAATGGCATAAGCCTATATTACACATCTGATTCGTGCATGCGTTACGTGCAATTGAAAGTCCAAAACTGCGTTGCAAGCCCACGACATACACACATAAATAGCCAAAACATGGCATTTCCAATCGCTTTCCCAGTTTCATGTCATTTGCCGGCTGTAGGTTTTTATCCGGAGGTGGGATTGTTATCACCATTCCCAGTGTTAAGATATTTTCACCATACTGATGTCACCTGCTTCACCAGTAGGAACTATTATATATGCCAACTGAAAATGTTTCATCAAGAAACCTTTACAAAAAGCAATTCTCATCATGACTCATAGTGTGAATTGCAGTCTTCAACCATAATCCAATCTCTGGCCTCTATTTATGTGATATGAAAAAAAACCATTGGCATGGTGTTTTTGACGAATGTGTCGAGCGTAATGCTTCATCCGTGCAAGATTTAGGCCGAGTCAACTTACATCAAATAAACGACCTAAGAGATATGAATTGCCGTTGTTGTACAATGTAATTTAAGTATATACCTGCACATTTGTAAAAATGTATCGTAAAGGTTTACATTTTTAGTTACCTAGCCCATTAATCAATCAGTGAACTGGAGTACCACACATTGCATGGAAAGCTGGACGGTCAACCAATAATAATCTCGGCTTTCATTTTGCATATGTTAAGTAGTGTTCTTCATTGAATTAATAAGTCAAGTGAAACCCAGTCATCACTTGAAAGGGCATCGACACGAAACGCTGGCCAATGGTGAGGCCCTAAAGGTGCAAAGGTAAGGAACTCTAGAGCCTTGCTGTGGAAGCCAAACCAGCAGTGGTTTTGTGGCCTTCAACTTATTTTACGCCATACGTATCCAACCGTGCTAATAGGAGGTGTGAGACTTAATGTTATGCACAGCCTGGGCCCAAGTTAGCTGATATAGATTACCCCACTGGACATTACCTAGACCAGTATAAATGAGATGCTAATTTTAAAACTACATTTATGAGTGTGCAACGTGGTTCCAGATATCAAGGTTATGAAGCAGCCACTGTGCATTCTGGTGGAGAATGCCAGTGCAAGCCATGTCCCATCAGTTTGTTAAAGTGATTTAAACCATCCACTAAATCCTCGACTGCTGACGTCTTCTATGTATTATCTGGACGAAATCTCTAGCAATGGATCCATACCGTTTAAAGCACAAGGTGCAATATATATAGCGCTTTGACAATGAACATTGGATATACATTTTACTTAGAAATCTTACCTAGAAACATCATTTTTTGTCTGTCCGTCTGTCTGTCTCTGTGTTTATGTGCAGGGAACTTGCGAAGGATTTGGCTCGCGTAAAAAAAAAGTAGCCGGGTACCACGCCGTAAACTCCGTGGTGACCTAGCGCTATTCCATTTTCCCATCCGTCAACTTGCAAGTAGTTGCATTAACAAATGAGTGAAATGCATCATTATTTATTTATTTCCTCGCGCCGCTAACTGCTGCAATCATAGCAGCTACCACCACAGAATACACTGCTGTAATCATAGCAGGTACCACCACAGTCAGTATGCACTGCCATAATCATAGCAGGTACCACCACAGGCAGTATGCACTGCTGTTATCATGCCAGGTACGACCACAGTCACTATGCACTGCTGTAATGATAGCTGGTACCACCAGTCGTTATGCTCTGCTGGAGTCAAAGTAGATACTGCTATGGAGTTGGTAGATACTGCTATATACAGTTAGTAGATACTAAAACAGTCAGAATATACCACTAGTCAGTAAATACTGCTACAGTCAGTACATACTACTATACAGTCAGTAGATACTAGTACGGTTAGTAGCTACTACTACTGGCTCAGGAGATACTACTGTACAGTCAGTAGATACAACTATAAAGTCAATAGATACTCCTTACTCTGTTGAATGTAGGGTGTGGACGTATATATACCTACATGGGGGTAAATATTTTTCTGAGGGGGGCGTCGACAATTTTCGAAAACCTTTTACATCAACTATTTACCCTCCACTTTCTATAACTTTTGGGAATTCTGCAAGCCTCTTATAATTTGGCTCGTGGATAAATGGACAAACGGCCCACCGGGCTTTCACAGTAGTTTTGAAATATATTTTTTTGCCCGGGCAATGCCAGGTACTTCCGCTAGTGTTATATAAATGTTTAATGTAACATATTTATTACATTAACATGGAATTTTATTGCAGAAAAGTTAAACTACTTTGGACAGTCAAAACGGAACTATATTTCAGGCTTTACTATGCCCACTCACAGCAACTTCATTGATTGATGTGCTACTGAGTTGGAGGTCTTTGAAGGAACTGGTTCTTTTATACCTATCGTTATCTTAATATACATGTAATTATGTAAGATGCCCATTTGCTTTAAGGAATTTTCTCCTTCCACATCTGTTCATATTTTGTATTATTTATTCACACACGAGTATTTTATACTACGTATTTTTGTTTCCCTTTGTGATCCAAATACAACGATATGCAGTGACCAAAAATGTCATCTGTATAGAAAATATACAAAGTAACACTTTAATGCGCTGTTACATTGTATGCAATATTCAAAGTCGGTATTAAATTCAAATATACCTACCACACTTTCTAAGATCCATAAATAAAATTGTAATGTATATTATTCACAGTAAATACCAAAGTGTTTGGCGGAGAGCTGATCATTTAATCTGCATGTGCCAGGGAATGCAACGAGCCACCAGTCTCATGCACCATCTGCCTCTAGCACACTCTGTGCAGTCCATATGACTCATGCACTGTGGAGAGCTTGCTCAGAAAAATGTTGCCAAATCCCAATCAAACGCTAGTCCTTCACGTCAGAGCTAAAAGTGTCTAGTTGACTTTGAACACCTGCACAAGTGTGTAGGTGTAGGGGTGCAGTGATAAGCACATTGTGCTCTGAACCCAGTTACAAGGGTTCAATTTAGGGGGGGTCTAAAGATGCCGATTCATTGACAAATATTGAGTTGTAAACTTCATGATACCTGCATAGAAATGCATGTGATAATGTGTTTTCCAATTTATTCCATTTTATGCTGTTATTTAAGCTAATAGGGTGAAATAAAAGCTACACAACAAGAAGACAAATACGAAATTACATGAAGGATAGTGAATATTAGACAATTTATCAAATCACCATCTATATCAATTCCCAGAGCAATGGAAATAGGTCTTGGGCCTCACCTCGGCCAACTGGGGCTAAATGAATACCTGATACAATGTGTAAACAAACACTGGGGGAGATAAACAATCTAGGTATGGTACTGGCCGCACCACCCTCTCGTATGCTATTCCAGCCTTATTATGTGCTCAGGGATATAATTTATTCCTATGATTGAAAACGAAAAAAAGAGACCTTGTGTGTATATTTTTACGGGGAAATTGTGACCAGTTTCTAAAAGGTAACAACTCGGAATATAATTACAGATGATACACTGCAGTGGCTCTTAATATATAAACTTGGTTTGATAATCTCTACATCAATTCTGTGTAAAATTAGCACACCGGCCAATGTATGGCCAGGCATACAAAGGCCCACTAACCCCTTTGGAGTGACGCACCAATTTAAACACGTTTCATAATAGCACTCACTCCAACTGTCAATTTAAGACAAAATAAGATTTTATCTTTGTTAAACTTTAATTAAATCAGTTATGCGCATATTTAGTTTAAATCGAATTACAAGTGCAAAAGAGTGTTTGAGTGTGTGTGTGTGTACATGCAAAGTACGTGAGTGCATATTGGTGTGCGCGTCCACATACATACTAATCTGTCATTTGTGAAATATTGCACTGCTACCAATTTAATGTTTGGGCAACTTTCAACTAAGGTGGCTATTACTTCATATAAAACTGACAACTTTTAAAATGTAATTTCGTAAGTTGCTAATTCCTTTTTTGATTCTTTGACAACCAGTATTGGTGTCCTAACATAACCCTTGACAGCATTATGCAAGAGACTTGGGGATCTGAAGCAGCCTGCCTTCTATCAGGGAAGTGCCATTCTGTAGCTGATAATATGGACGAGTATGAAAATAGTAACGTGAAACATGGGCGAGTGGCAGACTGGGGGGGGGCTGATGCCCGAGTTGTTTTACACAGCCTTCAAAAATTAAAGACTCTGGCTTCAAATCCTGGGTGAGAGAGGCAGAAATAATCTTGACACTAAAGATTCAGGGCTCCCATGTGCTGCGAGTTACACGGTCTACCTCTGGATACCAATTATCCCCAAGTTTATGTTTGCACCTGATCAATACACAGCTCTGTAACCAGAGGTAAACAGAGAAATCACTCTAGGGTGGTACGAGCATCATTAACTGTCAGTGGAATGACCTGTGGTAGGTATTGCAGCGCAGGAGGCTCGATTATTGGACAATACAACCATGAAAAAACTTACGTGTAACAGACCAGTGGCCACAGGATTGAAAAACTAGCAAATTAAAGAATGACCTTGTGCTGGTAAGAGATGGCATTATTTGTGAACATATGTTCAATAAAACACTTGCTCGAATGCTTTATCATTGCTGCATGGGTAAAAGTGGTGACAGGTTGAGTTGGAATCTGGCTTGTTCACAGGATGCAGTTTGTCTTAATATAAGAGGAAGATCTGCAATTAGCCTGGGTGTGAGTTTAATCTCTCAATGCAGGGCATCCCATGTTGTAGTTTGCATTTATTTTGCTCCGATGTTCAATGTTTCAATGTTGAATGTGCCGTGTGTGCTTACAAGATGACATGTTCGTTTAAGGTCACTTGATAAATTAAATAGGAAACTACAGAAACATGATACTGCAACCAGTTAAGAGATTCACATGGTGGGAGGCAATCAGCATGGGTGCGTGAACACCATATAACCATACAGATGTAGCATCAGATGTAGTGCAGCGATAAGAAAGTCGCTACTAAGTGTCCCATCAACGTGAAAAGGGGCACAGTGCTAAGCAGCTGTACATCAATGATTGGAACAATCAACATCAAACTGTATATATATTATGGTATAAGTAGAGATTATCAAAATATAAGTAGTAAATGTATAAATGACAGGTGTATGATCTGTGTGAATGAATGTGTGGATATTTGAGTGTCCGGGAACAGCAGGTGTATGGCATGCAGCCGAGTGTTGTTTGTGAATTATGTTCATTATTCACTACCTGAAGAGTGTGCAAAAATACCCAACTATTGTGTGTACATGCATGCGTGTACTGTAAGAGGAGAATGTGCTCGTACATGCGAGTATTCGCAGTCTTGTGAAGCATCAAAGTGGTGCCCTTGGGTCCAAGAACCGCATGCTCCAAGCCAAAGTGTGTGGCTACACGGTGCGCCAACAGCCGGTGATACGATGTCATTGGGGACAGCGAGTGTATATTCGCACTGCACGCATTCAACACACAACAGCAGCAACATGAATTGATATGCGAGTTCGCCGGTTAAACTGCAGCCATCCCTTATGAGGTTTTATTTTAGTAATTGATAGGTAGAGATGCTGACAGTTGGGGCATCATTACAGCATGGTTCCCAATGACTAGAAAGCAAAATGCGCTTCATTGAATCAATTTGGTATTTGCAAGTGTCATATTTCTGTGCAAATATATTCAATTGAAATCCATATTCAGTTGGTAACCAGTTCAAGTGTTTGACAAGGGCAAGGACAAAATCTAAGATGCTAATTATGGAAGACGTGTTGATATGTAAAGCTGATATAACACAAAACAAACATGGCAGAAATTAATACAAACGCAAACGCATGGATATTCAAAAGATAGGCCCGAAAAACAAAACTCACAAATTCAGCCATATATGAACCTACGCATGTGGCAATGACACAATTGATAAAAATGTGTAGACCAAAATAACTGTGACTTGGCCCGCAATTCGGCCTAAATTGTGATCACGCTGACACGCTCACCTCCGTAACAAGCAATCACACATCGTTTAGGCGTTCCAGTAGTCTATTACTCCTCGTTGTGAAAACCCATTCCATTACGCTGTCAGCGAGTCGGGGCCAGTTTAGTAAAACGCATTACAGGCACATTCAACAGGCCAGCACACGAAACCTCTAAGATGACCAATGGACAGTGAATTTGTATCACAGCACAAACATATATTTAATTTAAAAAACGAAGTAACGAAAGGGAAACAATAACTCACTTGCTGTCTTTTATGAACTCCAAAATATCTTGCTCCATCTTCAGCAGAAACATTCTGTCTCTACAGAGCATCATCATGGGGCAACAATGGGTTACATGAGGAATCTTGAAACCAATACGTGCCTTTTGTGACAACCTAACAAAGGCTGCCATTGGTGCAGCGCGATACCACAGGAACTCAATGACAAAGAGACTCACGGGCATTGGGATAAAGTGATGTGCAACAAATTGACACTCACAGGGGCACCAACACAATAACAGAAGGGCAAAGGTTAGCCACATGTGGTAATTACTGTTACTCATACACAGAAGCAAATATGCTGCAACCTGTCTTATAGACTGTTAGAGCAAGCTATGTGAGCATATATTCAGAATAACATAACAAGGGATTAGTGTGGCCAGTACCACTTAAAGCTGATGGTCCAGGCTATTTTTTTCTACGTGCATATGCAGGAGTCAACCCGAGGTTGCACATATCATTGTACAGTACACTAATCACTGTTCCCACATTGCCCACACAGACATACCTGGGGTTATTCTTTAAGATGTCGGTCAGAAACTCTGCCACATCAACTCCTGTAGAATCCTTCAGCTCCAGAACAGGTTCTGTTGAAACAATTTAGAGGCTTGTTAATGTAATCGTGCATTGTTCTTGCTTTGACCGATTGAATTAATAGTGTAACATATTACACACAGACCTGGGGAAAATGCACATCGTGCACACTAGTAATTGGTGATTCCTGTAGGAGTCATATTTAAATCGTGGGTGATTGACAGTAGGCATTTGGCAATGTTCACGGTAAAATATCCATTCACTTTCATGATGTTTTGAGAGGGGTAAAGGTGCCACCTAGTGCTAGTAATTTGAATTGCTACTAGAATTGCAATCACTGAAATTAAAGAGGAATTCTAGGCTGTCAAAGAATTCCCATTCATTTCAATGGCAATTCTTGTAAATGAACGGACTCTTTGAGATAGAATTTCAAGCCTCGTTAAATATTGTTAAAATCACTGTCGAGCATGTCTTTATGACACTACAGGGACATCACTGACCTCAGTTCCATGATGCCCAAAACAATACAAATGTATTAACATCACAAAAACACTATTGACAGCACACTTGACAATAATTTAAGTACGTCGTCTTCGAAAAATAATCCATAAACTCACGTAGGACAACCAAGACACAGCCTAGGTACATATCAAAATGATCAGCATTATTTGTTTTGGGATTCGATCTTCGATCACCATCGGCTAAACACAGCTTTAACGAGGCAGCTTGCCAAAGACAAAATTTGCATGTGAAGGCAGACAGAAATTACAAACAAAATGAGGTCACCGTTAGTTATTGGCACACTGCAGCAGGTGCTCCTTTTCAGTTCAGTGAACCTGTGGGTGGCTCTAACATAGATTCAGAATATTTTTACAGGTGTGCATGATCATGTATGGACATGCACAAAGCAAAGCTTTTTACAGTTTTGCAAATGAACATTGAAGGAATATCCACGTCACCTTTAACCAGTTTGGCTTTAGGGATCAGTCCAGGACAAGGGAGGAGTCCAGAAGGCACATTGATGTTGGTGGAGGGACAGGGGGTTCCAGAGGTTTCAGGATTCCCAGGATCCGGTGCTCTTCCTGCTTTGTTCTTGCTCTTGCTTTTCTTCTTGGTCGACTCTTTGCTGCCCTCTGGTGCCTGAGGTTTCCCCTTCTGAGTTGCATCCTTGGAAACGAAATTGTTTACAGTCTCCATGAGCGAAACGACATCCACGAAAATCCAAGCGTTTACTACTGTGTCAAGCAAACAATGCAAGAAGTCAAGCATGAAGGTGGCTATGTAACTGTATTAAGGGTCAAAGGATACAAAATATACATTTTAACACTTAAAAAGATGCAGTCTTAAACGCATTTACACCAATTGGATTGCTCTTTTCGGTAAAAAAAAATCTGAGTTTTAGTGAGACAATTGACATCAGGGCACACGTGTCGTGTTTCCTGACTCCGTCACATCATGAGTGGTTATGGGGAGTGCCCAGCTCAAAGCAGTTAACATGGTTGGGACGAGGAGGCCCTTGAGCCCACTTGGGAAACTATGCTGTCAAAGTGGGCCTGCTGCAAAAGCAGACAGCTCCAGCCTGAGTCTCGAAGCTGACTGTTCCAGAACGATTACAAGTGGTCATCAAAACAAGAAGTGAGAGACACGGTTGTAAGCTGCTTACCTGCATGGGTACGACCTGCGGCATATGTCCTGCTCCCTCTGGGGGCTTCTCGACAACTGGTCCACGTGGCTTGGCCTGCCGCACGAGCAATTAAATAGACGAGGTAACCATCAGCACTTCTGATGAGCACGGTTATTTTTACATATCTGGGTGTACACGGTTGCCATTATGCAAATGACCCGACTCACTCAAGAACACAAAACTGTTTTGCCTCTGTAATGTTCAACAGCTGCCAGGAGAATAGTCTAAAGCCTGTCATCTGGATGGTTTGTTGTTGAAAGGTTGTGTCTTGAGATATCTATGGGTACTTAATACATGAAAAAAAATAACTGAGGTATTTAACTTCCTGCTCTGCAAAACAAATGTTTATTTTGCCACGTGCAGTTTTTTTTTCAGAACAAGGAGTCCATTTAACACGTAGGCTTTCCCGACCAATATTATTCATAATAAAGGTTTTTGGGTTAGATCGCCTAAGTATAAATGTGTCGTAACCCTCCACCACCCGATACAGCCAATTATTAAGGGATTTGTCACGTAAACAAAACGCCAAATAGTGACTACTTCAGCTCATCGGTGTGTTGGAAAGTAAATCCACAACATTTACAATTTGAGTACGACATTGCGCTGGTAATTACATCCAGCATCATCGAGCGATTTACCAGAATAGTGAAGCCATCCACCTGCTTCCGGTCTTAAATAGAGCAAGATGACGTCATCACCGAACCCATCAGGTGCAGAAAATTGGCTGTGTCAGGTGGTGGAGGGTTACGACAGATTTATAAATAACACGATCCAACCCAAAAAATGTATTACGAACAAGCAAGGAGTGTTGCATTAGATTTTTCCTTGCTTGGAAATCTTCAATCAAAAACACGATGCAAACAATCGCACAAAAATATCTCTCCTGAAAAAGTATGGCTTGTTCAATTCAAAGCCAAAGTGTTTCAATACTTAAATGAGTACTGCGAAGGGACTGGACCATTTCCAAATGAGTCTCTCCATGAGACCAGCACTGTTGACTTGTCACAAAGTAGTACTTGTTAATATTCTTTGGGTCTTTCGGTAAAGTCACGTAGATAGGTTCAAAGAAAATAACAAAAAAACTACGACGTTTCGATCGCAACACAAACGGTCGTCTTCCTTTTCCTGAAGACGACCGTTTGTGTTGCGATCGAAACGTCATAGTTATTTTATTTGAACCTATCTACGTGACTTTACTGAAAGACCCAAAGAATATGAATTCCTGCAGTCACGAAAACTTTAAGTCAAGATTTAGTACTTGTTCATTTTTTATGAAGCTAGGAGATGTGCCAGGTTGAATTGATAGTTAGTTAGCCGAGATTTGAACTTGAAACCACCTAACCCGTGAGTGAAGCTTTTTTTTATATTACCACCACCAAAATCCAGTGGGTTACACACAAAAAAACGTCAGGCACCAAGAGCAACTTACCTTGGATTTCTTTTTCTTCTTGGATGTGGTTTCTGTTGGGCCATTGACAGCCGGAGTGAGGTTGGAAGCTAGGGGGTTGGTGGTGACCTGCAACGCTTTGACAAGGGGGCTATCTGCACCCCCTGGTGCAAGCAGGGTGGGGTGGGCACTCGGTGCCTCCGCAGAAGCCACGTTTGCAACCCCACAACAGTCAGGAGTGGCACCTTCCTCCACTTGCTGTTTTGTGAAACGAGGAGCCTACAAACAACAATTGACAGTTTTAAGGACGTGAATGAAAACTCATGGCTTTTAAAAATAAACATATTCCTGCGGAGGGAGCTGGTAGGAACATTGGCAAATATGCCCGACTGTGAGGGCAGGCACAAGCTGGCGTGAGTAGGTTAAATGTTGAGTTTTATAAGGGCACCACGGGGTGACCAGCCCCTCCCCACCAAGCCCACCTCCCACCCAGCCCCACCCTCCCCACCCAGCCCCTCCCTCCCCACCCAGCCCCTCCCTGCACGACGGACGGACACAATAATCCCCTGTGGGCTGGTGTAACCAGGAGGTTCCTACCAGTATGATGGCTAAGTTGTGGAATATTTTAAAATAAGGGATGAATGTGGTAACAATACCATAACATAGCCTATTTAAACAAATGATGCCATCACGGGGTTTTCAATATATATTTCACGGAAGATACACTTTTGTGATTTCCTAAAAAAAATAGGTTATTGCATAAACAAGGAAACGTCAACCCAAGCAGGATTCATTGGTCAGTAAACTTACCTCCAATGTCTCCAAGTGGTAGTTCTCTAATATCTTTAGAAAACAGTCACTGTGAGTTGTTTAACCAAATGGGAGTCGCACGAGGGTATGAATAATTTGGGAAGAAAAAAAGATGCCTTACATCTTCTACATCTGGTTTCTCTGGGACACCAAATTCGACCAAATTGGTTTGCAATGATCACTGTCACAGCTTACCTTGGATCGTTTTTTCTTTTTCTTCTTCGATTTCCCACTCTACGTATGCAAGAGACAAACCAAGTTATTTGCATCTGTACAATTTTTACATCACAAAGTGTTCATTAACAAACAAAAAAAACACCTGCTTCCAAAACAAGCAGCCTCAATTTGGAATGGCAGTTCTAATGCCAAAATAACTATCCTTTAACTTAACATGCAGTCATGTGCACTGGGAAGGCCTCCGAGAAATGTGCTATGATGAGAGATGCTTGGCATGGTAATCCGGATGGCTTTGCCGACCCAACTATTTTGGAAAGTGACAGCACAAAGCCAAACAGAATCAGTCGGAGATATGCAACCCTCTCGTTTTAAATGCAGTTGTTTTCATATTCTTTCTGCAAAGGCAAAAGGCATGTTTAAGTAAGAATAAATGTTGATTTGTAACGGTGTCAAATAAATGTATCATATACTCTGCCTTTGTGATATATTTTGGGGTTTTTTTGTAAGTAAAATGTTATGTTATGCTCAGAATAAAACAAATGTTCGAAAATAATCCCAATATCATGAATTTTGGACATTTGACTCGAAAATTATGCTGGATAACTTATTTGAATGTTTTTTCACCGATGAGTTACGTTTTTTTTGGCGATATGCTTTAGGCAGAGCATAGCACCTTTGTGCTATTTTTAGACATAATTCATAGCACAGACCACTTCATCCTGACAGGGAAGTCTTAGGAAGAAGCATTGAGAGACAGCTCCCAATATATTATCAATTGGCCTCTTTCACCCAACTCTTATATATGGTTGTGTTTTTAGCATGTGCAGGACAACATGGTTTCCCTCATATGTGGGCAATCCAAACTGGGTGTGGTTTATCTAAGTTTACTTCCAATAAATATATACAGTAATTGACTACTATATTTACCTATAAGAATGTCAGTGTGTAACGTGCGTGACGTCATACATATTGCACACGAATGGATGCAATGAATATCACATCACGGTCTGATTTTCACTTGAAAGTTTCAGATTTACTGCAATACACCCGTCCTTGGACGGGATAAAGGCTAGTAGGTGAGGTTTGTATGAATAATAGGCTGCACTTAGAAAATGAAGATGCTTCAAATGAAATTTTTTTTACCACAAGTGGTAACCGGAACCTAAGGAAAATGGACATTCACTTATTCACACTGCAGAGGGGTGGCACTTGGCAAATAATAATAAGAAAATGTGGATAGCCGGAGTGGTCAATATAATATGCATGAAAATAAAACCCAAGTGTGAAAAGATCTACAGATAAATGTGAATCACAAATTTAATTTGCCAACTGACTCCTTATGCACGGATAAACACAAACAATGCATTAATATGCCAAGTGACTCCTCTTAATCATGAAAACGTGACTGGAATACTGTTTGTGCTTGTGGTAAACACTGCCAGATGAATCCTCTTATCTGCAAATAAATACAGATAATAGGATTAATTTGCTGCATAACGTCTCATTAATTATGAAATGAGAATGTATATATTGGGAGATTGGTGACAAATTCCATGACTTCTGTTACCCATAAAAAGTTGCAGGAAATAGGAAAGGTACATCCGTGCATAACAGGAATTTTAGATTGTAGACCACAGATAATACGATTCAAGAACAGGGTGAAAAATAAGAGCTGCACTGTACCTTGATTTAAGGCTTCAAAAACCCACAAAGAAAATTGGAATGTTTCAGCTCTGTTCGATATTTATCTATAGTTATATAATCACAAACACATGGTTATGCAACTGTCAGATATTAGTTGGTAATATTAAATTGCCTCGGATTGTCTTCCCTATAAACAAAAGATGCACGGACAAAATCGTTTTGGTTAAAAAGCAGAACTCATAAAAGTACAAAAGTCGAAGATATATGATCGCATGGATAGCTAATCAATACAATCCAGAATCTAAAACAGTTGGAATATATCGCTCTTTAGAGTCAATAAATAGTAAACTGTATAGTTTGTACAGAACCGTAATTTTAAGTGTGAAAGTCTTAATGTACATTGCAAATCATGGAACGTCACAAAGCAAACATGACTGTTGTAAATGTCAGGAGACTTAAGCAACAAACATCATTCAGGTGTGCACATCATAAACCAGATTATCCAGTTATGGATGGGCAACGTTTCTCATACCGTGTCAAATTTAATTGAGTTGTTCTCTTTAGTTACATGCCAACCATAGTGTGCATTTAAGAGGCCGAGACAGTACTGAAACATCTGATTTATACAATCAGCAATGCAAATGAAACAAAAAGTGAAATATTAAAACATGGCATATGTGCCATGCATGGAGGGTGGGCTGATAATAAATTTTGTAACACACCACACAAATAGTACTCATGTAAACATTCCTGCATAAGCAATGAATTATGTTACCAATTTGGGAAATGTCAATTTGGTAATGTTTTATAGCTCAAGAGTAACCAGTGACTGGTCATAAAAATGCAACTCACAGATCTTGTCAAAATTATCATACTCTTTACACACTTTACTACCAGTGCAGTGCATATTACTAATTATTCTAGAGTGAGCAGCGTAAACTGCATCCAATCACTTCAAAGAATAATTGCTTGCACAAAATATGGTCAGATCGCAAAACAAAATTGCTCTCACTGTTGGGACCTGAGTGTCATCCACTTTGACCAGCTAAGTTTTAAAATCTTCATTTTTTAATCCTACACTTATGACATTTGGTGGTCGATGTCAAGAGATGCGACCTCCTTCAAATGATAAATGCTATCTTCCTTTTATGTCTGCTTATGAATTGCACAAGTCCACATAAAAGTCGAGTTTCCTCCAAGACATTGAGATATGGTTGCATTAGAAGATTAGATGTGGTATAAATCCAAATTGTGTTGTGTTGTAATGCTCGAAACTGGAAAGAGATCAGTATATAACGAAACCACACTTAACTTAAACATCCAGAATGTCTTTGGTACGAGGCTCTTAACAATTGTCTTATTTTCAATAATGGCCTCAGTTGGCTGCGTTTAATACATTTTTTAGGAACGCTGATATAACCATACTGCTTCTACAGAACCCAAGTAGCACGCTTCTGTGTTTTTATATTTATAACGACACAATATGAGAATATTGGCCTCTGTGAACTTGTTTTTGCTTTAGTGTAAGGGCAATTATGCAAGGTGTTCGGATGTTTAAGAGGTTGCTAAGCATGTGATTAAGAACCCTCTTAAAATATGTATGGCTTGTGTTTTAGTGTGGACCTAAAACCTGTCAGACAAATGTATATCTTTATTTTGCGGTGCTTAGAAGATGTGCATTTACAAAGGCCCATAATATATAGCCTACATGTGCTTTTTCAGTGAATTTGCTATCCTTGTCCATGGCGTGACATCAAGATTTCTGTATGGTGGGGCTGGATTGCTCAATACCACTGTGCCTTCAATTGCACGTTAAACACAGCTGCAATATGTGTCCAGTGTAGAGATAATCATGCTTGGAACATGGACAACATGGACAAAACGCTCTTAAGAGTAAACAAGAGTTTTTGCACTTACAATTGTTATGGAATTGGCAAATCGGTGGAGCATTTCGTTTGTTAACAGGCATTTTTATACTGAATGGTAATAGCAAGGGAACAAACGGAGAGGAAGTGCAATAGACCGATTCATTCATTAGTGCTGATGGCTGTGACAATGAAAATGGAAGATAACCTGGCTTCATAAAGTCCCTATTAGAAACAATATACCACCAGGTTCAGTTGTATTATCTTCTGAAGCTGAAGAAAACAAGCTCTCCTTTCATAAATAACAATGTAATGAAGCACAAACATGTAATAAAGACTACGTATTACAACTAACGGTTCTTGCTTTACTAATAATTCATTTAAAACATGTATTCAACATGACAGTCTAGATTAGTTGTCAGCAATTGTTTTTATCAAACATAGGGAATAAAAAAACTATTCCAAAGCAACACCATCCTATTAAATGTGACGATCAGCCACAAGAACTGTGTTCAAGCAAGGCAACCGCCTTCTCATCACACAAGTTCAGTCCTGATTATGAATCGGACAGCTGTTACCTCATTAACTTGCGCCGCTGGGGATTCTGGGATGAGTCCCCTTGTCCCCAGTCTTGTCTGCAGTAGAGTCATCATCATCACTGCCTTCCGACGCATTGCTGCCCTTTTCTGCTTCAACTGGACTAGATGCTTCCTCGGATGGACTACTTGACCCCTCCAGCGAGCTCGTAGGCCTTTCAGAATGATCACTCAGCATTCCCGTCAGGTTATCTGGCTCCTCAAGAATGAGGCTCGCCTCCACGGATGGCATATCTAGCTGCAGAGAGGGGGGGCAGGAGGCCTCCGTGATAAATGTGACGGACTCCTCCGGCAGAGTTGTTGCATCCAAACTGACTGGAGCTTCCGTACTGGGTGTTATCTTGTCTGGCATGGTCTCCGATGGACTCCCTTGCATGGTTCATTCGAGCCTGCTTCCAAGAGGGTAGACAAAAAATAATACATGTTTTTTTACATAAAGCCAACAATGGTGCATTCTGAGTAAAATTTGAGTCAGAAATCCTGACCTGACACACACACACACAGTGCCATTTCCAGCGTGGGAACTATGAAGACAAATGCACCCATTGCAATGTTCCATCGCATAGATTGCCTCGATAGCCTTTACAGAAGACAAGTGGAAATGCATTGACAACTACAGATGTAAAAGTGCCTCTTAACTTGCAATCAGGAATTTTCTCAGTGAAAATGGAATCTCTATATAATGCCACAGCATTCAACTGAAGACAGATCAAGCCATTCGACAATTGCATGGGTTCTGGAATATTAGTGACGCCTTGGTTGGTTTCTTTATTAACTATATGGGAACATTTTATACTCATATTTAGATTAAAAAAAGTTCTCAAGAAACAGGCTGTAAATGTTAACTCATGTATCAGATAACTGTAAAAAAATACTATGATAATAAAATGTAATGTTTCCTTTTATATATTTGTACCATGACGTTATGGAAGACCAGGCTTGCAAAGTGTTTTATCTTCATAGGTTCATAACTGGTATGGCATATGTACAGTATTTCGTTTCATTATTTTAGGGCAGTGTTACTGGATTTTGGTGAGATACCTTTTTTTGCAATAAGCAGCTTTTTTCCTCTATATTAAAAATGTTGAAAACTAAAGTATTATTATTTTTGTCTACAACTACAGTACAATTTCACCAATTTGAATGGAGATTTTCCACCATTAGTTGCTCCACACAAATTTTTCAAACAATTGTTTGACAACCAGTGAGAAGCAGCTTTGTCCATGCATATAACACTTTTCACAAGTGGCTAGTAATGTTTAGTGAGCTCGGAAATAAACTATACTGTACCCAACATGGATTGCAACAGGTCTAAAGTTATAATTTCATGTGGACACAAGCCCATTCTTGAACATAAAAATCTGAAATTGCCTTCACGTTTGTCCCAATGGTCAACTGAAACCACCTCAAAGCGTCAATAAAATGAATGCTACAATCACGCAAACCAAATGATGGCAGCAGGAATAACCAATCCCTTCATTACTGCTCATAAGACTGTGACGATTAATCTTTCTTGTATAGTGAATTTGTAATTCTACCAAGAACTAGGTCAATACCTTTATCTTCTTTGCATGGCAAAAATTACAAAACATAAAACAGGATTCTCAAAACAGGCATTAAGTGTCACATGTAATTTTTCCACTGTTGAGTTAATTAAATGTTTATGTAGTACAAAAGCTTTTAAAATAACGTCATCAATAGTCATAATTGTTATAAATAGAATGTAGCCCTTAATGTGATGTATAGAATTATTGTACAACGTTGAGAGACTGCAATTTACATGGATAAATGAAATTCTTCATATCAAACTATTAATTTTCCAGTGTGATTTGCCAGTTTCTCCAAATTAATTGTCAAATGACCTCAAACAATTACAAATAGGACACAATTTAAAGGATCTAAAATTAAGTCTAAATAAAGACAGTTCATTTGAGCAAATATGTAAACATATTTTTGTCAATAACACTGCCTTAAATTCTAAGCAAACTTTTTGGCCTATGAAGGGCCACTGCCCTATGATATAGTAGGAAGAGTTGGTGGAACATCAACACACGAGGCTGCATTAAAGCAGGGCAACAAGGATGCAGCACTCCAACAATATGCGGTGCACACGGGAGCTAGGGGTCCAAGTGACACTCACTGGACTGTTGAAGACCTATGAGACTGGAGGACAAGGGAAATTGGACTCTCAAAAGCATGGGATGGACCCACAGGCAGAGGTCGCAACCGGGTACCCGATACCCGTACCCTACCCGATACCCGGCTACCCGGCCGGGTACGGGTACCCGTTTGTGACCCTGGTGCGGCCGGGTACGGGTAGGCCGTGAGTCACTGGTGAGTCACCGTTTGTCACTCATTTCCCAACGTCTTGTCTCTTCTCACAATTCAAGTTCCTAGAATCAACCCACCCGCGCCTGCAACATGGCTTCATCCCAGAGGTCGCAATCGGGTACCCGTCCCCGTACCCTACACGATACCCGGCCGGGTACGGGTAGCCGGGTATCGGGTAGGGTACGGGTAAGGAATCAAACCCCGTTTGCGACCTCTGCCCACAGGACAAGTGAGATCACTGGATAGATAGGGGATTTAGGTAACCCATGTGACTTGGGCACCAATTGACACGGGACTGGGGCATCCATGGTGTAAGGGACTCACGGAACTGGGGAACCAAGACACCACGAGGAGGAGACGGGGTGCCAGGGAACCTATGATAATGGGAAAACCAGGGGACAGAATGACTTGAAGGGCATTCCACAGTTCTGAGACACCAAGGAGACTGCAAATCAAAATAGTGTGGGGGGGGGGGGCTCACATTGCAACACTGTAACATGTGAGACTCGGGTAGGTGAAGCTGAGTAACTCACTGAACTTTAAGCAACTCGCGGGGTATGCGAAATATAGGGGCCCATTTGACTACGATTCCAGGCGGAGTAAGTGGGCCCCACACGGCACTCAAAATCCCCATGGCACGTACGGCACTGGTAGTTCTAGAACAGGACACATGTCCTGTAACACGGAGGCGTCTAGAGCACGTGGCTCACAAGATCATTTGGCTTCTCTGCGACAGTCATCCCAGGTGACTCGTGGAATCCCACGATTAGCGCGGTTACCGAGGACAGATCCTCCTACAGAACGATAATTTTCGGAGACAAGAACCCCCCACCGACGAACTGGTGTGTGTGTGGTGATCTCGAGAGAGCGCAGAGTTTGGGGGGGGGGACCCCCCCACGAATCTCGCCGGGGGCCTGACACGCGAGCCGGGCAAGGCCTCGGCCTAAAGCAGCGCCACGCAGGGGCCTACGGAGGCGCCGCGCCGGCTCCCACACAAACCCCCTTCGCCCCTCACACAACAAGCAGCGGAGACGACGAACTGAGCGAAAGCAACAAAACCAAACCCCGCACGCACACAAACAGCAGCAGCGAGCGTGTTACGCACAAGGCGGCGGTGGTGGTGGCAGGCGACGCAGAGGGCGCCGAGTGGCCGTGTCGCCTCCACGTTGCTGGCCGCGCCGCCTCGGCCTCTGCCGCCATGAGCCGCCGGTTCCGCGCGGTGGAGCCTCCTCCTCCTCCCTCCCTCTCTCGCTCTCTCTCCTCCCCTCCTCTTCCTCCTCCCCTCCTCCTCTTCCTCTCTCCTCCTCCTCCACCACCAACAACAACAACGCGGCCCGCGTCGAAAAGTGCCGGCCCACGATGGATGTAATTATCCCCTGCACCACCACCACCCCTCCCCACAACGGACTGGGGAATACAAACTTGCGGTTGTTTGGGTGGAGAGAGCCGAATGGAGATGGGGTGGGGGATGAAAAATCAACAACTTAGTTGTTGTTGTTGTTGATGGTTGTGGCGGTGGGGTGGTTGTTGTATAATTTTAGAGTTGGTTGAGGAGGCGGGTGTGAGGGGGGGAGGGGTGAGAGAGAGAGAGAGCGACGTGACGTCACGCGCGGTGAGGAAACCCCCACGGCTCTGGCCCCGCCCCCTCCGTCCCCCCCCCCCCACGGCCCCGCCCCCCTTGCCCCCCCCCCCGGCCCCGCCCCCTTGGCCCCACCCCCCCCGGCCCCCCCCGCCGTTGGTGACGCTGCCACGTGGCGCCCACATTCAAATCCGAGGGCCGGATCCACCCCATTCATTCATTTCAAGTTGACGTGTTTTTTGTTGTTGTTGTTGTACAATGTAATGCTTCCTCGTCGTCGCTTGAAGTCATGCCAAGCACATTTTTGGGACCCATGCGCTTAACCTGCAACAATGCGAGTTTATCACCGATGAAGCCTCGGAGTGCCTAATTGAAGTTCAAATAACTCACAAACACATACCTTGGGAAAAGACCCAACGCAGAAGATCGCCTGGATTTGGATCTTCCACAAAGCTCATGGTCCACCCTAAATCACATCCACACAAACCATGGCAGATGCGTATACCTGATGCACAAATGCAAAAAATTGTAAAACTATCCAGTGTACGACTGTGGTCATCCACAACATACCGTACTACATATGCCAGATCCACAACTACGAAGGAGACATCACAGCGATGATGCACTCCGCTGCTCCTGACGCGATTATCTGACTTGACCACCTGATTTGTAGTTGTTCCTCTGCATCTACATCAGCCATACTAAAGAAAACGATTCAGTGTTCTGCACTCATTTTCAGTGTGAGGGCCGCCACACATGTGAAACCATTGGGGGGTTTGACAGTAGCACGACGACGATGATGATGGGGGTGGTGTTTTCACTCGTATGTTGTCGGGGGCCGTACTAGAAGCGCTGGGCCCCCCAAAGCGTGGGGCCCGGGGCAGTCGCCTCGATTTGCCGCACCCTAAGGACGGCTCTGGCTGTGGCAGCCTTTGCTCATTTTACACAAAGAGATCGCCACAGATGAATGCACAGCAGCAGCAGAGTGGTGTGTGTAATACGCTATTAGTTACTCAATTGGTTGAGCGTTGTGTAATGTTTAACGTTTGGTCAACATTAAATGTTTCCACCAGGGGGCGAAATTGTAGCCCTAATTTACATAACGTACAACTCAATTGTAAAAAAAAAAACACAAACGCCAAAGGACGCAATACAACAACCGTATGCTTGCATTTTTCGGGACAGGCTGCGCGGTTTGCTGTTTTCAACATCATCATTATTCTAATTGAGAGTGATGGACGCATTGAACATGGTACATATCGTAATTTGGAATTCGAATTTAACCCGTGGGCTTTTGCGACCAATGTTACGATTCATAATTTTTTTCTGGGTTAATTCGTGTGAATACAATGCCAGCGTGTAGTACTCCCTCCTCCACCCGACACAGTTGAATAAATAAAGATGCCAAGTGAACAAACACGCTGATGTTATTGCTTCAATACACTTGTATGTTTAAGAGCAAGCCACAACATTAACAATTAGGCCCGACGTTTCGCTGGTAATTGCATCCATCATCATCAGGCGATTGCCAGAGTTGTACCCGCTGGTGGCAAAGCTTTGTAGATAAAAAAAAAATATTGTATTCTTGGTTCCCGAGTGCTAATCATCATGTTTCCCCCATTCATATCTTCGGAAGTTGTACCGTGTTCCAGCTATGGCACTACAAAGTTGTCAAAAAACTTCGTGGCCGCCGGGTATACGGTTTTATTGCCACGTGCTTGTGATTTTGTTTTGGGTGACGTCTTTACACTGCGGTGAATAAAGTTGTCTCCAGTTGGAAGTAGGATTTAGAGATACAAATATTGGCACGTATAAATCATTTTTGTAAACATGAAAATCCCGGGTTAATGAAAATAATTGGGGCATAAAACGATCACATGGCTTATCCCAAAAACAAATATGAATACAATAACATACAAATAACATATCTCCTCATTCACGCATCATAATACATGTCTTTAAAAAGTAACAAATTTAAATATTTGTCTTGTGTAGGAGACAAGAAGACCATGTTTACTCAAAACAAACAAAGCTTATTCCAGCTACAAACAAACTGTACAGTATAAGGATAAGTATGTTTTCTATAAGTATAGTATTTTCCTACTTATATTCTTGGTTCTTTCGGTAAAGTCACGTAGAAGGGAAACAATAAAATAATAAAAATATAAAACAATACAATTCTCACGACATTTCGACTGCAACACAAGCAATCATCGTCGGGTGTGAAAAACACAGCAAGATGATTGATGATGATTGCTTGTGTTGCAGTCGAAACGTCGTGAGAATTTTATTGTTTTATATTTGTATTATTTTATTGTTTCCCTTCTACGTTACTTTACCGAAAGAACAAAGAATATGAATCCCTGTAGTCACGAAAGCTTTAAATCAAAATGTTCCTACTTGTAATTGGAAATCCAGTGACAATTTGAGAATTTCAAATTCCAATGGTAGCAACAAATTTATGGGAAGAACAGCTGTTGCCTTTTCACAAAGTGTCACGCATTTTTATTGAATCCAAAGAGTAATACCCCTGACGATTTGAATCCTTATTTTGTTAAAGTATATTCATATGTATTTCTTACCATGGAGACCTGGAAATAAATACATATATTTAAGTGCAATGATACAGAAGACTAATCGTTATGAAAAAAATGCAAAAAGCATGCACGTTTATTCTGATTGCATATGACATAGTGAATAACAACTTTAAGATCTGTATCCAAGTTTCAAAGCCACGTGACGGCTTCAGGTGAGACTGAATGAATTGTTATTGTCTCCATTGCATTTACAAAGTGGACAATGATTTTATAATGATTTGGTCAAGGTCTACGTTTCCTTTGATATTCTGACACTTATGAATGTGGTGACCTTAATCAGGACACGGGTCGTGCAGATTCGATTGAGTGTGCTTCTCGGTTTCAGGGAAGGTCGGCGCTAGGTTATTCGGCATGCATACTAATCAGAGACCTTCAGTCTACACCATATGAGAGCTAATGTAGACAAGCCTCTATAGGGAGAGAGACCAAGGAAAAACATTGAAGGGGAGTGGGCTGGAGAGTTCGGGTAAAAAATAAAACAAGCAGCGGCCTATCGTTCACAGCAGACATAAATTTTCGTCAAGAACGATCCAAACCAGTGCTTATCCAAAGCAAAAAAAAATCTGACTTTTTAACACCATCAGCACACACCTGATGCTGGATATTGATGTTGAATCCATTCAAGTATAGAGGAAGAAGTGCAGTTTTCACACTGCAATTGATCCACTGAGTATAATTTCTGCCTTTATGGACTGCACGTATCAGATCATTCACATGTGGAAAATATAATTATTGATGATTATTTTACCGGGTTTAGCAATTAAACATTAAATGTTCATAGGTTCCCCTCTTCTTTAGAGAGGCATAGTCCAATTATGTGCCTGTACTTTAGTCCAAGCATGAACTATAATCAACTAATGCTATGCCACTTTTAGTTAAATGGAGTGTTTCCTAATGACAGTAAATACTTTTAGTATCAAAGATTTATTCTAAACATCAAGATATACAGCTCTACTTCTAAATTGATCAAAGCATCTCAGGATAATTATTTTCAGTACTTTCTAAAATTAAAACCCATCCCATCAAGGATGCATTGGTTCCACGTGTATTATATAAACGATTAAATTCCAGTGACTATTCAATTGAAGTTGTTTTCATTTGCATGCCCAGTTCGTTTTCCCCACCAGCGAATGATTACGATGTATATTGCTGGAAAGTGTAATGTTATAGTGTTGAAAATAGGTATGCTGATGCAGCCTATTACACGTCTGTCTGGACGGACGAGATTAATTGTGGCATCAAAAGACTTTGATGGCGTTGGCTTGGGGACACCTTCATGGAGCAGTCGTGAGACCAAGCCTGATGATAATGCTGAATTGGAAATCTGGACCATGGGTAGAGAGTGAACACTAGAGTGTTTAAAATCATGCATATGTCCTTTCTTTCCAAAAAAATGTAACATCTGCTGCTGGCTCACGCTATCACTTGTTCCCTTGTGCAGCTACAAGCCATCAAATTCCAGTATAGAATGAATGACTTCATTAAAATTTTTCCCACTTCTTCATCTGTGTTCATTTTTGTGTCAACACAATTTGTGTTACCTCTCTTATTTATGGAGTTGCAACTCGAGATATAAAACAGTACATATACGGTATATAAACCAACTGTCATTGTTCAACTAATTACAAATTTGACGTCTTTGTTCACATCGATTGGAAGGTGATTTCACATAGTCAACAGGTTAAAAAGAGTAACAGTATCTGGCCTGTGAATTGTGGGAGTGGACATGCCCTCCCGTCGTGTTCTTTTGATGTCATATTACGATAGATTACATGAAAAAATGTGTATTCTATTGTAATATGATGGTATGATCCCATGCTGATCATGCACAGCATGTAACCAAGTGCTTCACAATAGGTGCTCAAATATTCATCAAATGAATGAATTTTCAGTGATTACCCTCAGGGAATATCTAATGTATATAAATATAAAGTAAATTTGGGGTAAACGGAAAAATATTTAAACTCACTTTTTTAATCTCTCACATTTGAATAACAGCTCTTCTACCTTGTAAAAATAATGCCACAGTCTTGAAATAAACGATCTTAAAATTCGATCGACAAGCTTCTATTTAAAAAGCATGTCACATCTGATTTGGTAAGTAAGGGTGGTGCTACTGGAAAGTAGGGAGTGTCAGTCTTACCAGATCTTGTGGATGCGGGGGGGGGGGTCGAAGGGGTTGGAACCTATTCAGGATTCACCAACCAACAAAACCCTCTATATTTTGATAAATGCACACTCTAGATTAAAACATATATAGGCTAAATAAGACACAGAGACGCCACCCAATTGTGCTGGTTGTACCATGTTTATGTACCATGTTTATGTACCATGTTTATGCACGACTCTGCCATTCGGAGTTTGACCATGTCGAGTTGATTAGAATTGTTTGGTTCATATGTGTTTTTTTTAATACTGTAACCAGGTTTGTATTATGTAGCGTGTCCTTATCGAAAATGAGCATTTATTGCCTTATCGGTTTTACCCGTGCCAAAATAAAACCTAAACCATAAAACATAAACCAATTATAATAGAGCCGATTAAATAAATGATAATTATAATGCAATGCTATTTTTTGCACAATGTATACAATAATGTTTATTCCAGTTGAATATATATTTCATGCTCATAGAGTGACAGCATGAATCACATCCAGATTTAATTTATTCTCAGCAAACTTAAAAAAAGAAGCATGTGTTGCAAACATTTGTCAAATTCAGTGAAAATTTGAACAAAATCAATTAAAAGGGGTCTGTTGGGAGTGATATAATTATATCCACTCTGAATAAGGGACACTGACCAATATGTCAGCCAATTATATTGTGTTCAATTTATGGCTTTATGAATGATGAACGGACGAGTGAGAAAATACATCGAAAAACCAGTTTACTAAATTTTAATTCGAAAGAATATACACATAGCGTCTTACCTTTATATTTCCCTAAAAATACAATTAAAAAAACCCCACTCTAGATCAGCAGGTGAATACTCTGATCTTACAACATTGAAGGAAGCGGTGACCTCATCCCAACCGCCTTCCCCACCCATCCCTGTCCAAGGGCTGCCCCAATCCTCACTGCCACCACCCACCCATCCACCCCACGAGAGGAATCACGGCCACGCATGCGCATCGAGTGGCGCGTGGCGCTGTCTGGCACTCGGGTCCTGAAGCTGGATGAGTGAGCAAGGACGAGGGAGGGAGCGCAGAACTGGGGCCTGGAGGGCGTTATAACAACCACCCCCCACGCTCCATCTACACCCCCCTCTGTATCTGAGTCTTGTGTCTCTCTCCCTTCTGTCTGAGCCATGTGCCCCCGGGTTGAGCGTGGTGGTGCCTCCATCCCGGTTGTGTTTCGTGTCTCCTGTCAGCGTGAGCTTTGTGTTTCTCGTACGAGACATGTGCCTCCTGTTTAGCCATGCGTATTCCCTGCTGTATGAGCTCTTGTCTTCCTGTATGGACCCTGTGTCTTCTTTTCCTTTGAGCCCTGCGTCTCCCTGCTGTTTGAGTCCTTTGTTTCCTGTCTGATCCGTGTCGTCTGGCTGGGTCATCTGCCCTCCCTCGTTGTTTGAGTCCTGTGTTTATTGTCTCGAGTCCTCTATTTCCCTCTCTGACTGAACCATGTCACTCCTGTCCGAGTTCGTCTCGTTTCCACCTGTCTGAGCATCACGTCTCCTCCTTTGAGTTCTCCATCTCCCTCCTGTTTGAGAACTGGATTTACCTTCTGTCTGAATCCTCCTGTTTGTTTAACGAGTCGTACTATTGTATAATGTGTCATCTCGAGTGAGCGTCGCATGTTCCCGAGTCTTGTGTCTCTTATCACTACCGCGATGTTTCTGCACGGACGGGGATATGGACACAAAACCTCGTGTCCACGTGAAGAAGAGGTCAACGAGTTGGAGAGAATGTGGTAAGGATGCGTTTGAGGTGTGGTCAGGAGCTTGCGATACAACTGTAACACAATGGGGCTGGTGGTTTGTTTGTATGGAGATGTAGTTGAAGATGGATGGCGTTGTTGATGGTGGAAATTGTCGTGGTGATAACTGATTTTCGAAGTAGGGTTAAGACCGAGATGTGAATGATAATGTGGATAATTTGGGTCTAACATTGACATGGTACTGAACCCAAATAAGGTCGTGTGATATGGATGGTCTCGTGATTACAGTATTCTTAAACGTGAAGGTTTCGCGATTTAAAAAAAAATGCTTTCATTGGGTGCACCATGGTTTGAATAAAAAAAAAACGTTGGTTGAAACCTAAAGCTTATAAAAAATGCAATTGATTTGGTGCATTTAATATTATCTCTTGAATTACCAGACCCACTGGTTATTGATTTTGTTGTAATTAGTTCCTTCCGACCTGCTGTATCTAATTTATAATCCGGCTATCTCTGCTTAATCGCAACATTTAATAGTGCTGCTGCTTAGCATGGCGATTGTGGTTTGCACACCGCAGGGAGTTTGCATGTTTGCCTGATGCTGTCGGTCAATACAAACCAAAGGCTCTACTTTGCATCAAAATTCAACAACCCAAGCATTCACAAGGATCCTCGGATATGCCTAACGCTCAGGGGAACACACAAAGTGTTTTAGGCTGAGAGTGTCGATTGTAAATCTACCACAGCCATGCGGGCTTCTGTTGAACTATTTGTTTTACTGTTAAAGACAATTATCTCCCATTTCAGCCAAGCTGAGGCACGGCAATAAAACGTTTCCAAAATGGAATTGGTAAACTAATAATGCCAAAGAAAATCCTACACTCAAGACTCTTGTTCAGCAAGGTCATGCGTTGGAATGTTTGGCCAAATCCATTGAGTGTTCGAGGGAACCAGAGAAATGAGATGAAATGTATGTTGAGCAATACCTCGGTTTACGTCGGGGATGCATTCCTGAAACGCGAACGAATATCAAAACGAAGTAAATGAAAGTACTTTTTTCCCCAAATCATCAAAATACTATACTCTTTGGTTTTTTCGGTAAAATCACGTAGGTAAAAAAATAAAATAAAATAAATGAAAACAACTAAATTAAATCACGACGTTTCGGAGGCAACACAAGCTTCCGTCTTCAGGTGTAACCGTCACAGCCAGAATCACTATTTACTTTATTTTTTACCTACGTGACTTTACCGGAAAAAAACCCCAAAGAGTATGAATCGTTGCAGTCACGAAAGCTTAAAATCTAGCATCAAAATACTATGCATAAATAATATATTCTACTCTACAGTCCAGTTTATTTCTTTATAAGCGCGGTGCAAAGTCGCTTGTGATGTACACGGGCAGGTGGAAGCGAAGGCTGAAAGGACGGACGAGGCTGCCAGCAACGTACGTGTGGGGTTTGAGACTATTCAATCGGGCTGTGCTGTTACGAACAATAAAGTGACGACGTTTCTGCGAAACGACGTTAAAGGGGGAGATGTGAATCAGGGATTTTGCCGTATTCGAGGAAGCGACACTCTGCACTGCCATCTCCTGGCCACCTCAGCCCCATGTCTGCAACAATTGCTGCCAACCATCCCAAGTACATGCCAGGCTCAAGCCTGCTTGTCTTTCGAGTAAATCAGGCGAGTTGGACGTTAATCGGAGGTTCGCACCGCCGATTAGCACGGTTGGCTACGTACGGCGCGAAAGAAGTTCAGCATGCGATGTAGGCAATACATATTACACTTTGAATAGGTCCTATTTTCAGTCAAGGAAGCTTTGAGTCCTACGACTTATTCAGGATGGTCCTGCCCAGGATGTCTGTCACATTTATTTCGGAGGTATTTTTTGACATGTGGGACGATACTTATGCACAGTATCCAGAGGAAACCCATGCACATGACAAAATAACACATCCAAGAATGTGTTCATTGTATTTTAATGCACTATACAGTGCAGGCTACCTCGCAAGAGGGTATCTCACGTATGCAATAATCTTCTTGGTTCTTTCGGTAAAGTCACGTAGAAGGGAAGTAATAAAATAATAAAAAGAAGACATAATAAAAAAAATTTATTTTATTTTATAATAATAAAATAAAATAATAATAAAATAATAATAAAATAAAAAATTATTTTATTTTATTATTATTTTATGTTTTATTTTATTATTTTATTACTTCCCTTCTACGTGACTTTACCGAAAGAACCAAGAAGATGGATCCCTGCAGTCACGAAAGCTTTAAATCGGTAACGAATAATGTTAGTGTATGATCCACCACCCCACCTCCAATTTTCTGCATTCTAGACAAGCATGTACTGTCATGTTAAGTATACTTTTCAGGCATTGTCATAACAAATACTGTACACCAACAGCCAGGATTCCCGTTATTTTCTTTATGTATGTCAGTATGTGCTCAAGCGTGAGCCTAGCTCTCATTCGTGGCTTCTTGCCAACTTACAAATTCAGTCAATAATGACACGCAAAAAGAACAAATTGGAAGTTTGTTAATAAAGATAAGGACCTCAAACAACCTCTGGCTTATCGCATTAGTTTAGCAATCTGACGGTACCGTGATTATCAACTCCTTTCATGTCATTTCAATCATTTTTTTCCTCGTAAAGGGGGGGCAAACCAAAGCAACGTGGGGCTGTCAGATAAAAGTTGCCTTGCACCCGGCTGTCTGATTTCAGTGACAATCATGTTTTGAGCGTCTCCTGGCATGTCTCTCTTTATCCCTCGATATCAGAAATTCAGTATGCAAGGCTGCGCATGGGGTATGAGGTTGTCCTGATGTGTGCTACTTCCATTGGCATCATACAAGGACAACACAAGTACATTTTAGCCAATAACTTAATCTGATTTCCTGTTTTTTTTTCTATATAGCTGTTAAGTCAATTGTAGTTATGTTATTTCATTGAATATTTACTTGGGGTTTAATGGAATCCCAGTGATCGGATAGCTTGATATTTTGCGTTGAAAAAACTCAAAGATCTGATAGTATGTTTTAACATTTTGTATCCATTTCGTTAGATACATGAAAACATAAGACATTCACCTCATCCAGTAATAAGTGGCATGTCATTGTGAGCAAGTAATATTGAAAGTTAACATCTAGGAATACAATGTTCAGATCAGTTATAAACAATTCACAGCTACTTAGAACTCTACTGGCTGACCTGAGAAGTGAGATTTAATATATTTTTCAGAGCATGACTCATTGGCCTCGCCTTGCTACCTTTAAATACAGCAATAATAATTCCACATATTTACCCACAAAGCCTCACTGGCTTACGCCTCTCTTTATGGGGGCCCTGCATCGATATGTTTGGCCATTTCCATGAAAGAGAGTACAGATTAAACCGGAATTCCCAGGGAAAAAAAACCCACTTCACAGCCCCAAACCTACAACACCTGGCAAGCCTTGGTCGCCACCCATCCAAGGACTACACAGGCTCAACTCTGCTTAACTTTCTCCGACTGATGAAATTGGGTGCATTTCCAATCATTTGTTCGTAGACTCTGCATACATTGCTTGCAATCGTGGACCTAAACAAATTGATAGGCACGTTGGACATGAAGGTATTCTTTTTTTTAATGAATCAACCAAATTTAAATCCTTTAACAATGCCAATCTCTGCCGATATCAAAAGTATGCCAGTGCCTTCATGTGTGTGCAATCATGGCTCCACCTCTGTGGGCTGGGTTTCGAAACACGACCCGAACTTTTGCCTTGGGTTTCCAAGCTAAATGCTTGAATGCCCGGGCCACTTAAAACGGAAGCCTAGATACATTACCTGTATTGCCCACGACCAGTTATATGCAATGTGTAAAGCCTGGATTTGTATATTTGTGGTGGATTTATGATTCTAAATTAGCTGCCATTGTTATTGCGATGTGCACATTTTCAACTCAACTGATGATCACACGCTTCGGTCGCATCTTTGACATGCCATTGTGCAGCAGATGTGGGGGGCAAAAGATAACATTAATAATTTGCATACAAACAATGCAGCCGTCGTTTGTGGGTTAATGCTAGCTGTGCTCTCGTGTCCCTGGTGCCACACTAAGCTGGGTTTTGTGGAGTGCTGATGTCAGCTGTGAACAGTACAGTGCATTGATTGAAAGGTCAATATTTTTGCACGCAACCTGGATTCATTGAAACGGTCCGACCGAACGGATTTATTTTGATTTCTTTTCTCTGCGAGAATTTGTTCACGTTATGTGCATTTTTTTTCGTTATTTTCGTATTCATTTTTGTTTTACTAAGTAGTGCGGTTTAAATTATTTTTTGTACGGAACTCGATAATTGATGGTTTGGGATGCAATTGCATGAATGACGCTATATAAAATGAAATTTTTTATTATACCTCATTTCAACTTGTCAAGATGTTGCATTTGCAAGGCATCGTTCAATATAACGGAATACTAACAATAGTAGCACGTGACAAATTGCGCGAGGAACCGTTTATTTTTCTTCGAGGCAAATTCATGTGCAAAAAATAAAGCAGCCCACATTGATTTGAAAACAGTGCGGCTTAAATCATGCTTTTGGGGCGTCGCTCTGTTGGTAAGAGCAACAGGGATCATAGTCGTGAGTACACGACTTCAAATCTTGACCAGGGTCACTCGGCCCATCATAGTTCCTTTTAGGAACAATCATTTTGAGGTGTGGAATTTATATTTCTGGCATAGAAACAAAAATACATGACTCATAGAGAGTTGCAGTGATGAGCACTGCCCAGTATACGCTTGAGCTTCTGAACACCTTGGTAATATAAATGTAATAATTAAAGAAATAATTTTTAATTTGTTGTGGAAGGCTGCCCTTTACGTCAGGGTGTGTCAGAGCCCTTTACACTCAGAGTTACGTGACTTTTAAGTAAACGTATTGTATTAGTAACAGCCTGCACATTGTGTCAATGTGGTAGTTTAATATGGAGTTAACATTTCAAGTACAGTATATTCATTTTACAGTAGTGCACACTGACCACACCAGAGAATTGCTTCAACAATTTGAAGGACATGTGCGTTCTCATAGACGAAACAATAATATTTTTAAAAATGAAATTCTGATTAGCTTTGCCTTGATACAACAAAGCTGGTGATGACGAAGACGACATAACCATGCTGGCAGTGGGGAGCGGTGGTGTAGTGGTTCGCATGCTGCACTTCGAACCCGGTGACCCGAGTTCGATTCCCGCTCAGGGCCAACATCAGTAACGATTATATTTTATCTGAAGCGGTCCTCGGCCTCCCCTAGGTCTACTCGGCCTCAAATGAGTACCTCGTGTGGTGTGTAAAAATCGCCACGAGGGAGACAAAGGTCGGCCGGGTGTGGTTGCTGGCCACTCATCCCCATGTGTGTCGTGATGACCTTCATAGGTGCTACTCGCTAACAGCACTTGCCCCAACACTCTGTTACAGGCTATACGGAGGATCTTTCTTTGTAGTGGGAACCACTTGGATGCTGCGGTGGTGCTGCCATGCTGACTGACCCATCGTCATTAATCGGCTCAGCGGCTTTGCTTGTTTTTCTCGTCGCAAAAGGTCCCGCACGCAGATGACAAATTTACGCCACTGTCCTCAATGTGCTTGATTTACAAGCAATCATACACATGCATAATGATTGCATGGGGAGTGGTGGTGGTGGGGGGGCTTGATTTGTGCAAAATTTTAACTGGTAAGCCATGAATTTGTAATTGTTTAAATAAATCTGGGTGACACTTAATTGAGAGAGATTGGCCCCAAATAAATTGTTGTTTACAGCATGCAACTGGTGACATTTGCCACATTGATCATTCATCTGTTCTGCATAAGCTGAAAGCTGAGACCTTTTGTTTATGGGGGCTTTTTTATGAGTGCTTTCTGAATAAGGGGCATTCGGGTTTAAATTATGTTGCATAATTCCTGGATGGGAATTGAAAATGTGTGCACTGACAAAATGCATGCAGCGCATGTAGTCATGCAAACACAACATCATGATCTGGCTGGTCTCGTCACGATTCGAACTGCGCAGCAGAGCCCACTGGAATGATTTTAAGGGACTAATCATCCATGGAGGAACTTGTTTCGCGACATAGATTGCGTGGAAAAGAAGAGCTCACATTAAATGCGGTACAGTATTAGTCCTGTTTATAAAATTAAACGTAACCTAGCAGGTCAAATTGTCATCTGATTTGGCCGTGTATAACTTAGTCGAGCGCTTTGCCTTTGTCAGTCTTGCAAGGGTGCTGAAAGTTGAAAAAAGGGATGTGGTAAAGCTTGAGTCTTAGGGTGATGTCATTCTATTTTGAAATGCGACTGTGGTGAGGGAGAGTGGATTATCGTCACAGCTCCTGGCTTTGTGACTGCAGTGCTTGGAAGTCGGCCACTGCACTTAACTCCTTGGATACATTTTATACCAGCACGAAGCCAACTGATGTTTACTGCGATATTGGAATTAAAATGTCTTCATCGTATTGTGAAAATCTATCGGTTTGCCCGACTGGCTGTACGTTTTGCACTTTGGTAGAACAATTTGTAGCACGAATACGATTATTGCTGCTGTATAAAATCTTGGACAACACTGTAAACGATATTTTACATCTCACAAACCCCGACAAAGGACTTCAAATGCTATTGATACCCAGAATTGCTTCAAAAGTAGCGTTTGAGAAAAAATATGTAAACATAGATTTAATATACTGTATTTATTCTATAACTTGATGGAATACTTGCTCTGCTCATAGAATTGAACCATTCATTTATTATATGGCTAAGTCTTGTACATATTAATTTTCCGGAATAATAACATAGCAAAAACAAAGCCTAATCATGGCGCAAGACCCATATGCACAATGCTGGACTGTGAGCTTATGTCCCGCTCTGAGAAGTTAGGCACATTCCTTTTTGAAAAGTTTTGCGTTTGAGGGAAAAGAATTGCCTGAATAAAAGTGACATATATACGAGGGCATAACATTAAAAACCCTTACAGGGAGGTCTGACATCAAATTGCTCTACTGCTTCCTACGTAACATTATGTTGCCCTTACAGGCAGATGTCTCTCACCCAGGCTCCATCTCTGTGTGATCCACCAGCTCCACCTCTGCTTGAATTTGCAGGCATGGCCCTGCCATCACACCGAGTCAAATTCGCGCTGTTGAATTCTGACTGAATTAAACGGAGTGATAATGCACATTTTCTTTCGGGAATTCCCAATCTTCCCTCCACTTTCATTTTTCTCAAAGAGGCCTAGAGCTTGTGAATTGAAGTGAAAGGGAGAATTAAAGGCGAGGAAATGTGCCACGTTGCCATTTTTAACACGAGGCTATATAAATTGGAGCAGTGCCAAGGACATGATGGCATTTAGAAATTACATTCCTCCAAAATGTAATCAGCTTTTCTTTTCTATTGCATAGAGTGCTATGCTTTAGGTTTTATTTTTCGATATAGGGCAGAATGTTAATTATGTCCTGACCAATGTATTGTAGACAAGTTATTGAAATGCATATGCAGTCTGCATCTATAACAAAACATGGGTTAATTATTTCACATTGCGGACAAAAAAATCCACTTAGAGAAATGCGTCTCCTACAAAACAAAATAAAAAACAACGCGAATATGGAGCCATGGGCAGTGTGTTCAGTATGGCACATTCAGTCTGTAACCTTCCACAGTAGTATTTACATACAGTTGTTCACATAGATTAAAGAATACAGCTGCATTATGCCTTCATGCTGCTTTGCGTGGATCCATTTCGATATATGCCGATACCACCCATTTGTTCTTATTATATGGTATAAAAACATTTGATAAACGTCCACTGTAAAAAAAACACGGCAGTTGAACAGAATGTCAAGTTTTGAGTTTTGATGTAAAATCTTAGGATGAAGATGCACGGTTGGCTACGTACGGCGCGATAGAAGTTCAACGTACTGTAGACGGCACGACGTGCAGGAAAGATGGTGTAGAATTGGCAGACTTGAACAAATTTGCACTGGACATATTCTGCGGATTATGCAGAATGACGGGGTTTGTTTGGACGTGTCCTCGGGGATACCAACCGAGGAGATGGAACAATTGAATTGAGCTCACGAGCATGTGCTGGGTGGATTGTTACCCCGCAGCATTGTGGGAGGTGGCGGCATATTGGGGGATGCCTTCATTCAGCAGGTGATTGACCATGGCTGATGGTGATGTCACATTTGTGACGAATTCAGGCATTACGAGACATCTTGCGGGAAAACGGGAGCTGAAGTCACATTATGCTTGTCAACTTTCTTTTCAGCGTTTATTGCGTTTGTTGAGGAAGACTTGTTTATATACTGTATATATATTTTAGGAAAGTTTGTTCAATTCATCCGTAAAATGTACAGTAAATATTCGTTATACATTTTTGAATGTTCAAATCATAATTGACTTTCTACGTACAATTTCTAGGCCAATGTTAGGTGGCACGTTGAAGCAGTGGTTAGCACATTGTGCTGTGAACCCAGCATTCTGTGTTCATTTCTCAGCTATGACGAACATCAGTGGCAAGGGCGATATCTGAAGGATGGTCAAACAATCCCCACGATCAGCACAGTTTGGAGAAGCCTTCACCAAGCAGTGAATGGACAAAGGAATGTGAAATATTATTACCTTTCTCGTCAAAATTAAAGTTTGCGGAAATTGAGTGGAAATAATGTAAGAAAAGATGTTGTGATGCTGTCCCTGTTGTGCTCATTAATATAACGTGCCAACTCTCCATCCTTCAAGAGCCTTTTACCTTGGTAATTAGGCAATTCCTGGCTTTTATTGATTTAAACATCTAAACCATGACCATCTGTTGGAGGGGACGTTTAGTGTTATTGAACACATGTTTTAAAAAAGATGGCAAACCACTGTGTAAGTGTTTAGTGTCTGTTCTGTGTTTAAGGCACAATATGTAGCTTTGCTTTAAATTACAGTTTTTATCATTTTTTATTTTACTAGCATGCACACTTAAGAGCTCATCGTATATAATAAAAATCTGATTCCGCTTTAACCAATACTAAAGGTTTCAATCAGTAACCAGCGACCCAACCTGTAGGCCACTCCTAATCTGTATAAGTAAGCGTTAATCTTGCCTGCGAAAATGTTTTCAACTTTAAAAAAATGGTGCAGCGCAATAAAAAAATAGAAAAACCTAAATATTGGGTGGGAGATGTTATTCCATTATCATTTTCAGTTAAGACTGCCATACCTTGCTGCACTTGAAAATATTGTTTACATTGGATGTCTGTCTGACCTTTGAACTCAGAATCTCTTGAGAAATAAAGGTGCTGTACCCAGAGGCAAGCGCGGACCTCCTTGACCACTTTGTAGATCTCTGTAATTAGATTTTAAAACGGCACAATATTCCTTTTTTTAGGATTGTTTAATGAAGTGACACCAATAGAGTCATTATTATACATCACTTTCTCCTGTAATTGTTGGCGTGTGGATTAGGTCTAAGAGTTGCACCTAGCTTGGCACTCGGCGCTGCGGTGACGTCACTGTCACAAATAAAAAATGTTTTAAAGTTTGTCAAAAAAAAGTTGCATAAGGAAGCGTAATAACAACCCAGTGGGCATAGGAACACCATGCGAAACGTAAAAATAAAGAAACGGAAAAAATTTACATTTTCTATTATACAAGTTTCAATCTTACTTGAAAAACAGTAACAGAGGGAGGCACCTCCCTCAATGACCGTGGCAAGCTCACTAAACAGCTCAGGGGCTTTATTGGCAAATGCTCTGCCACCTATATGGACATTATTGCACGGTTCATACATTTTATTGTGTGAACCACAGTGGCAGAGCGCATGCGTGTTGGCGATACACTCGCGTGATGCGATGATTGTGTCTGTGCACGCGCGTAGTAGTAATTTCATGAAAAGCGTCAGGGGTTATAGTTGCGGATGAGGTTCCCCACACCCAAGTCGCAAGGCTGTAACCATGGAAGCGCACGAACACACGGCATCGTCTTTGTGAACGCTGCCTCTGCACCACGGCGAAACACCCTGAGCTGGGCCGATGTCACGAGAGGAGAAAAAAGAAGCTCGTCTCTTAGAAGAAAAAGCACAAACACGAGGCTGCGTCACGTACGAGTTGGCGTTCAATAAGGCTACATACGTTTTCACAGGGGCTATGCTCACTAAATGCAAACTAAATTCCCGTTTGACATTATTTGTTGCACGGATGATGCCGTTTAGACGATTGCCTGGCTAATTTGCAAGGGAGTGAGCACAGTAGCAACAACAACAAAAATACAAACAACATCGATATTGCAGGGCCCTTAAGGAATATTGCACGATTAGCAAACTATGTGTTGAACCTATTTAAGCGTCACATTCATTGAAGCGTAACCTGAAAGGGCCATAGAGTGCCTTACATTAATCCTTTGTTAAAATGGAAATCTAGTCGAAGCAGAATTGTTGAAGTCAGATTCCATGTTTTCACTTGAAATCTTGCCTTCTTAACACTATCGGCGGTTGTGCTAAATGCGAGCGTAAGCAAATGTTAAGGGTCTTTAGGATGAGATTGATGGATGTGAAGAAGGGCCTTTGTCTGCTGCGTTTCCCTGCACAACCATGTGTGCCAAGCCCCACTCGGAGTGAGAGGGGAGGGGAGCCAGGGAATTGTGAGAGAATGGGTGCATGACCAGAACCCATCTTGGGCATTTCAAGCACACCCACCTCAGGGCATTTCTGGTGTGGGCAGGTGCTTAATTAGTGGCTACCCTTCCATGGGGAACAGAATTTTGATTGATTGGTTTTGGCTGCTGCTGCTGCTGAGCCTGGTAGCTGTAAGATGTTCTACAGACAGAAGCCCCTAAAAGCCTCTCTTTCCCTCAACGTTCTTGCCACCTGCACTCAGGGTTTTTGGTGACATGATAATGGGTGCCTGGTGGCTCAAATGGTGATTGATGGTGATTCTCATTGCACAGTATCTTTACGCTGATACCGTTTGAGTTTTATATATCAAAATACAAATGAGTATCGTGAAGGACAAACTCATTTTTTTGGTAAGACAGACTAGTGAAAATGTGTCAGCGTTTTAAGAGTATTTTTTGGTGTTTAATTTGGTGTACTCCTGCACCTCTGATTAGCGCGGTTGGCTACGTGCTAAAGAAATTCAACATACATACAAGCTTTCATGAAGTACACATTTTCATATATGCTTTAGCATGGGTTTTTTGTCAGCAAATTATTCTTAGCTTAAGAAATATAGAAGGCCATTTCCAACACGTCACATTCGTGCACAACTCGCTGCAATTTGCGACCCAATTTTTCTGAAGTGTCTCACTACAAAATTCTAATTAATGGCAAAATTACCAAATTTTGGATTGCATCAGCCATAATTCATTAAAGCACCATCCTCAAACAAAATCCAAATATAATACCTTGGATTGAATTGTACACAAATATTTTGGCGTAAATACTTTGCCGTAAAATCAGTACCAAAATTGTTCCCGTGCAAACATACTAATTTGAGTAATCTCCGAGTACTAAACCCATGGCCAAAGCAGCAAGTGGTTTCTGTGATAAATATCTTATGAGAAGGTGATGGGGCCTCATCATAAAACGGGCCTACAGGCACGCGTGTGCTCCGTGCTTCTCGACCGAACTTTGTTTTTCATCTTTCTTGGCTGGTTAACGGTCACGTGAATCTGCGTTTAATGCAAATGTAAAGTTTTCAATATTTTATTGCACGGTTTTGTCCGATAGTGGCTAGTGAATTTGTGTTTGTTTTTAAGGCACTGTGGGAGGTTGGTGGCAGGGGAACCGGCGAACTTATAAAAAAGCATAGAGCAATTGCGGGAAGCCTTGCATTGTCACACACACACCGGCACCCGGCTCTGCACGCCAGGGAGGAGGAGGGGTCAGACAGCATCTGCAATCAGACACTCTCGCTTGGCCATCTCCATGGCAGCGAAGCGCATGGTTTCCCCAAACAAAAGGGGAGAGACGGTGTTCCGTTACTGTACAGGTAGCATGTAGCGGTGCGAGAGAGCACACCTGAGAGAGGAGACAGCTTCGGGCTGCTTGAGACCCGTGCGTGACCTTGGGTGAGTGCATTGGCGTGCGTTTTGTCCGTGGCGCTGGGACCACCTTTCCTTTGCTTTCGCCGCGTGCTTGGATGCTGGCCAGGGTAAATGTACAATTTCCTCCGTGCACGTGAGATAAATGATTGCGGAACAAAGGTGCGTCGTGCGGTGATGTGGGTCATGTGGGTGAATTTGTGCGTCTTGTGAATCGAGGCTTTGCCTCTGGAGGCCAGGGGTTGTGTCGCAGAGTGGAGTGGGTTTAATGTAATGAGCAGAAAGTTTATGTGTCACAGACACTCTGCATTAATATCAATTTATAAAGTGCTATTAGGTTACAATTAAGCTATGCTGAATACATCAACGGTGACCTTTTTGAAAATGCATGCAAAATAGGCTATTAAATTAACGATTGACGCATTTCACGCGTTATTTGTGGAACCTGTGACACTGTATACAAGAACTGGGAAGGCTCTTTGGTTCTTTCCTGCAGTCACGAAAGCTCCAAATTAAGATTGAACTGGGAAGTTTTTTTATTCCTGCGGTATGGCGCATGTAGATGCAGAGAGCATCAGCTACAATTTCACATTCAGGTGGTCAAGCCAGACAACCGCGTCAGGAGGAGCGGAGTGTCATCGCTGTTTAAGTCTCCGTCAGTATTTGTGGACCGGGCACTGCGTCGTGATTACGTTGTGTGGTCTGTTCTGGATGACCACAATCGTGCACTGAAGAGAGTTTTTTAAATGTTCCATTTGTGCATCGGGTATCCAGCATCTGGCATTGTTTCTGCGGATGTTGTTTAGGGCGGACCATGAGCTTCGTGGAAGATCAAACCCAGAACACTTAGAGGATGTAAACATGAAACACTTGTCAGTGTCACACAAGTATCCTGTTGAAGGGATACATTCTTGTTAATTTATCTATTTCGTTTTTTTTTGTCAAAGTAAATCCATTGCACTAGCTTTTTTGCAAAAGATTTTCATCTGGTGTTTTATTTATCGTCGTGAATTATTGACATACTTAATCACATCGTTATAACTGTATACAACCCATTAAACGTTGTAAAAGGCTGTAAATGTCCCATAGCGGAAACAAATCTGTTGCGAGGTATGCAGTTTTATGAAAATGTACAAGCTTTGTCTTTGTAACACAGAAACACTCTAAAGAAATAATGTACATTTAACACGTAGGTTAGTGTCAATATTACGATTCAAAACACGAAAATCAATGAACAATCATATCGCGCTGTACATATTTCTTTCTTATGTTTTACAATAATAGTGATAATAATTTCCAGCCGTCTGTAAATCCACAACTGGCTGAAGGCCTCCCGAAACCCTCAGTGGTTGTCTGTTAGTCACGGTGGCTAATTGAGCGTTCTTCACCAGGCTAGCCGGTGCAGCTCGGTGAAGGTGAGGAGGCCCCACGACCAGTTCGGATATTGCTCGCCACTGATGTGGCCGTGAACCGTCAGGTCGTTAGGATCGTGGTACGGGGTGCCAGACACTGCAACGCTGAACCCCCCCCCCCCCCCATACGCATACAGCACAGCACATCACATCAAATACAGCGGGTGCAACGGTAGCACAGTTTTAGCGCACTGCGCTCAAAACCTAGAAATTGGAGTTTTATTCCCCGTTAAGGCTTAAACACCAGTGGCAAGTGATATCTGAATCATCCGGACTGACTGGTGTGGTGAAGGAACGCCAAACACCACCATGACTTACATGATGTTGGGATGCTTTCATCCAGCAGTGCATTGGATTATGACACGGAAAGGCAGGGACCAGTAATTTTTCAGTCAATTTACAATTGACTAAGTACATTCCCAGAACAGCTTAAATGTTATCAGAAATTGATTCAGGACAAAACCCCCCCTACCATTAAGCAGCTTTATAGCTCAAAGTAATGCAGATTTATGTCATAACCCCTATATGATTTGCCAGGATACAAATGTATTTAAAATCGTTATTGTTGTTCGTCTGTACCAGCCGTTATATTTCAGCAAAATAACACGAATGCCTTGTTTCTGTGAGAAAACATATGCAGTAACAACAGCCTTGATAGAGTGCACGTGATATAATTTGTTCATTGAAGTGAATGTTGATTAAAATGAATAACTAAGAGGGAAAAAAAGAACTGCAGCTGCAAACAGGCTTACAAAATGACTGCCTATTTTATTTCGGGTTTTCCCAGACTTCTCTGAAAAAGAGACATCGTGCCTGTATGGGATTCCACATTGTGCTAAACACACGCGATTGATTGATGGGCTGTAATGTAATATACTGTCTGAGTCATCCGGTTACAACTTTGGCAGTGAGGTGAGAAGGTAATTTGGGGATGGCACAGAATGGTTGGGGTGGATTCATTAATTTGCCAACTCTGACGAGTAAACACATGCTTATCTGTCGCGTTGGATTGTTCACAGTACATTTGCATTAGTGACAGCGAAGAGAGTGTGCGTTTTGAAATTTGTATTCGAGTGTTCTTTTCTGTGTGTGTCTGAATGTATGATTTATGATGTGCTCAGGTTTATTTCAGGTTTGGAAAATATGCTATTATATATAACTCTTGTATGTGCGTGATGTTTTGTGTATGCAAATCTATCATTACAGCTTAAGACGTAAAATGAGGCATAAATATGGAAATGAAAATAGATAAACTGTAAAACCCTTGGTAATGGCTCGTGATGTATATTTTCAGATTCCAAAAATCCGTAAGGCCATGTAGGTAATTAAATTAAGCCAGAATACGATACTCAACCAACTGCAACTATCGTCAAACATTTCAAGGATTTATGAAATTGTTTTGGCATATGGATTTTACAAAACGCTGACATGCAGTGTGACGACGTCTCTGTTACCGTTCGAGAGGGGCTGTAAACAGATGGCCCGTTAGGGGTGTAATCCCTCGGGAAGGTCCCTGACCCCAGGTGTGCAGGCAGACAGCGATATTGCCATGGAAATTTATGCACACCCATGGCATCTGCTGAACATGCCCTGCCACACGCCTGCCATATCAAACACATTCTCTCTCGCATGTCCCTCTCAAACTGGTCCTGCAATTAATGCAGCTGCATGAGGGAGTGTTGGGGGAGGGGGGAATGGAAATTGGGCTGCTTGCCATGATGCCCCTGAACGGTGCAGACCTATACATTCTGTTCGGTGTACACCAATATAATAGCAATGGTCTAATACAATGCCAAATGTTAATTTTGTTCTTTCAGCACTTTCTGGCACTAAAAGTGAGGACATATGAAGCTCGCCGGCCAAGACATAGGACTCGGTACCGACGTTCCCAGTCGGAGACGGCGTTCCTGGAGGATGTCCAACAGATAAGAATCCACTGATCAAAGCTATGAATATAGACCACAGGATTTTCCACGTCCCCAACATTCAACTCAAGGACCAGCTGGAAGAGGGCATACAGCTTGACGAACAAGTATGTCCCGCAACGAGCGCGGGCAGGGAGGGAAGGCCCGCCACTCTTGCGGATTCACTGCTGGAGCCGTTGCCCTTGGTGGCGGTCGACGTGCATGCCTGGCCCACGGACCGCATGCGCGAGATGATCAAGGAGAAACTCAGGCAGAACAGCAACAAGGTCGCCTTGGCCGCCTGTCCCATTCGCCCACAAAACCCAGCCGTATCGGTCACTCACCCCAGTGCAATGCCGAGTTGTGGGAAGACGGTGCTTTGTATGGAAGACACTGACGCTGAGCATCGTGGTGAGTCAGCGGGAAAATTGGCTGGAAAACAACGACTGAACCCCGAGGGAGGAAAGCCATCTCATGGCCCCTGCTCCTCCACATCCACCTCTAACTACTTGAGCTGCACGCCGGCCGAGATCAAGAGGCAGGCCCTGCGGCGATTCCACATCCGGAGACAGAAGAGCAGCCCCGATCTTACGCGTTTGGGCCGTGACAACGCAGCAGCTAATGTAGTCGACACTGAACCACGAGAAACGCTCTTGGCTAGCCCTTCTGCAGAAGTCTTTACGTGTTGGCACAGTGAGCCCGTGTCTCCCCGGCAGCGATATCCAAGAGGCCGGTTGTACATTCCAACATTTGAAGAGTTTAAGAGGATGAGGCGTCAACAGGAAAGTGCCCTTAAGATGGTGACAGTAGTTCAGCCTGAGGGCCTGAATGACGAGGTTTCTGATTACGAAACTGACGTGGGGAAACCCAGTGGACATTCGAGCGACGAAAGCACAGGTGGTGGGAGACGCATTGAAGGGCACATTGATTCTAATCAAAAGGGCTTTGGAATCACGGCACCGTTAAATTACACGGAGTTAGCACAATACCGGACACAGAAGGGTGATGGTGTGTTGGAAGTTTTGTCCACAGAGTCTGACTGTGGCAGAGCTTGGGCCAAAGGGAAGGAGGCTGTGACCGTATGGGAAGACACTCGAAAAGATCAACTTGTTTCCATTGACCACGATCGCCGTGGATTTGCTGCTAACCCCAGGGGGTCATTGCTGCATGGCCCCACGTATGGACACGGTGCCATATCTATACCTGTCACGCAGCAGGTGACCCCACTGGCAGGCAGGACAGGAAGGCGACCGGGGCATCGTCCTGAGCAGCAGGGCCACGGAGAGCCACCTGCAGGTCTCGGGATGATGGAGGGGCAGGTGATCAAAGTCCTGAGGGACGGGCGGCGAGTAGGCAACACGGAAGGGATTCTGGGAAGCACCGGGAATGGTAAAGAAGGGCCCTCGGGAGCGGCGAGTGTGGGCGAGGGTCGGGTGGAAGGCGCGGATGGCGAGCGGCGGAGTTCGGTGGCGAGCTGCTGCCTGCTGGGGCCCAGCCCTGGGCTCACTGACTACACGACCTGTCTGCAGCGCATGAAGACCGACATCCTCGGCTCGGCCATCCACCTCCTTCGGAAGAGGTGAGAGTTCATGTGCGCACAGTATTCCGTATGTGTAAATGTTCACCGTGGATTTCCGCTTTTAAGATTTAACTAGTAGTGACAAAGCAGAAATCGTAATCTTTATTTATCCTGGATAAATCCGATGAGCTATGAAGCTCTTTTTCACACATGTCTAGTAAGCAGCTTTAGAAATGCGGGATTTATAATTCATAACCGACTAAAGCTCTCTGTTGTATTAAGTTATATTGATTTAAAGTGAAAACAAATTTGTCGATTAGTAATGTAATTCTTGAGGACAATTTTTATATTTCTGCTGTTCATTAACAATGACAGCCCTTCCAATTAAAAGCTGTGGATTTAAAATATTCATTGTGTTTGTCAGATACATCCATAATACACATCTCCCCATATGTTTAAATACCTTTAAACAATTCTACCAATACCGTAATGCTGTATTAAAGCATTTTACAATGTACTCAAAGTCACTGTGCAATATTTGGGGCATATCTGCCATATAATTACATTTCTAAAGAAATTTGGTGTTACAAGAAAAAATCCTAACCTTAAATTTTTTTACCTTTTTTTACACATCAAAAACTTTAATACGTTGTCATAGAGTTACGTTGTGCTCTGGTCTATTCAGCCCAAATTGACCCTCCCACAGTCACTGCAATTGACTCAGTGGCCACTACAAGGAGCCAGACTTCACTGCGCATTGTGCGAGCGGAGCCGCTCTTTATCCCTGGGATGTGACCAACGGAGGCGGCTCAAGTGGCTCTGCGTTATTAGCCATCACATGGCACCGGAGTGGGGAAAGAATTTCGACGGGCCAGCCGAGTGCCCGCACGGTGGCGACCTCCCTCCCCATAAGGGTGCTCTCGAGTAGTGAAACCGTCCCGATTGCACGCGGCCGTCAATAACCTGACACTATAGCGCAGTGCCGATTTATTACGGAATCTCCCATGCCAGCTGCAGTGGAAGTTTACGCACGCACGCACGCACACGCGCGGTGTGCCGTCACGGGACCCCTGCCCGTTGAAATGCCAGCCCTCCTCTGCGCATCGCCGTTGCTGCTGCTGCAGAACGTGAAATTGTTATTGTGCCGAGTAGGGCTCGCTTCCTTTAACTACAACAGCTGCGCCCGTGCTCCAGATGCCACGGTGACCTTACTCCGTACGGGTAAGTGGAGAAAGGCGCTAGGGGATGCAACAAACGTCAGCCGTGTGCATTCGGTGTGAATGCGTTCGCTTGGGTTGCGTGCATTTGAGATCCTGGCAATGTCATAAGTAAGGGCACATTCCTGTGCATTTATGTACATCGTCTGTTATGCATAGATGTGTGTATGTCCCATTTGCTACGTACTTTGATTGGCCAGATGAGCGGTGTTATGCATTTGGCCGTATAGAAAGAGTACTGTCATTGACTACTGTATGGTGTATGGTATAAGGTGGCAAGTGCTGTCAACATTGTTGTGTTAAATCCACGTTCAATAATGCATAGCTGTTACTACGCTTACGTTTTAGTACAGGAGGTTCAGTGTTCTGTTTTTCAAGTGGCATTTTTTTAAATTCCAAGCAATTTACATGCTGCGGGGCTCGATTGACTTGTGCCGAGTTGCCATAAAACACAACAAAATTGTGGGTCTATGCAGCATCCAAATCCATCTACATCTCAAGATACCATGAAAGACAATGGGTTATGCATAAAGGGAAAATAAGGCTTGCACAGGGAGTCCATGAAATGTATCATCCATTATTAAAGCATTATAATTCCGCAGCAATTTTAGTCAGATCAAAAAAACTTCGTTGCACACACTTGGTGGTATGAATATTTTATCATGTGACTTTCATCCCTTTAAGCCTCCAGATGTCCACCATGTTATTGGTGACTCGTGGTATCGAGATGAGAGAGAATCCCAGGTGTTCACCAACATATTGGTTGTGACACTTTCAAATACTTCTGTTCTGTACTCTTGAACATCAGTCAAGCACGTTGGTTGAAAAACATAAGTCTTTGGTAGAAGGAATATTTGCTGTTTTAGTATAATTCTTTATTAACGGATACTTTTACGGACACCCTGCGTTTACGATAGTTTTTAAAGAGACGAAAGAACGTCATGGGTAGAGGAGAAGAGGAAGAGCCTTGGAAGCTGGACTTGAACAGGGCACAGCAAGTAAACATCATGATTGTAGGCCACAGAGCCATCAGGGGAGGAGAACGATTGGCCCCTCACAGTGCGAAGGTTGACTTGGGGCTTCAAGAGGAGGCATTCGTGAGTACAACGAGATTAGGTGGGAGAAGTAGGCAGAGGTGAGGGTTATTTTATGGTTGATCCAATACTGGATTGGGAGCCAGCGAAGGGACTGGAGTGTTGGGGTGATGTGGTCTCGATTATGGGTGCGGGTGGTGGTTGAAATTTGGACGACCTGGAGTTTAGACATCAAATATGAAGGCATCAGAGGCATGGCCTACTGTAGGCTATTTTTTACGAGACAAGATTTATTTGGGATATTTGTACACTCGTGTGCCAAAGCACTTGTAATGACTTACAAGGCTGAATTGCCATAAACAGTACAGTATATCTGCAGTGTTATTTAAATGATAGGGAGATAATAGCAATACTGTGACTGTCCAATGAAAACAAAGCATTCATTATTTGAATACCGTAGTTAAAGCCCTAATTATGTGCACTGTGCTGACATTTAATATAATTAAGCCTCAGACTTACGTCATAATAAATAGCTACAGGACCATAGCTGTAGCTTTATTTTGATTAGAGGAGTCCTGTGTATCTCCGCGTTCTCATACAATTACAATTTTGTTGGCATACAATCCCAAAACATGTCTTAAAAACAACGGTTTAAGTAACATACTTGAGCTCAAATAATACAAAAAATAAGGGGAGTTGCATTCATATGGGAAAATAATTAGGGGAGCATTGTAATGGTCCTGGATTTTTGATACAGAGACTTGTGTGAATTAGGGGAAAAAACCTTAATAATTACTTGGCTAACGAACATAATATTTGCCATACTCACAGCCATGGTTGATATGATAACAGACCATGACATATAGTGACTGGATATTGCCCAAACATGTCTCCGATTCTGGGAACCATTTTCACGACATTACATTGCACGTCACATTTTTCAATGTCACATTAAACGGCATTTAAGATGGTAATTAAACCAGAGTGTATTTTTCTGCAGGTTAATATCAATTACCATTGATTTTGATTGCTTTTTATCTTTCTTGGATTTTTTTAAAGCTGTATTGTGCTTTTCGCATGTGGTATGTCATGAGTTGAACAACGTTCGATTCGACATTCTCTACGAAAAAGCATTGCCACACCTTCATCAAAACACGACCACCAAAATCCCTCATCAAATCTGTTATCCACACGAGTGATGCCACCTTAGTGTTCATCGTTTGGTAAAGAAAGCGTTTTTAGTATTCTTCGGAAATAGCGTTTGCTGCGTTACGTAACAAAGCAAGATTAATGTCACGTTTCCTTCTTTAGCAGTCTCCACGTGTGACCAGGCTACTACCATAATGTCCCTTACACTCGAGAACCTAAATGTATTCACGGGTGACTGCCCAAGATTTTAAACCAGGATCTCGGTGGTGCCAGATCAGTGATCTGACATGATGTCAGCCCCTTGAGCCGTGTGGTGGACGCCTCGCAGGCTTAATTTATTTTTCCCAACACAAAACGCTGACCCCGTTTACACATTTACGCACGTGGGCGCCTTGCCTGTGAAACCAATCAAGTGCTGCCGCAGCCCCTTGGGGACTGCTGACCCAGCTTTATGCAAAAACCTCCGCTCGTTACAAATGTGGAAATCTCAATTGCTAAGTGGCAAATCGGCAAGCCTGCAAGTGCTTTACTGTATCTGTGAGTGTGGCACATTGAACGCAGTGAATCACTCATATATTCATTTCAGACGACTCCTCAAGATGTTTCAACACATATCCGAGGTTTCTGGGCTTACTTGAGTTTAGCTTTGCCCCAGCTCAAGGCATTTGTCAATTAGTCTAGTCAAAATGGGATGGAATTTTGATGATGAATTACGTGTGCTGAGGATGTGATAAGGGAGCCTCTGTGGATGTCTCAACGGGACAGTGATTTGTTGTGTTGATATTGAAGTGCTGGACTTAAAATTTTGGTCAGTAAACAGTGCTCTAGCGTTATACTGTGGCAATTTCCACCTTGCTCGCCCATTTGGTTCAGTTTTATTGTGTATAGGACAGTGGTACATCATGGGGGATGGCTGAAATAGCCTCATGATTAGCGTATTTGATGATGCAGACGACGGTACCACACTGTCTTGCTTACTATTTAAAAAAACGCCAAAAAGGCCCAAAGGGGGCAGGCTTCATGCAACCGAGTCCAAGAGCAGGAAAGTCACTCAAACTGGAGAGACACCTTGAATTTCATAAAGAGGTTTTGAGTTCCGTTCAGTAAAACACAAATGTACTTTCTGCGTCGTTCATAAGAGGTGGAATATAGATTGGCACTGAGCGTACACTTACATGTGTAATGGAAGGAAAGGCATTTGAAGGAAACCTTATAAGAATGCATTGATCCTGTATCATGTGATGCACTTGACCTCCTGCAGTAAGAGTAACAATCTGCCTAGATCACGGTGACCTCATACTCAATGCGGCCATACCAAGCTGGTGGCCGCCCCGTCCGTTGAATCATCTGAGAACCATCCCTGCTTCTTGTTGTATAGTACTTTCTGACTTGTATTCTTACTTGCATGAGCTTTCAGTGCATTGCGTGTCTTTCATAGCATCTACAATACATTGCACTGTCAATGTTATAGTCTTCGATCAGTACATTTAGTTCAGCAGATTTCTTTTTTTAAAAATTAACAAATTGAAAGCAGACAATTGTGCGTATGCTTTTTTTTTTTATAGACCACCAGTGTTTCTCAATTCATTCGTAAACACAGCCACATTGATGTTGCTTGTTGTATTTTCATCACGTCTGCCACTTCATACGAGAATTGCGCGTGTGCGCTGCAAGCCTGTGCCAGTTTACTATTCCCCGTGCACTGATGTAAGTCGCCACACTTTACCGCTCCACAGCTGTGCAGGTGAGAATGAACCCGAGTGCCCGGAGTTAGCTTCTGGTGAAGACGCAGGGATGGCAGCAGCGGAGATTGGAGCAGCTCGGGCAGAAGGAATGCTTCGGGGGCTGGAGGGATCGTTGGAGAGCCAGGAGTTCCCTAACGCAGATGAAGATCACTCCCTCTCGGGACAAAACAAAGAGGGAGAGGAGGAACTGGTGGCAAGGGCTCCGTGCCGGCTGGGAGCATACGGAGCCGAAGAGTGGTGCCCAGCCTCAACGCTGCAACGCTCGAGCACAGATGACGCAGAGGAGGTGAAGTCATTTGTTACAGAGACGTGCACTTGTGTTATGGGTATTGTAATGATGTTTATCATCGTGTAGACAGTGTGTTTTTTAATTTGGTTTCCATTATTAAAATATTGTGGTCTAGCGGTGGGGTAGTGGTTATCACGCTGTACCCTTAATCCGGGTGACCTGAGTTAGATTCTTGGCCACGGCTAACATCGGCGGCGAGCGATGTCTGAACCGGTCCGAGGTACCCCCCCCCTCCCGTCCCCTTCACTAAACCTGTACTAACCAACGTGTTGTGTTGTGATGAAGCAACCTCTGGGGAGGTCTTCATCCAGCCTGTAAACGATTGTTAACATTTTCTTGTGCTAAATGTAAATGAAGCAGGTAAGTTGTCTCGTTAACATTGAACCCCGGTGTCAAATAGAGCAGGGCGAGGCCAACCGTCTATACTGATATAATACTTTAGCATAATGACCAGAGCAAGTGTGAATGTATGTGCATTTGCAATGTTGTTTGTGAATGATACAGTAAAAGTAGTCTCAGGAATGCTTTAGCTGGTCACTTAAAACATTGAAGTAATTAAATGTTGGCTTATGAAGAGACATATGTTACAATATTGCTTAACTTCAAAAACAAACAAAATTGGAAAATAGAGAGTGCCAATTGTCAAGCTTGTTGACAATATTAGCTATTAAAAGTAAACAAAAAAATGGCCTCTACCACATAAAAAAAAAAGATCAAAAGCAAAAAAATTTGAGAGGAGATCATTTCAAAGAAGGCCATTCCATGTAAATATTCCAGACACCGCTTTAATTGCACTCAACGAGCCCAGTGTCCACATTTCCTTGTCGAGTGTGTTGCGGATTGTTTGCGGTTTCCTGAACGATCTCCAGCTCCGCACTCTCCGCCCAATGTCACCCTAGGCCCTCAGCCCGGGCATGCCTGGCTCGTCGCCGTGTGTGGAAGGTGGCTCAAGGGGGGTCCCCACGCCGCCCCCTCGCAGGCTGCGTTCTCGGCCCAGTGACCCCACCCCCGTCGATCGAAACGGCAAGAAGCAGGAGGGCCGCACTCGTGAGCGGAGGCACACGCACTCCGGCCACTCCCCTGGGACCGGTACGAATCATCATCCATCAGCAGCAGCAGCAAAGTCATTATCAGCAGTGGCAGCATCAGTATCGTGATTGTCATCGTCGCCGTCGTCATCATTTGATTATTATTTTTCTTGGTTATAGGCTTTGTGTATTGTCTCTAATTTTGTACTTTGATTTGTACGGATTTATCTGCTCAATTGTGCCATCCACTTTACTAATCTGCACTGACCAGTGTGGTGAGGTATGGTCCAACAACGCCCCATGACCAACACAGTCTGCGCATTGACAAATGTATGCAGAGTTGTAATTATTATGAATGAAAGACGTGTAGGTGTAGCAGAGACAACGTTTACACCTTGATAAAACCGTGTATTTTTAGGTGGAGGCGAGGCCTTGTGGAGCCCCTTGCGGCAGCGAAGTTCTGGCAACGGTGGAAGCAGCCGCGTGGCCGATGGCGGCGATGATGGCGGTGAAGGAGCGGAAGGCGGCGGTGTGGAAAGGGCTGCGTCCCCTCGCAGCAACAGGCAGAGTCGGGCGAGCAACGCCAGCGTCGACAGCGGGGTGGTCGGGCTGCATGACGACATCGAACGGTCGGAGGTAGCGGGGGTGGCGGCGGCGGCGTCATCGTCGTCGTCGGCAACCGCGACGAGAAGTGCGGAGGTGGAGCGTGCGGACAGCGGCCTCGGCTCCGAGGTCGGGCAGCACCTGACCGGAAAATACCGCGCGCGGGCCTCGCCGCCCGTGCCCGCCGCGGTGCCCCGCGGCAGGCACGCCGCCCGTGCACCAGACTCGAGCTCCAACCAGGCGTGGGCTCAGGCCCTCGCCGAGCTGGAGCACGACAACGGCGAGGCCGAGGAGACGGACGACCCGGCTTCCGGCTGGTCCAAGGTCTGGGTCGCGGACGCGCAGCTCAACGGGGAGCAGGCGGCGGAGGAGCGAGAGTCGGGCGCCTGCGTGGACTGCGGGCGCGAGCTGGCAGGCGACGAGGAAACGGGGGCGGCCGCGGCACGCGCGGCGGCGACGACGGGCGGCGGAGAAGAGGGAGAAGGGATCGCGGCGCCGCGAGGAGGCCCCGTGTGCGAGCGGTGCAGGAAGTGGCGGCGGGAGAGGAAGGAGGCGGTGATGGAGTTCGTGAAGACGGAGCTGAGCTATGGCGAGGACCTGCGCGTGATCCGCGACGAGTTTTACCGGCCCATGCAGGCGGCCGGGCTGCTTACGTCGGAGCAGCTGCACACCGTGTTCGGAAACCTGGCGCAGCTCGTGGAGGCCAATGGCAGGTTCACGACAAGGCTGCAGCAAGCCATCGGCCGCGCGCACAGCCAGGTCAGCTTGCGAGGCGCACACAGGGGCCACGGCAAATCTCACACCGAAGTGTCTCGAGTGCTTCTTTTCATTACATCCCGGTAATGGTTCTTGGGCAGTTATTGGTAGCTCCAAGTGTGAAACTTGACTCCCAGAAAATGTCAAGGTCAAAAGGGTGATCGCAGACAATGCTGCTGATGTCAGCAAAGCTGCCATCAACGTCTGCCATTTGCTGGGTGAATGTAACTGCCGTATATCAAGTAGACGGTTAGGACTGATTGTAATTCATGTTACCTATAGATGTGGTATGTGCCTGATCCTCTATTCACGTTTCCTATTAAATATTTTAAGGGAAGAAGGATGGTTGCACGCCGAGGCTTGTATGGACGGCTGTCCAGAGCGGGTTCCGTGACCACACTGTGGCCGATTGCCATACATTCAAATGCATTATTTATTTTAGTGACATTACTGGAGTGCCTTTAAGTCACTTTACAATGTTTTTTGTTTCCATAATTAATAAGGCTCCAAGCTCATGTTAAACACCACCGAATATAGCCTGGGCAGCCATGTGGCGACACAGGCTGTTTGTTGTATTGACTTTTGTCTTTCTTTATCCAGTATCTCCAACGAGAGGTTATACATAACTCGTCTATTGATGAGTTTATTAATTTACAGTGCGTTAACCTTATATAATTTATTGTCGTTATAGCAGGTTCGCAATTTAGTTTTTTAAATACGTTCGAGTGACACACCAGAAGGCCAACACACAGAATTATAGAACATATGCAGGAAATAATCTTGACATAGTTTGTTAAGAAGAGTAAGAGGGCTTGGGCAGTACATATTGCTGGAAGGAACAAGGTTAGCACCTAGATCCACACCTCCGGTTAGCACGGTTGCCGACGTGCGGTGGGACAGAAGTTAAACGTAACATACAAGACGAATGATAGAGTGACAGCCAAAGGAGTAAACCCACCCGTGATGGACGCCAATTACGGAGACAGAGCGACGAAATCGGGTCACGCGCAGAAGCTCAAAGATTGTCGCACCACAAGTTCGTGAGAGATGGCGACATCTTGGGAAGGCCTTCATGCAGGAGTGGATCTATTGTGGCTGATGATGATAAAGACGTCATCACACACACACACGGGTTGGTCCCCACAAGTATACACAGATACAAGGAAAGAACCTGTGAATCACACCCATGCGAATTGTACGGTGATGGTGATTGACGTCTATTAATATCAATCTTGTCATTTATTCCTTCGAAGCGAACACTTTGTACTACGTAATAAAATTATCTACTTACCGTGAGAGATATGCCGGCTAATGTGTGTAGGAATGGAGCTCTCACACAGAGATAAATATGTGTATCGCATTACATTCATATACTTTGTAAAATATACTCATATAATTTTCTACCAAATGAACTTGATTGGCATTTAATAGTCGGTCGAAAAGGATTCATGTGAAACGACGAACGTGATGAACGAGAATTGTTTCGTAACGAGCAGGGGCGCCGACTCCGCCTCCTCCTCCGCCTTGCAGGGGGATGTGGATTATGTGAGCGTGCACGTGGGAGAGATCTTCCTGGAGTCGCTGGCCATGCTACCGGCGTTCCGCACGTATTGCCTGAGGCAGACGGAGGCCCTGCAGACACTCGCCAATCTGGAGAGGGAGAAAGAGCTGCTCCGGTAGGGCTCGCGTGGGGAGGCCCTTACTCTTAACGGTGTCCGCGCGGTAGTTCCGACGACTTGAGGTGGCCTCTTTCCCAAACCCGTAGTGACCAGCATGGTGAAGTACGGTCAAACAAACCCTCTTGACTGGCACGGCGTGAGGATGCCTTCATCCAGAAGTGGAATTATTTGTGAACTAATATTTAAAGGGAAATATTTAAAAAAGTTAATTTTTCAACTGGTTCGGGTTACAAGGAAATTATCTGGATGTCGATACTATTCATTAATCCTTTCTTGCATGCTCATGTGCATGTATCTGTGTGCGTGTGAGTGGTGGCGTAGCGGTTAGCGCCCTGTGCTATGAACCCAATGACCCAAGTTCAATTCTCGCTCACAGCCAACACCAGTGATGATTATCTGAACTGGTCCTGGGCCTGAGCACCTAGGGAGACAAAGCGGTGCTGGCCACCCACACCATCTTGTGCCGTACTGGCCTTAATAGGTGCTCGTTAACAGCACTTGCGCCTACAGTCTATAAAGGCTATACGGGCGATTGTTTTATCCTTGTCTTTGTGCGTGTGAGCAGGATATTCCTGGACGTCTCCCAGAAGGAGAACCCGGCGCTGCGCCGCATGCACCTACGCTCCTTCCTCATGGCACCCCTGCAGCGCATCACCAAGTACCCGCTGCTCTTCACCCGGCTCGCAGGCACCACGGTTACCGCGCACGGTCACCGCGGCAACAGCGACCGGGACAACGACGAAAACGACGACATCGACGACGTCGACAGCAACGGCAACGGCGGCGGCGCCGGCGGCGTTAGCGCGGCGACCCCCGGCGGCGATCAGGATTCCGGCGGTCGGGGCGAGCGCGAGCGCGGGGACCGGGCGGCGCTCGTGTGCGCCAAGCGGCTGGTGCAGTCCCACCTGGAGCACATGGACCGCCTGACGCGCTTCGCGGAGGGCCACGGCGGCGCCGCGGGCCCCGTCTGGAGGCCCTTCCGCAGGGACAGCGGCCGGCGGCAAAAGAGCCCCCGCGACCTGGAGACACTGGAGCTGCGGGAGATCGCGATCAGCAGCACCCGCTGGGACTGGGGGCGCACCAGGTAGAGCCGGCCCCGGGGGGAAGGGGGGTTGGATTGCGTCTGAGTTTTGAGCGCTTTTCAAAATTGCGCGCAAATAGGATGGGCACGTGCGTGATTAAATTAACACGATTGAATCAACACGATTTAATTAGCAAGATTAAATGAACACGATTAAATTAACACGATTAAAATAACAAGATTAATTTAACACGATTAAATTAACACGATTAAATCAACAAGATTAAATTAACAAGATTAAATTAACACGATTTAATTAACAAGATTAAATTTACACGATTAAATCAACACGATTAAATAAACACGATTCAATCAACACGATTTAATTAACAAGATTAAATTTACACGATTAAATCAACACGATTAAATAAACACGATTCAATCAACACGATTTAACTAACAAGATTAAATTAACACGATTACATTAACACGATTAAATTAGCACGATTAAATCAACACGATTAAATTAACACGATTACATTAACAAAATATAATCAAGATGAGCGCCTTTGGCTACGTACATGCATGCATGCATACGTGTGCCGTTTAATACGGAGAAGCCCTTAGATTAGAAGCACATGCAACACTCCATCGAGCACAGTAGTAGTCCTGATGTGTCGGAGGCAGAAGGGATATTTAATTGGATTATATTTTTCCCAGACATTAGCAAGTATGAATACTTGAGCCCCTTTCAGAGAATCCTTAATATAAATTCCTGGCCTCTCATTGGCTAAAAGAGACTCCTATGAGCCTTTCAATTTGACAGGTAAGCCTTCAGTGCAAGGCAAATTCCGACAGGGAATGCATCCAGTACCACGTACACCTGGGATTATAGCAGCCACTGTTATTTTAAAGTGTAAATAATTAAAATATAACCTTATCTGAAAATAAATATCAAAACATTGCTTTACGTACATTTACATTATGAGACCTCCTTTGCCAGTAGCAAGATATAGTAATATGTTTTTACCCTTTTATATTGCACCAAAACTTACACCTTTATACAAGGGATCATGTTTGCATTAACCACAACACTTGCGGTCAAAATGCAAACAAAAAGACAACTTTGATAATGAATGCACTGTCCTTGAAATTTTGTTTGCATTTTGACCGCAAGTGTTGTGGTTAATGCAAATGTGATCCCTTGTATAAAGGTGTCAGTTGTGTTGCCAGTTAAAAGGGTATAAACATATTACTATATCTTGCTACTGGCAAAGGAGGTCTCATAATGTAAATGCTTACCCCGAGCTCTCAATACTCTGATGGTGCGTTGGCTTTGAGTTGTGCGCCTTTTGGCGTCATCTGGTCCAACACCATGTGAGACTAGGCTCTAAGAAAAGCTGTCTCGGGTGTGGACCAATCAATTTCAAGGACAGTGCATTCATTATCAGAGTTGTCTTTTTGTTTGCATTTTGACCGCAAGTGTTGTAGTTAATGCAAACATGATCCCCTTGTATAAAGGTGTCAGTTGTGTTGCCAGTTAAAAGGGTAAAAAACCTATCACTACTACTTTACGTACATTGTCATGCCTTAAAGTACTATATGACGTTAATGAACGGTAGACCACTAAAAATGACTTTGCAGCCCACTGTCAATTCGCTGCTGGGTAAGAAGGCCTGTCCACACTGCATTGGTCATGGGAGCTGTTTGACCGTAAACTTAAAAAGTAAATTTTTTTTTATTTTGCCAGGTAAAGTCCAATGAGCTACAGAGTTCTTTTTGCAGAAGAATCTTGGCTATCACAAATGATAGCTCAACGAATCGGCTCACCGCGTGGGAATTTCTAGCAGCCAAATACTCTCAACGCATGGTGTTGATTTTAAATGTGGAGGGAAAATCCGAAGGACCCAGAGAAAACCACGGGGAGAACATGCAAACTCCAAATGTGCAGTCATCAGGGTTGGGATCGAACCCATGCCCTCCTGTATACCAGGTGAGGTAACTAACATATCGCCACCGCACTGACCATGCTGGTGAGTGCGGGTTGAGATGGATGTGGGGGAGGTTCAGGACCGGTTTAGATAACACGCACCGCTTGATGTTAGCCGCGGCCTGGAATCGAACACAGGTCGCCAGGTTCATAGCACAGTGTACCACAAATCCACCCCGGGATGCCACCGTTGGAATATAATAATATTCAGGTTTTTGGTGCAATTCCCTGGGTTGTTACATATGTAACTTGGAATAAATAAGCTATAGCATTGTTTCTTTATACATTACATTCCTTTACAAATATCGATCAATGATAAAGAAAGATTTATGGATAAATTTTTGTTTCATGGTTCAGTATCCCGGGGTGTTTTATGTGAATTTTCACACAACCGTTCCCGTATATATATTCAATGCATTATACATCACATTCAAATATGAATGTGTAATGCATCGGCACTTACTTTAAAATGTGATACATTCAGCAAGAGTAAATGCATATACCGTACACACATTTCACAAATATTGTGTTATATTATCTCTCTCGTTTATACTTTAGGATTTACTTTCGGGTGTTTACATGACCTCGGAAGAGTAGAGGTCAACTTTAGAATTAAAATATGACCGTTTGAGACAGGAGTAACGTCTGTGTTAATTAACAGGTGAGAGAAGTAGATTTTTAACACTGGAAGAGAGAATTGTAGATGTTATAATGAAGAGTTTGCATTTGGTAGTATTCAAGAGGTTGCCAACCGAGCTAAATGATTGGAAACTGCAAGAGCAGATCTAGGAAGGTTGGGTGTTGATTTTTGCAACAGCTACTGGGTCAAGCAAAATGAAGCAATGGAAAGGTGTGGTAGCATCTTTTAGCATTGGTCATGCCGACTTCTCAAGTTTGAGTGAACTACGATGAATATTATTTGCTGCACGTTCAATGCATTGCATTTTCGCTCATTTTGGAACTGAACGTTGCACCTTTTAATTATTTTTGTTTGCGTTTTAAATCCCAGCCTGCTCTTGAGCTTGCTGGCTCGACAGACACTTGCCTGGTTTTAAAGAAAGGTTATTGATTGCGTGGGTTACATTACTCATCCGCAGGCACCAACCATAGCGGTCAGTGCTCACAGTCGGCAGGTGTTCGCTCCAGCGCTCGTGACGGCACACCCGTGTGTGTGTGCGCGCCCATGAGACAGGTTCATCCTGGAAGGCCGTCTGCAGGTGGCCCAGCCGTGCGACGCGCAGTGGGCGCGCCGGGGCCACCGCTCGCTGCGTTTCCAGCGCGTGCACGCCCTGCTGCTGGTGCTCGTGTCGCGGGGAGACGGCAGCGACGGGTGGGCCGACGCGCTCGCCGCCACCTGCCCGTCGGCCCGCTCCCCGGATCCCAACGCGCGCTCGCCGGCCAAGACCCCCTGGCACAAGGCTGCGACGCCGTCCATCCTGCGCACGTCGTCTCTCCGCGAGAGCACGGTCCGCGCCGACGGCGCCGAGAGGGCGCAGGCTATGCCCACGAGCGCGTCGGACTGCGCGCTCGCCTCCCTGTGCGGCGCCGCCAACACCGCCGCCGCCTCCTCCCAGGGGCCGGGGGCCGCCGGCGCTCGAGAGGGCGCCGCCCTGCGCTCACCCGGCGGGGCCGCGGGGCCGCACGCGGTGCGCGGGGCCTCCCTGGTGCTGGTGAGGGAGCGCGGCGGGGGCAAGCTGAGCCTGCTGCGGGAGCCCCTCAGCCTGGCGCGGTGCGTGGTCTCGCTCGACCCCGACGGAGGGCTCGGGGCCGCCGGAGGCTCGGCGAGGGGCGTCGCGGGGCTCCCGGAGACCAAGGTGGGGGGGGACGGCGCCGAGGTGGCGCTCATCGAGCTGCAGGACATGGCGAGCCGCGACATGCTGCTGCTGCTGGTGAGCGAAGGCGCCGAGCGCTGGTTCTCGGCGCTCCGGCTGCACAGCCAGGCGCTCGGCGCGTGGAGGCTCCGCCGCAACGCTCTGCCCAACGTCATGATCGGGACCAACCACGCGTGTGCCTAGGCGGGGTGGCGGGGAGGACCGCTTCCGTTTGGCGCGTGGCGTTTGACGAATTTCGCAGGTGCTCAGAATTCAGCACCGCGGCGGAAGATTTGATCCCCGTTGCTGTTTTAATTGTACCGCGGTATCTTTCGGTGTCGTTTTAGAAGTTTTACTGTCCTGCGGTGTGGACATCACTCGACTGTGAGAATATTGTCAAACCGTAAGCTTCGTTCCGCTGTTGGCAGTGGAAGGTTAGAAATCTGAGCCTGCCCTTAGCATGGCCGTACTCGCAAGAGTTGTCCTGTTAGCATTGTCACTTATGTATGTGTGTTGAACTTCTTTCACACCGTACGTAGCTAACCGCGCTAATTGGAGGTGCCTTTCACTAACTACTGTATTGTAGGCAACACTGCAAGTTCCTTGTTCCCCTGTTGATTACTAATAACACAAATACCTTGCCTGACTATATATCTTGACGAAATTCATTTTAAAAAATGCACTCAAAAGTCACGCAATATTCTTGTCATAGCAACTACGTTACAGAAAAGTGCAAAAATTAAGTTGGATTAAATAATGAATTTATTACATGGTGCATCTTTAAAGGTATTATTATTAGAGAATAATTAGATGGCAGCCTGAGCTGCGTGGTTTATGTTGGGGGGTTAAGTGAAAGTTTAAACAAACCAACAAGCTCGAGTGATCCTCCACTTAGGATTCTCTCAATTGTGTATACGATGTGTATCACCAACACCATGGCGAACTTACAGAGGCTTAGAGGGAGGAAACTCACGATAAAAATCTCAAATGTTGCCCAATTCTAATGATGGAGCATATCTTTGTGGACAGCCTGTATTTTATGCCTGGAATGTGCAAGTTTGCATGGACTCTAAAACGGTGGCTGCATTATTTCACAGGTCAGCGTTCCCGTTATGATGCAGAGTAGCACGGTGTGCTGACGCAGGTCACACGGAACACGATGTGACAGGCAGCTTTTGAAACGCACAGTGGTAGTTGCGACACATTGCATTTACCAGCTCAAAAGTTCACGCTTTACCAAGATACAAGCCCCAAAGCCTGGAAGCACTGGGACGCATGCATTGCAAGGCCTCCTTTCCACTCCAAACTTCTCATGGTTCCCCTACTTTGAATGTTCTCATGCGGTTGCATTGTGCGGGGTTGTGTGACAATGTAATTTCCCAAAACAGATGTGTTTGTTCAGTCACTGCATCGCCTTTAATTGCACAATTGCCCTCGCAGCACACTGCAATCTTTCTGCCGAAACCACGTGCCCTGCGTATATCCACTGCCAACGCTAATCCGCTGTTCCAAGGGGGAATCCAGCTTCTCGCTGCAGAGCGACACCGTGAGCGTGTCGCCTGTTTTCAAGACACTTACGTGAACGCGTCTGTGCCAGGCACACCTATCTAGTCTCACTCGCAGTGTTTTAATGCGTAATCTTGGTCATGGCATTGACACTTTAATGGACCATGGATAAGACTGTGGTTTGTATAACTGTGCAGTTGTACTTTGTGCAATGCAGCTTATAAAGACTGCCTCAAGCTCTGCTTGGAATGATAGTAAAAAGAAAACCGACTGTTTTCCGATGGCGCAGCTACAATAGTTTAAATACGTGTTACTCGGTCCACGTTGACTTACAATATCACATTTTATTTATAACATGAGTTCGTGTCGTCCCGTTTTGAATGTTCCTGTTTAACAAGCCTCTCTCTCCCCCCTGACCCAGACCCCCATGCATGTGCGCTGCCCACCGATTGTTGCAAAGAGATTTGATTTTGCTTGTGGCAGTGTAGCCTACAGGGTAAAATCTCACTCGCGCCCCACGTGTACACGCCGCCGCCGTTTTGACAGTATTAACATTGTTCCTTCGGAGTGTGAAATTGTGTATTTAATGTACGGCATTAAACCATTTGCAGGGTCAACGAAGAGCCGAATCCTTTGTTTTCGTTCCGTTTCTCAGTCCGCTTGCGAGAGTCGCGGCGGTGGCAGCGTTTCGAGTAGTGGCGGTCCAGACGTCCCTACCCCTGGCCACAGACTCCATCTCTTCTTCGGGAATTCTCAGCTCAGCCGAGGAGCGACACAGTCCCTCCAGCGTGTCGTAGGCCGGCCACGGGGTCTTCTTCTAATGCCCAATGCTCGTTCTGCCTTTCAGCACCTTCTCGCTAGGCGCCCCTGGAGGGCGCTGTGGCCACTCGATGGCCGCATCAAAGTCGCGGGGAAATTGCCGCGTTGTTTGTGGACTGACAAAGCGAGAAGCGGCCAATCCAATTGCTGTGCTGGATCTCAGGGTTCTGTTAAATGCTGTAGATTTGCTGCCATTACAGGAGAGCATCTGGCTTAACCAGGAAGTTTAATCACTTGTTGGATTGATCTGAAAAGCAAAACCTGCACTATGCAGTGGCTATATCGCTCGAGTATTTATCCGAAAGCCAACGTTAGTCACGCGTATGAGAGTAAGCAGGGCTTAAAAATAATTTTCACTGAATATTTTACGAGTCCCGAGTAGACTGGATTAGGTACATTATTAGACGCCGAGGTTCATAGCAACAAGTATACTGGATGTGGAGTACTGGGAGCAGAAATATTTCCCCAGCTGAACTGAAGCCCTGTGCATTGTACAACAGCACATACATCTCTTTCAATATGGCACTTAATTATTTTTATTTACAGATGTCGCAAATATGTAATGTGAACTACACACAGCTTCGTGTCTAAATTGAGAAAATCACATCGTTTAAAATAGGCTTTAATCAGCATTGCACAACTTGAGGCAAGGCAAACAGAAAATAATTTCAAATCAACTGTTTACACGATGACCCAAACACTAAATTGCATCAGCATTTTGTGAAATTTAAATAAGGGAGGCCCACTCCATTAACCCGAATGCCCACATTGAGCAACTCGGGCATTTGCGCCAACTTTTAAATTATCTTATTTTTCAATACCCTACATTAAGAGTTGTGCGTGTTTAAGCAAATAAAGACTGGTCGGTGGTCATGCAGACCATCAGCACCTTCCCTGCAGCATGCAGCCGCTTGGCACAAAAATCGCAATTCTCCAGAGCTTGCGTCTTCTTCATCTCAACTCGCCTGTCCACGCTTCCGCACCCGCGTGAAAAGGTCCACTGTCCATCAACACGGGCTGGCACTCCACGTGGAAAGTTAAACTTTTCAGGACAGCGGTCAGCTTAGGCCAGAGTGATAAAATTATAAACCATTGTCACCATGGTTCTGCCGAAATGTTTTGTGTATAGGAAAATGCACGCATGTATATTGTATATGCCCTTAATGCGCATTAACATTGTAGCATTCAAACTTTTACATGGCATTTTCACTTCTCAAAACATGTGGAAAAAACTGCGGTTTGAAATTCCCTCCCCGTCAGTCACTGTGCCCAACGAAAATCGCTGCCATTCAACTGTAGCACCAAAGCCAGACCAGGGGGAGAGCCTTCGAGTTGACATTTGGATTTTTCCGAAGTACAGAACAGCTCTGGGCAGGAGCTCATCCCCATAGCCCTACATGGCCCAACGGCTGAGTGGGAGGACCATAACCTGGCCACTGGCCAAGACCTTCCCCCTCCCCCGCACTGCATGGTGTGCCAGCGAGGGAAGAAGCGAGCACAAGTCACGTTACGACTCTTGCTACGATCAAACCTCCGAATCACAGTTCAAGCATTCGGCTGTCGGGCACAAAGAATTTCGCTTTTGCACACAGTAATTTGCATAATAACGACAGGCAGCTGCGGTTGTCTGTTAGTGGCAACATTGTAATGCGACGTGGGGGTCAGATTTGCCCGACACAATCTGAGTAGAACCTTTGAATCTTATTTGCAATAAACCTCTTGGCAGAGTGTGCCAGAGGTCACTTGTTATTTAAATAGTTCTGTATGGCATTTTATATTCAATGCACCTTCAGTGGTACGTTCCATATTTGCGAGGGCAGAGACGACCCTGGCAGCCTGATGGTGTGCAGGCCTCCTTTAAATGTAGCCATGCCCTCTGACTGTAATTATATTTAGCAGCAAATTTGTTAATGTTAACGTTGGCAAAACACCACCTGGATACAGCTCTCTGACAGTGTTTCAGTCCTAACACTTGGTGCACATATCATTTTTTTAGAAAGCCACCCTACACATGAATGTATATACATAATTTAACAAGACAAAAACTGGAGAAACGTTGGAAATTAATTCCTTAACTGGCTTAAACGTCACTTTCATGCTGATGGTTAGTTTGTGTTTCAAACGATACTGTTTACAAAGCCTGACCAAAATGCATTATCCAAGGAAAATTCACATCCAAGGGCTGTGAATTTCATTCACAGATGTCTGCTTACATGTCCAATTACATTACTTTTAAATGTCGGCACTGGGCATCCACACTACTGTGCATGTATAAATGCTACACCTGAACTAATTGTGATGCATCAGGATGTTGTAAAATGCCATTCATGAAATTGGCACCAAATTATTTTCCGCAAAGGTTCTGTCTTGTTTAGTACGCAATTAAAAGTGGCATGTTGAAATGCGATTGCTCTGCTGTGTATTCACTGTACACATCTATTCATGCCAATCCAATCAACGAAATGAGCCGTTAAAAGTCTCGTTGCCTGCTTGTGTTTAATTGACAGTGGTGGAGATTGACCTCTGCTTTATGTTCATTGGGAGATGATAAGTGGGACTGTCCACTGCATCCTCAGATTGGCATGCTGGCATGAGACAGCATTGTGAGCAGCCCCGAGAATTTGCGCGCGCATGTGAACGCGCGCACACACGCACTTGTGAATGCGTGCGTGTGTCCGTGCCAATGCAAGTGCGGTTGCGAGCTGTGTGTGACGCTGTGCAGGCTGGGCGAGAACGCTGGGTTCCTGCGCCGCGAGGTCTTCTCACATGTGCTCGGGGTGGCTCTGCATGCACTTGGTGAACTCTTTCACAGGCTTGCCCTCGTAGCAGATCTGGTAGATGGCTGTAAACAGCGGGAACCTGCCGCACAAACAATGGCACTTTCTCAGACTAAAATCTCAAACAATCAACCTTGGTGCACAGGAAAGTCATCACTTCAATACTTGAATCCCTGTTCTAATTGCTTTAAATACTCTTCTTAAAATCATGGATAAGCCACTGCTTGATGAAGGCCTTCCCTCGCCACCACCGTCTCTCACGATCCTGCATTGTAATAATCCACCCGTAACCCGAACACGAGCGGATTTATTCTTAAAATTGCACAGCTTAAACAGCTGCAAATGTATAGAGTTTATAAATGTACTTATTGTTAGTGTAAGGCTTCACCGCCGTTTGTCACAATTCAGAGTTCTGTTACTATACAAGAATAGTTTTTTTTTACTCTTGGAGTGAATAGTAGTACTGTACCTCTCTAGTGGCTCCAGGGGTGATGTGAACCCACTGCATACAACAAATACGATGCACATTGGCTCTTAAACAAGCGGTTTGATACACTGTAGAATAATACAAATTAACCGATGAATCAATGTATCGTTACACCTGCTCGTGGCTCTTACACGAAGCAAGCGTGTGAGAAACCCTGCCCACTGGTGTCCGGCCTGGGCCATGCGGCGCTTACTTGTCCACTAGCCCCTTGGTGCTGAGGATGCGGTGCACCTCCGCTGAGGTCTGTGGGCCCTGGAGCTTCTGTCCATTGAGCATCTCCTTCTCCAGCTCCTCTATACTCTGTAAGCACAAGCACAGCTCATCCATACAGCTCACTTGTCCTCGTTTTGTGTTGGTTTTGCGGTGCTTTGTCAATCCGCTGCTGGAGAAAGGCCCCCTCACGCAGTGTGGGCCGCGTGGGTCGTTTGATCGTACTTCACCATGATGGTCAGGGGGGGGGGTTTGGTGAAGGTAATAGGGTGGGAAAGCCCAGGACCAGTTCAGACATCACTCGCCACTTACGTTAGCTGGGTCGCCAAGTCCGTTGCGTAGTGCGCGTTAGCCACGATGCGTCTCTTATACTTTTTTCTATTTTACTCCACCAAATGTCATCCTATCATGGTGAGCAACACCATAGGATGGTTCCCACTGCTCTGGAGGGTGAGGTAGATGACTTGTGTTATTGAGTACAGGCCCAGACAAAGATTTTTGCGAGCCTCGTCCTCCAGGACCAGTGTGCAGGCTGCTGACCATGAGCACACGTGGTTGATTGAGGAGGGAACTCCAAGTTGGTGATCTCTGACACCGCGAATCTCGATGCTGCCTTCGATTCCGAGGACGTGGTCGGCATGCCTCGGGCGATTCCACTCGCCCATTCTCGGGGAAAAGCCGACTCATCTGATGATGGAGTAATGATATTTTTTTACTTTGGATAATTTATCACTATCATTTCTTATCGTCACTCGATTTCTAATTAAATACATTTTAACAAAAATTCTAAGGTTATTCATAATATCGACTAGCCTTACGCTGGCTCTCTTTTGTTGCTAAACAATTTGCATTACACAGGCGTTATTGCCATGTGCTTAGCAACTGCAATTAAGCAACTAATCTATTAATCAACGAACTTCAAAACCAGGTGACAGCACACGGAGTCAGCAAGTGCCTTTAGCAATGGGAGATCTGTCATACAAAATGTACCGGCAAGAAAAAATACAGATACAAAAATTAAACATGTTCTCTTAGATTAGGTCCTGAGGCTATTCCCATTCATGGGACAGGACCCCTCAAGCAGCTTGTAGCTTTGAAATGAAATAAAAACAGCACACCGATTTCAGTTCATGGTGGGATGGGAGTGGAAAAGAAATGTATAAAAGATATGAGCACTAACCCTATCACGCCGTAGGCTCTGGAATAAGGTTACCATCGATGGCTGTGCAGAAAACCATCAAAATCAAATTTGGTTATAACTTCGTTTGGCCAAATTCGAGCTCTGGAGAATATAAAAACATCACTTGCTGCCACGTAACAAACATTTCTCTGTCGCAGGGCATGTGGGAAACTGCACCCCATAATAATCTATAAATATTGTTTTTATTTTACCAGGTGAGGTCCATCCACTGAGCTGTATAGCTCGTTTTCAAGAGTGACCTGGCCAAAAAATGATAGCTCAACGAAGTGGCTTTTCACGTGGAAATTTATAGCAGCCAAAAACTCTAAAACGCCGTGATGTTGATTCTAAATGTAGAGGGAAAAACTGGAGAACCCGGGACAAAAATCCACACGACGACGGTGAGAACATGCAGACTCCAAATATACAGCAGGCGTCGGGGTCGGGATCGAACATACGACCTCCTGTATACCAGGCGAGTTAGAGTGTGGATTTAAAAAAAGAAGTCTCTTAAAAGGGATTTCATGGGTAGTTCTGCGACATGCTTCTGTGGGCCGTTCTTTAACGTAACACGTGATGCACCATTTTGCAAGAGTTTCAAATGCACGCTTCGATAGCGCAAATGGAATAAAACTGCAAATGGAATAAACCCCACCCCCTCTGATCTCTGCACCAGATTGGGTTAATTGATGACGTCACCCTGCTGCTCTATTTAAGACCTGGAGCAGGTGGAGGGCTTCACTATTCTGGAAAATTGCCAGATGATGCTGGATGTAATTACCAGAAAAACGTCGTACTCAAAAAATGTAAATGTTGTGGATTCACTCTTCAACACACCGGTGGGCTAAAGTAGTGAACTATTTGTCTTTTGTCAACGTGACACGTTTTTACTGATTGGCCGTGTCTGGTGGTGGAGGGTTGCGACACATTTATAAATAACGCGATCTAACCCAAAAACCTTCTGAATAATATTGGTCGCGAAAGCCTACGTGTTAAACAAATAAAATGGCACAATCGGCAGACCACCCTCCCCGCCTCGCACGCACAGAAGACGCTGCGACCCCCGTCAGGGTGGCACAACATGGCGCACCTTGCCCTTGACCACGAAGGCCTCGGCCACACGGCGGTTGCGACCACCGTAGCAGGTGGTGATGAGGTCGGCAACGCCGCAGCTTTCCAGGAAGGTGGCTGACGTGACGGTGCCGCTGCAGAAGAGCTTGGCGAAGGCGATCATCTCCATGAGGCCCAGTCGGATGACGGCCGCCTTTGTGTTGTCCCCAAAGCCCAGGCCGTCGCAGAAGCCAGCGCCCACCGCCACGATGTTCTGCGTGCCATGTATAGGAGAACTCCTTTAATCTGTTATCCTCTTACCCACAACTCCTATTTTCCACAGGAGATGTAAGGGTCCGCGAAAACTATTATAAGCGGCCCTATTTTTCCAAATTATGCATGTTTTTTTCCCCCCGCGTATAAGTGGAGTAAACTGGCGGATAACCAGCCTCCCTATGCCTCGGACACGAACATGACAATAGAATCAACACCTTGAGAGCTCCGCAGAGCTCCACCGTGTCGGCCTCCTCCACAACCGTGATGCGGAAGTTGAGCGTCTGCATCAGCTGCTTGAGCAGGAGTCCATTGGCGCGGTTCTTGCTTCCTGCGGCGACACGAGTCAGCATTCCTCTCACTCGTGGGGCCAAGGGTAAATATAACGCGGCTCCGCGAGCCCACGGGTGCGCACCGCACGCACTTGGCACGGGCGCGCATTCGCGTGCGGACACGTATGAATGTATGTACGTAGAACTTCTTTCGCACCGTACGCAGCCAACCGTGCTAATCAGAGGACAGCAACCCTGGCATGCGTTGCTCGTACCGATGGTGGTCTCGCAGAACTTCTCGTCGGCCACCTCGTTGGCGATGTTGGCCCCCATCAGCACGCTCATATCGATGCCAAGCTTCTCCCGGATGATGTTGGAGATCAGCTTCAGTCCCTCCGGACCCTCGTCGACTCCCTGTCAAAACGCAGAAGACAATGGATTCCCCCGAATAGCCCGCACAGGGGATGTTGGGGGCCGCTAGCGACCAACTATGCAGGCAAGTGCGATGCACAGAGGGATGGCGTGGCCGGCACAGGTACTAGCCACACATCACAGGAGCCACCTCAACAATGGGAAACTGCTCGTAACCTACCAGAAGCAATGAGCTCTACCTAAACCACCGCATTCAGTACAAAAAAAGCAAAAACCTGTTTGCCTGCACAGCCCTTTAACAATAGACGGAACCACCGACCGCTTCATTGGACAAAGAGGATTAGAGAAGAGTCAATCATGCAGGATCGTTACGCCACCGAAGAGCTGACCGTGAGTTCTTTGAGAACTTGTGTGTCAGTGCTAAGTCCTGTGAAGGGACGGTAAAAGCGAAACCTTAAAAAAAAATGCACTTCTTGAGACAGATGGAGCCCCAACAAAATAACTGTTACATCTCATGTAGCATGCACTTTGCTCAAGTGATTAACTACCAACACCTCAAAATAACATGTTATATATATCTAACCCTAAAGCCTAGCCGTGTGACTAAAGTAAGCCTTAATACAATAATATTTCATGACGTTAGGGTGACCTCTAACCCTACCCATCAAAGCCCTAAACTTATTACGCCCATTAACCCTTCCATAGCACAGACTAAATTTACTCCTAGTCCTTGAACACACAACCCTTGTCCAAGCAATCAATCCTTTGAAACACCAATGACAAACCTTCACTCTGACCGAACACCAGGATTCCATAGTCTTTAAAGTAAGGTTCTTTATCCAATGGCATCTTAACACTATTATTCAGTTAATAATAGTTGCTAAATCTTATTGCAATGTTAAGCCATGATCTGTTATTAATCCCTAACCAATGCATAATTCAAATGTGTTCCTTAATCTTCACCATTCGCTACTCTTAACTGTGCTGCAGGCTTAACCCTAAGCAGTTCCTTACTCCCCAATCACATGTAAGAGAGTGCACTGTTATTATTAACATAAATACCTTAGCATAACCCTGCAGGGTAGGTGAGTAACGAAGCATCAATTTATACATTAAAATGTATTCTTATGCTCATGATACATTAGTTGAATCATGTGGTTAATCATGGAAAATGACACGCAAATTAGATGCTAATGCTACATTTTACTGGGGAAAAACCTGTATAAATGAGAGATGGAAATTAGATGCAAAGCAGTGTTTTATTTTGACGGTGACGATTTAAAAGTGGTAAAACATATGTAATAGAAAACTAAAATGAAGATGGCCAGGGTATCTTCCTTGGACATCAGATGACAGTTGGGTGAGATTAATTAACATAATGGAGGCCGATTGGAGGGATGGAGAAAGACGGGTAGAAAGAAAAATAGGCGGCGGGATAAGAGGAGAAGATCTAAAGGAGCGCAGTGGATGGAGGTGGTGATATATCTTGGATGGAGGTGGTACGACACTGGCGAAGGTCTCTGTCCGACATTGGGATGTTATTGGCAGAATAAGAAGAACACGCGAAGACATATTGCCTCCTCGCCCATCGCTCATCCGGGTGAGCTGCGGCCCACGTGTGAGCGTGAGCGGCGCACCTTGATGAGGGAGATGCCGATGGCGCCGGGCGCGATGTGGCCCGCGATCTGGTCGCACAGGCGCTTGATGAACTGGTGCGGCACCACGAACACCAAGATGTCTGCGCCGTTAGCCGCCTCCACCACGTCCGCCACCGCGACCTGCCGGGGTGGCGCACATGGCTCGTGACCAATTTCAACGCGGAGGGTGTGCGACGTCGTCTGTGAAAAAAGCTTCGTAGCTCTTCAGATTCCTCCAGTCTAAATGAAGATTGTGATTCTGACATTTGACCCACGGGGTCCAACCCGGAACAGCGTTAAAAAAAAAAATACATACCCCCATGTTTTAAATGAATATTGGATGGTCCTCATGTCTGAGACATTGGTGGAATTTCTATATTCCGATGGCAATGACCAGTCTGTTCAGACAACCAGTATTGACTTTGAATAAAAGTGGTGTTTATTTTATCACTCCCAATGAATGATGGATTGAATCAACTCCAAATGGAAGAAAAACACAAATGTCATTTGGTATGTTTTTTTATCTGGCCTTTGAGAGAATGAGTGCTGTTTTAAGTTAAGTTATCCATTTAGGATCGAAAATGTTATTATTGACCGTCAGGTTTTATATATTCATATTTAGAAGTCAGTTTATAAACTGTCCCGTATTTCTATTTGAGGTTGTTACAATGAGAACCACAACATTCAGCTGGCGTTTTACATTAGAAAACAGTACATGTTAAAAGCTTTTACCATTACCTAGAATTGTATACAGTTACAATAGGTAATTTGCTTCTTTGGTAGTTTTATTTTGGGGCCATAATTCACACATTTGATCAAGGTTAGGCTGTTATCATCCGTTCAGAGAAAAAGGCATCAATACTTTTCATGCTACCGTGGCCTCACCTGGAACGCAATCAAATCCGAAATAACAAATGTATCACCGATGTCAATGCCAAGGCGACACTCACGGCTCATGAACTTTAGCACGAGGGCCGCCTACGTGTGCAACATGGCAGTGGGTTCATAATTCCGCAGCGGCGAGCAACCTTGGTGCGCACATTCGCATTCATGCGTCGGGTATGTGACTGCATGGGCATATACAAAGACAAAGATCCCCTCCCCCCCATATAGCCTTTACCAGACTGTTGGGGCAGGTGCTGTTAACGAGCACCTATGAAGGCCGGCACGGCACACGAGAGGGTTGGGGGGCTAGCACCACACCCGGCCGCCTTGGTCTACCTCGTGGCAATGTGTACACACCACTACAGATACTTATTTGAGGCCGAGGCCGAATCGACCTAGGGGAGGCCCAGGACCGGTTCAAATAATCGTCACAGGTGTTGGCCGTGAGCGGGAATTGAACTCTGGTCGCTGAGTTGGTAGCGCAGGATGCTGCCCGCTCCCCACACACACACACACACGGCAATGCAGCAGCATTCCAGTTCAAACACGGGCAAACATCACGTGTCCAGGCACACACTGAAACAAGAGTCATACTGGCCAACAAGTGCTGGACAGCGATTATGTGTCCACACAGACACTGCACTACAATGACATTCCGACAGGGCAGACACACAAATAGACCCCCTATAGTGTTAACAACAGACCGTTGGGGTGAGTGCGATTAGCAAGAACCTATTAAGGCCAGCACGGCGCACGAGGAGGGTGGGTGGCCAGCACCCTACCTGGCCGCCTTTGTCTCCCCATTACTGATGGTTACACACACACACGTGCAACACCACATTGCAGTTAATGTCTACATATAAAATATCTGACTGATATGTATGTAAAGTATATAGGTCAAGTACGTATTATTTTCGTTGGTTACACAGCAAAACAAATAGCAAATCCAACAAAAGTAGAGTTGAATGTGAAAAACATGCGGCTATATACAGCGAGACACAGTGGAACAGGTGTTATTTTGGTGATATAAATAATGGAGCAATAGGTAATTACATAAGCAAACTCTGTACAGCACTGTACATTCTACTTACGTAATAGAAACGTGAAGGTAGGAAGCAATGCAAAAAACAGCCTCAAAGCAAAGTTAATAAACAACTTAGAGAGATTAAGACAGGATTCAAAGTCATGTCCAACGAAAATTCCTGCGCGATAAAATTACTTGCAACTAATGTAACCTGTTGCTACTTAATAAAACAACAATAATGGTTTACGGCCCTTTGTCAATCCACTGCTGGATGAAGGCCTCCCGTTGCCATGTGGGTGTTGGAGACTGTTTGACCATACTTCACCATGCACGTCGGTATGGGTTGATCAAGGGCAGAGGTGTGGAGGCCGGGATCGGTTACGATGTCATTCGCCACGGTCAGGAGGGAAACTGAGCTCACCGGGTGCAATGCAGAGCGTGTACTGCGACTACTGTTGCGCCACCCGTTATTGAATAAATTGTCCAAAAATAATTCACCGGGCAAAAATCTACCATTGTTTTCTTTGTTTCAAGCCGGTATTAACGACTGAAAAACGTCACCAACGACGGAAATTGTTTCTTTATCACCATGACCCCGAAAGCAGAAGTAGTGCAAGCGATCAACGGCCAGCTTTAAGGCCGGCTCGGGTCAACCAATCGCCAATTGAAATATCAGTCGTCCAAAAATCAAGCCGGCACAATGACGCTCACGCCTTGCCAATTCCTTCTTAAACAAAAACATGTGTGCAGTGGCACATGTCGTAACACTCATCACCCTTGTCTCGCACCATGTGGGGGGGGAGGGGGTGAGCCGGATCAGCTATTGGCTCCCAGTTGTGATAGGCGCTCCATTTTGGCTGTGTAGAAAACACCAGGTCAGAGCTCAATGACACGAGGCCCTTTCGCAAAGGTGACCTAGGGTTTGTGCTTTTGACGTGCGCAATGTGCGCATGGAATGCCTTGGACTCCTGTAGCCTTTCGCACCCACAGCCGCATTGGGCCCCGTGTGTACCTTTGGCCTTGTAACGCGTGCACTTATTCCTGGCCATGTGTTATTGCGGCCAGATGTTTAATACTGTACCTTGCTGACTTTACTTATAGGGAAACAAAGGACCATATACCGTGTATGTGTGCGTGTGCCAGCAAGGGTGAATGCACCCTGCCGTGCATGCAATCAAAGGCACGTGCACACCTTGCTGTGTGTACAAGTGTACACACAAGCAAGGGTGAATGAATGAATGCACCACGCTTGGTGCACAAGTGTGTGCCCGTTTGCAATGCACCCTGCGAGCACAGCGTTTGCAGGGGGCGCGCTGCGCGTGTGTATATACGCGCGTACCACGTTGGCGGGTAGCTTGTGTCCCGGCAGGTACTTGACGTTCTCGTGCTCAGTGTTGATGATTTCAGTCAGCTTGCGTCCGCCCACCTCCTCCTCGAACACCCACATGCGCACCTTTGAGTCGAACTGGGGCAGCGCTGCTGCATTGGCGCCCACGATCTTTGCAATCGCCGAGCCCCTGCAGGGACACGCACACAAACAAAGATATTGTTCACTTCGTTTCATTTATCGTGGTTAGTGAATGTATATTAATGAGCAACTATTACTGCAGGCATGGTATTAGGGCCAGTACAAAGCCCTTCTGCTTTTGTCTGCCGAGTGCTGATGTTTACGCTATACACCAGGCACCAATTAAAGGCAAAGTTGATTTAGGAGGCAGCCCAGGGCATGCTCGGATATGAAAGAGAGCTGTACATGGCAAAAGATATGTAGTGCAGTACGTGAACCGCTGTGCTACCCGTCCCCACAGCACACTCGTAAACATAACTCTGTGCACCGAAGAGCATTTGCTTACCACCCCAGAAACTACTCTTGACAAGCAAAGCACACGCACCATTTGCCTGTGTAAAAACACCGTAACAAAAACAAAGGGGCACACAGCATGTCCATACATATTACTCCATGGCTGATGCTGCACTCACAGACAATTATTAAAAGTGAAAGAAATTGGGGGGGGGGGGGGGGGCAAGGCACCATAGCCGGCTCTAGAATCACTCGCAAGGTGGCCATGCACACGTACCTATTTGAACCGACACACGGACACCGATTTGTATTAGCTCCCCTCCACAGGCCCTTGGCAGCATACATTTGGTTAAAATGTGAACACTCACATGGGAGAATGAAAATGTCACCGGTCATTTTGCTGTGCAGGGCACATTCTAAACTGTTCCAGGGCATGTTTTGTTTTAATAAATGCTGTGGGGGGTGGGGGGGGAATAGAGGTAGGGCATTCGCTTAATTGCAATAAGTTATATTGTGTTCGTCAATCAATGGGCCTTCCAGGCAAGTGCATGCAAGAAACATTTTGGGGCAAACCCCGAAATGTTTTGTGCATTACTGAACATCAGCAGCAGGGTTGGGAAAGTTAAACAAGTGCATGATATTGATCTGAATGGCCTAGTGCTTGACATTATCTATTTCCATTATGAGATTAAACCTCCACACGTTTATTAATATATACCTGAGTATTTACCAGTAATATTGGATAGGAGTTGTAATACTATACTGATAAGTAGTTTCATCCGCAATCTAACCTTCCCTGACGCATAGGTGGGGCAAGCGGTGTGTGTCAGATTCGCAACTGTGCACGTACCCACTTATAACTCTGGCCTTTTAAAACAGACATAGCTAGCACATATGATGTGACTTTAAAAGGCACCGAGACTATTTCTCATCTTAGGGCTTAGAGGCTGGGGTTGCAGCTTGAGGAGGCCCCGCTGGATAAATTTAAATCACGAGGAGTAATGTATACGAGTGTGTGGCTGCGCGGTCTGCCTGTTCGGGCCGATGCGGAGGTCGTTATTCAAGCAGCACCTGTTGGCACAATACCGTACCGTCGTGCACGAGTATTACGCCGAGATTGAGAATCGCACGTTTATTTAAAAAAAAATGTCACTCGAAAAATCCAGCGGTCGTGTAATGTCACGCAGAATGTCATTGCAGTATAAATAATGCATGCAACAATTTGTCTTGACTCAAATTCACTTCTGTAAAATCTTTCAAGTTCTCATCAAATGCTATGTTTTTAAGTAAATGTCTGCATGCCATTGTAATTACCATGCCTCTATGTGTAAAAGGGGACAATGCATTTTAAGGAATTCCTGTTGGGACATTTAAACATTGTTATTCATATTAGAACTGTGGTAATTGGGTATGGAGGTTATGCTTCATCAGAGAAAATCTCATAAGGGTATATTTCTATCTACCATCTAGTTGCATTGCTTTTAACAAGGCAACCCTTGAGTTGAATTTCGACGTCAATAAGTGCCATTATGAGGGTGTGACAAGTTCACGTCAGGGGGCCTCATGTGACAGAAGAGAGCCATTCACAATCATTGTAGAGTCAAAATAATAAGCTGTAGTCATTGAAGAGGAAAACATTTTATTAAAATATACAAGTTCACATATTTTTTGGAGGTCGGAGGGGTACAATACTTCCTAACATGCCACTCTTGGGCACACGCATCTTATGAAAGAACAGAGCATGTGTTGGCAATTCCTTTCATAAGAGCTACATTTTAGGGTACAATGCAGGCACATTGTGAATAACTCCGCTAAAATGCAAGCCAAACTGAAAATTATCTCTTGTGAGCATGTGTTATACATAAAGGGCCTTTATGGTTTGTTTATTTTGCAACACCCACCCTTTGTCCCACCCTCTTTCACTAACCTTGCCTTGGCAGTGAAGCAATGCAGGGGCTATAAACCAGCGAGATATCTCTCAACGGAGTTCCACAGATGAAGATCTTTCTTGCAAAAGGGTTGCGATATTACATCTCACTGGGTTCTCACTCGGTTAAAGTTTGGCGGAATGACTGTTAGATGTGGGACCGAAGATTTACTACAGTATGCATGTAGAATTTATTTCGCACCACACGTAGCCAACCGTGCTAAAATCGGAGGTGCGATGTGGAGTGAACACTTCTTGATTCTTCAAGCTCAAAATGCGTGCATCGAATCAAGTGTAAAATGCATGCATATCATATGTGAATGTTACATTTAGGCTCGTGGTAAGGCATTAATGATTTAATTGTGACACCGAATGGCCATAAATAACAAGTTTAATTATTACACCAATACTTTCAGGCCCCACGTTTGAGTAATTGATTACCGATTAACATGCCGATTGTTTTATTGTAGAGATGTTTTGCCTACGCGCGACTTTATTTTCCAGAGGATGACTGAAGGATGCTTGTCGCCAAGTCTCATCGATAACCCCCTCACCCCCTGCCTCTTGCCCTGTTAGTCTTGGACGTATTGTTGATGATTAACACTCGGGGAGTGCCTTACGCACAAACCAACAAACCAAAAAGTAGAGTTATTTGCCCAACCAAAAAAAGCTGTGTTTTAGTAGTGTTCAGATAAAGTAGTGTAGTAAATGGTTTACCCTTTTGATCAATGTTTCATATACAATACGTTTTGTATTCGATTACTTTTTTTAACTCAAGACACATTTTAAGTAGCTTTACAGAACAAGTACATATATACAAAGGCCGTCACAGAACAAAGTTGATTGAACATTTCTGTTAAGTGGCTGCACGCATTTTAAAATATCTTTTGCTATTTGTTTCGTAATGGTGCTCGAGTATAAACTTGTCCATCAGCTCTTGCCCAAAGACCCAAAGCAGTATTGTTTTGAAGGAAATCTGAGAAATTTCGAGAAGTACAACTAAGAGCTTTATTTCTGACCAACATTCGAGATCACTATGACCACTGCAGTTAATTGAGAGATGATGTGGAAAACCTTCATTTCAATTGCACATTTCAGGGCATACACTCCTGTATTATGACAGTGAGTTGCATGGTTTGTGTCCGATCAATAACTGATGGAAAGCTTATATGACCAACACAGATTAAGAAATAAACTACACACATTAACGGCCTGCGAATTCTGCGAACGCATTCACCTTCTGGTACACAAAACGAGAGTGGCGAAGGGCCCACATGTGTAGCACACATGTGTAGCACACACATGTGCCCGGTTGTCCAGGTCCAACCGTGAGTGGTGCTAGGGAACTGAAGGCAGATATGAAGCCGCAGCACACTTGGGGTATTCGGAACCACCACGAGAGGGTTCCTACTCGGCTGCAACGTCAGAGATCCCCAGCGGCGTTTTTTTTTTAAATGCAAAACATCGGCGTGCTGCTACGGTGGTGAAATCCAAACCATCAAACGCATCACCGACGAATGCGCCACCCTTGCGGTGTTTGCTGCTGCGATCCTCCTGGGGATTTGGTTGGAAAAGTTCTATTTCCCCAGTAACCTCTGCTAAATTCAGGAGGGGTGCACGTGTCACAAGCTTAAGAATTTGGCATTTCAGCAATCAATGGATTGATGCATTCTTACACTTCTAGAGCCAGCTCTGTTATAATGGTTGCAATTGCACTTTAAATCAAAGATGCCACGGTCTTTGAGAAGCAAACGTCTCTTTTTAATAAGAGATGCTGTAAACGGTGCAACGTACTTGCCAGTAAAATGAATTTAGAACTAAACACAATCGTGCTGCTAAATTAAACGCATTGTGCAAGCAATGCCAGGGACCTGCAACTTGCCGTCCAAAGCACATGGCATTGCACGTAACCTTGCCTCCATCGGGGTGGGAGTTGAAGGCGGCGCTGACCACGCCGCTGTGGGTCTGGGTTGAGATATTTTCAGCCCCGGCGGGTCGTGTTACTCAGCGGCGTGACAGTCACTGTCCTGCGATTTAAATATACACGAGGCGCAGGCGGATACTCGCGCCAGCTCGTCCGATGCATGGCACGTGTGTGCAAGTTAGTTCAGTGCAAAACAGGGCATCAGGTCCATACGGATTACAGGATCTGCGGTATGCCCCCCCTGCCCCCTTTATCAATGCGGCTCATTGGATTTCTGTTGTATTGTATTGTAATCGTTCCATCAATCAACACCCCTATTGTGTGTCATGCGAGTGCCCAATGAGACTACAAAGTAGAACTGTGTAACTGTAAAAGATAATCTTGATTTGAAGCTTTCGTGACTGCAGGAATCCATACTCTTTGGCTCTTTCGGTAAAGTCACGTAGGTATAAAATAAAATAAATCACGACGTTTCGGGCGCAACACAAGCGTCCGTCATCAGGTATGAAAGCATGATCTGCTGCCGAAGCAGACTGTTTTAAAAAGATAAACCAAAAGCAACACGAAACAACACAGTCGAGTGCTGCAGTATTGGCAGAGAGCATGAGACATAATACTAATCAGGGCATCTATCTCTGGGAAAGGTCATCATCAAATTGAGTCACTCCCTGTAAATCAGGTGCGGAATTGTTTGCGCTTTATGGTAGCAATTCACAGAAATGCAGACAGACCGGATGTTTTCTGCAATGTGTACACAATGCATCATCACCAAAATGTCTGCTCTAATACATTAACCATAATTGGTTTGCTTCTTTTCTTTCACACGCAAATATGAAAATACATTTTACACAATTGAAATGTCTTCCTCGATAACTTGGGTGGATCTTACGACTTTAGAAACCAACGCAACACACATTTTACTTGCAGAGCACGAGTTGCATTATGCAGCAGTTTTGTGGTTCCTGAAAAAAAAACATCTTTCTGGGTGGCTGTCCCATTTCACAACGGTGGCCACGGAGATCTGAGACAGCGCAGGTATTTTGTTTTCCCCATTGCCACACCATTTCCTGGACTCGAAGAAAGGTCATCCATCGAATACAACCTTTGACAAAATAGCTTCTGAGAAGACGTGCACGAGGGGATTAAGCCGACGGGAGATAAAGTCATTAAATAAGGTCATGTGATACAAGCGTCATGAATCACAGCAGTACTAGACGAGAGCAGTCGAACGCGGCTCTTTCAAGGACTGCTTCGCGACGTCATTTGAGGACACATGCATTGCAGCTCTTGAAAGACTGAGTCTTCTACCGAATTAAGGAAATGGCTCTTGTTGTTTTGGTTGCCGACCCCTGGACTAGAGGCATCAGTGTTGACATGGCGTGACCCCGATTAAGTCGTACGCTGGAAATGTATGATCATTCCGATGGTTCCACAAATTATTTCGAGTCTCTGACAACACACGAACCTTAATCTTAGGATGGCTAATTCCATCCTAATAAATTACATCAAAAACCAGCCTCCCCTGGACCCAAACCGCTTCCTCCCACCGGTGACACCTTGGCCATGGCATTGATGCCATCACCACCGGCCAGCACTTGCCATGGCTGCCCAACACCTCCCTGTCATGGCACGGGCGCGTGACAGATTTCACAATCGTGGGGTGACAGCCACCGAGGATTGAGCCCCGCGCGAGCAGTGCCGATCCTGTAGAAGGCCGGCGCTGGCACGAGTGCAAAAGTCACTACAAGCCATCTGTGACCATCAGATCTGTCCCACTGCATCCGGCTGGATCCAGCTGACTAAAGAGAGTCCTTCACGTGATGTGTTGTTCTTTTTTTATACTCTCAGAGACCACATGAAAGGGCCACAGAGCCAGCAGTATTTTTTAGATAACGTATCGGGAGTTTCTGTACAGTTTGAGAGAATAACATGGCTATAGTGTGTATGAGGGGCGGATGTTATGCAGTTGTCAATGATTGGATTGTATACTGTATGGGTAAATCAAGCTCACCAGGATACATAGCCTGTGATTGTCACTATGTGTACAGCAGCACAACTCCCGCTGTATGGTCCTGCAGTTATAGTAAATTACACCGATTTTATGGTCTCGTACAATGTGCGTGATCAGACTGATGAGCAGTCCACAGGAGATCTATTCATTCTTACAGCACCGCCTGTCAGTGGTGCATTCACGGGACGTAGCTCGAGGTCCCTAAAGCGGGGAGGCCAAGCGCGAAGACTGAACGTGCTCCGGTTCCGCCGGGCGACGGCATGGGCCGGATTTGAGAGCTCGCCGTCCGACTACATCTGCAAATTGCGACATTACGCGATGTTTACGAACACGCCGACCTTGTTGAAAATCAAGATTACTGTCCTTGAATTTTTTCTTCCCACGCCCTGACAAAAACCTTGCAATGGAAAAAAAATCATCCTATCTAGAGCTCGTTTACTGGAACACAGAATATAAGTGCACTGCCAACAGGCCCACTTGAGGGAATTCACTCAGAAATTCCACATACTGTACCCTCTAAACATTTGCACACTGATCAGCAGCAGCAGCAGCACGTCCTTTGAGAAGATTTTAAAAGGGAAACAATAAACTTTATTTTTTAACAGCAACCGTGAAACTGTGCAGTGGGCCCCAATTGCACGCAACTCGACGCAACACGTTCAGCTCTTCGCGTCGCTGGTTCCCATTGTGCGGAAGGGAGCTGGTGCAGCCATTCATCACGGCGCTTGGGAAACTTGAGCATGCCTGGATATTGACCAAGTGGCCCTATGGAGAGACGGCGCACTCCTGCAACGCAGTGACAAGACAGCCTTGCATCGGGAGTGCAATAGGAGCTTAATGACGCTTGCAGATGCAGGGGATGCCTCTGCCCCGAGCGCTTGGACTTTGTCTGTTTGGAGAGTCTCCCTGTTGAACTAATAAAAGTACAGCATAATAAATGTGCTGCATGCACGAATAAAAGCATTGATGCAATTTGGGCAACCTTTCACACAGTTATTGCAGATTTTATATGGTACGTTGTGCAAGCGTAATGACAGTAAAGTCAACCTACTGTGTGAGTGGACTAGTTGCCACGGGAGGTAATGACAGGGGAGTCAGCATGCAGTACGAATGGACTAGTGGCCACGGGAGGTAATGACAGGGGAGTCAGCCTGCAATGCGAATGGACTGGTGGTGACAGGAATGATCGAGAATCGGAGCGGCGCCAGGTGACGGAAGAGGACGGTGGAGTCTGCTGGTAGAGCGAGCGGTCTAGAACCAGCGAGAAGGTTCGTGAATGGGAGCGTGGCCTCGGACCGGATAAAAGGGAGATGCGCGGGAGACTCGGGGCTATTGCAGTGGGGTCACCGGCCTGTCTGTGTGTGTGAGCTCGTAGCTCCTTAATAAAGAAACCATCTCAAGACAAGTGCGTCGAAGTCGTCATTACACAAGTGTGCAAAATATAGCTAAGGCTCATCAAAGCACAGCATAATAAATATACTGCATGCATGAATAAAACGTAGATGCAATTTTGGTAACCTTTCACACAGTTATTTCAAAGTCTTTACGAAAGCACGAGCGTGCAAAGATAAAGGCAAGGCTTCGCATCAGACCAGACAAAGCCATATATGCACTCAAGAGTATTAAAGGAAGGGCACGTTTTGAGATGTGAACCTTGGACTGAGAGATCAACGCAAGGCAATGTGTGGTAGACGGCCCTTGCAGGCGTCATCATATTTTGTGTGGATATAACGTGGAAAACGAGAGGCTGGAATATATTTCACTGTCGCAATCTGACAATTGAACACGTCATGTAGCAGAGCACATAATCACCAAGCTCAATCACTGTTAGGGAGGGCATGATAACCTCAAGTTCAAGTTCATTTATTAGGTATAGCCCTGTGAGCCATTCGGCTCTTGAATCGGGTGCAACCGCAACAAACAAAAAACAAAAACATCAACAAAAAACATCTTAAGTGAATATGTGACTAAGTGCAAACAGAAATCCAAGAAAAGACAGAAAAACATTGCAGAAAAAAATCACCGTACACCAACGCTGTGTGCAAAAATCCCAGTGGGATGCAAGTCAAACAACCAACAACAACCACAAGACAACTTAGATTAAGGCCATCAGTCTAACTCTGTACTACAACAAACAAACATGGCTAAACCATCTTCTTGGTTCTTTCGGTAAAGTCACGTAGAATGGAAATAATAAAATAATAAAAATAAAACATTATAAAATAATTCTCACGACGTTTCGGCCACAACGCAAGTAGCCGTCCTCAGGTGGAGAACAGGCCTGTCGAGGAGACTTTTCAAAATCACCCAATGTAATATTTTACACGTAAGGTTTCATAGCTGGTGATACCACAAGTTTCAGATGTAAGTCTTCAGACCTGCACAGGGAGCTTGTAAGCACAAATTAACTTTATTGGTATATTACGCCATCATGAGCCATGTCCAGTCCACTCAGGCATAATTTAAGTGTTTCGCACGGCAAGAGCATTTGTAGGATGTCTGCAATTATCGCACTGCATGTCCACATATGTCCTGATATGATCAGTCTACATCCACAATGTGTGGTTGACTATATGTCTACTAGGCCATTGGGGCTCATGCAACTCATAATGCCCATCGACTGTTAATTAAGATCCAGTGGGCTAACATCACCATCATCATCAACCCATATCCACCAACCACCCCAATGACCAACACCATCACTCACCATCAACAACCTCTACCATTCACCTGCAACCACTTTAATTCGACACACGTTTCAGCATGTATGCTGTAGTTTTTACTTATTTTAATGTGTTTATCCCAATAAACCGGCGTCTCCACATGGCACGTTAATTCTGTATGCCTGTGTTATGTTTCCGCACCGAGACATGTTTGTACCAACAATTAATTAGACCAGAGGTTGTTCTTGCAAAAAGGGACCTTTGTCTCAAACGAGCAATCACCTATAAAGTTAATGATCTTTAAAAAGGCGTTATCGCTTTATAACGTTGATTGTATAACATGACCTCTTTAAAGTTTAAACAGCCCCTAGCACCCATCCCTACGTGGTCTCAAGAAGTGGGGCTGGCTCGTTAAAACCCTCCAAGCCTTTCACTCATCACTTGGCTACTGCTGTGTGTGTACACATGTGCACAGTACATACACGCGTGTACGTGGGTGCACGCATGTGTGTGTGTATACACTTATATGTGTGTGTATACACTTATATGTGTGCGTTTCGCACGAGCGAGTGTACTTACACGTGTATCGATGTACAATGTGAAAACTTGCGTGACTGTGTGTGCTTAAGAGTGAATTTGAAATGTGCGTTTGCGTGACAGCGGTAACCGGGTAAACATGTAACGTTGGGCAAACGTTGGCAAGTGTTGTAACCAGTGGACCAACGTTAACCCAACGTCCGATGTTTACTGGGAAGTGTGCGTACTTGTATCAAAGACGTGCATGTGCGTGTAGAAGAAATGCACTGTGGCGCGTCTGTATGTGCTCGACTTGGAAGTGCGCGCACACCCATCTGTGTACACGTGTACACGAGTACTCCACGTGGCTAGCACAGTACAGAATTGCGTGCACGTGGGCACACGCGCCTCCGTTTCCAGGGTTGCGCCTGTTCGAGTGCACGATTTGCATGCGCCCTGGGTACGCCGAAGCTCTGCAAACTACCGTGTGTACGTTCAATGACACGTCTCGCACACAGGGGAAGTCCGTTTAAATGACGTGCGCACACGCACACACACACACGCACACTCACCAGTTGCCCGAGCCCACGATGCACACCTTCTTGGGAGTTGTCATGTCTAAAGCGAGGTGGAGCGACGGGTAACAGAGAATGGGGGAAGTGCTGCTGCTGCTGTTGCTGCCTTCTGCTGTCACTGACGACCCCACCAACACTCGTTCTGCAAAAGGCACCGCGCACAACACGAGCTTCCACGTGTGCGCGCCTCGTAATGGTCTCAGGGTCTTCATAGGGGGCGCGGCCTATAGCAGAAGGGGGCGTGACCAATATTAGAATAATGGGCGGGGCCTATGACAGGGGGCGCGGCCTATAGCAGAAGGGGGCGTGGCCAATATTAGAATAATGGGCGGGGCCTATGACAGGGGGCGTGGCCTAGAGCAGCAAGGGTGCTATGATAGGGGGCGGGGCTTATAATGGGGGGGAGGAGGTGGGGGCTATAACAAAGGGCGTGGCTTATAATGGGGGGGGAGGTGGTGGGGGCTATAACAAAGGGCGGGGCTTATAATGGGGGGGAGGAGGTGGGGGCTATAACAAAGGGCGGGGCTTATAATGGGGGGAGGAGGTGGGGGCGATAACAAAGGGCGGGGCTTATATAAGAGGGCGTGGCCTAGCAGACGTGGGCGGAGTTTAACTAAGGGGGCGGATTTCGATTTAAAGCTTTCGTGACTGCAGGGATTCATCTTCTTATATTATGTTTTATTTTTATTATTTTATTATTTCCATTCTACGTGACTTTACCGAAAGAACCAAGAAGATAAGGGGGGCGGAGTTGAACCTGAGGGCGATTTGTGGACATCTAAAAAGAAAGTCATGGTCATGTTTGTTTGATGTACACGTGACGAATGAATGGATATCGTTGCAACATTTTTTGACCACAGTTGTATGCATGTTGAACTTCTGCCGTAACCGAAGCCACTGACGTTTTCGGGCGTAGCAACATCCACAGGCCACGGATCTACGAAGAAAGGGGCCAGTGCCCGGAACGTCGCCTACTAACGGTGCTATTCATATAGATATGTGTTCTTCCGTTTCTAAGGGCAAGTTGTTTGACGATACACGCGTTACGTAATGCTGGAGGTCTCACCGAGTGCGTCTTGGCAGATGATTGGTTGGTTTAGCGTGGGCGGAGCTTGCAGCGTGAGGGGGCGGAGCTTGCAGCGTGAGGGGGGCGGGGCTTGCAGCGTGAGGGGGGCGGGGCTTGCAGCGTGAGGGGGCGGAGCTTGCAGCGTGAGGGGGGCGGGGCTTGCAGCGTGAGGGGGCGGAGCTTGCAGCGTGAGGGGGGCGGGGCTTGCAGCGTGAGGGGGCGGGGCTTGCAGCGTGAGGGGGGCGGAGCTTGCAGCGTGAGGGGGCGGGCTTGCAGCGTGAGGGGGGCGGGGCTTGCAGCGTGAGGGGGGCGGGGCTTGCAGCGTGAGGGGGCGGGGCTTGCAGCGTGAGGGGGGCGGAGCTTGCAGCGTGAGGGGGGCGGAGCTTGCAGCGTGAGGGGGGCGGGGCTTGCAGCGTGAGGGGGCGGGGCTCCATCGCCGCGTCACGCGGGTCGGAGGTCACCGGCCACCACCACCACCAACCCACCGGGCGTGATTTGTGGTTTATTTTTGATGTCGCCTTTGGACCGCGTCGTCGTTACGAAGAATCGATTCGTCCATCAACGCAAATCCCTTCGTCAATCACGGGCGATGATTTCCGCGCGCGGTGCGCCACCGAGCGCGGGCGAGCGACGCCGCGGCTGTTGATCGAGCGGGAGGCGACGGGGCCGCGATGTCAGCGGGCGGCGGCCCAGGGATCCGGGCCGAGGCTGAGATTGGTCCCGAACTTGGACCAGGGGCCGGGCCAGGGGCCGGTTCGAGATCAGAATCTGTACCTGGATCTCGACCAGGGTCTGGCTTAGGCTTAGAACTTGGATCAGTGGCAGCTCCTGGGTCTGAAGCTGGCTTTGGGTCGGTCCCTGCGTCTGAGTCCGGCTTTGGGTCTGGTTCTTTATATTGGATTGAGTCTGAGCCTGCGTCGGTATTTGGACCGCGGGATGGGTCCGTGCCATTGTTTGAGTCTGACCCGAGACCGGATTCTGTCTTAGGGTCTGGCTCCGAAACAAGTTTAGCCGGATCTGGGTCTCGGTCAGGATCAGCAACAGAGTCTGGGCCAGTATCTGAGCCAGAGTCAGGCATGGAACCCGCACAAGGGCTGCGTGCAGACGTGATGGGGACGCCCATGGAGCAAGAGGAGGACATGGTGACAGACGCCGTGGTGTTCTGTGCGCCCTGTAAGCCACCACCAGCACACAACTCGGAGCACCAGCGACAGAGGTAAAGGGCAGCTGCCGTCTTTTTAATATTAACACTTTTCTCAAGTGATGGGAATAATGCCCCCCCACCCCCATGTGTAAAGCTATTTGAATGCGAAGTTACGCAACAGCAGCTCCTGAGAGATGTGCTGCTGCTACTGGCAGTGGTTACTGAGAGCACACTGCGCTTTGAACCCGGCAACTTGAACTTGACTGCTGGTCATGGTTTATATAAGTGGCGAATGGTCCCTTTAACTAACCCGCACTTACCAACGCAGTTCAGTGATCAAAATAACCCCCCATGACTTATGCAGTGTGGGGATTGCCAATTAGCTGTTAATGGTTATTCTTGCTCTGTGAGCTATGAGAGTGAGTAATGCTAAAGATCAGGCATTAATCGATCTGTAATTCATTGCCCTGTTTTCTTGTAGCAGTGAGTGGGAGAATCTGACTGGCTACCTACAGAAGTACACCAACCTGGTGACTGGTTGGCAGTTCAGGTGAGTGGTTCTGACGGAGCAGACATTGATTTCAGTAAGACAGAATTGCAATGGCAACGGTGTGGGCATTAAAATAAGGAAATGTACTTTTTTTCCACGAAACCGATCGTTAAGCGAGTATAGGAAATACATGTGAAAGGCTTGATTTGTTCCGATTGCATCACAAGTTATCTTTTTTCACCCAAAAAACTTACTTTATAATCTTCTTGGTTCTTTCGGTAAAGTCACGTAGAAGGGAAATAATACAAATAAAACATAATAAAATTCTATTTTCACAGGTCTTTCGGGAAGACAGCGTCTTCAGACGTCTTCAGACGCTGTCTTTCCGACAGACCTGTACTTCACCGGAGGACGGCTGCTTGCGTTGTGGCCGAAACTTCGTGAGAATTGTATTTTATTATGTTTTATTTGTATTATTTTATTATTTCCCTTCTACGTGACTTTACCGAAAGAACCAATAAGATGAATCCCTGCAGTCACGAAAGCTTTAAATCGAAATTACTTTAGAATATTTAAACAATAGATTTTAATACATAACGATACTAACAACACTACAAACACATAATATTAAAAGAAACATGGGTAATAAATGCATTAATTAATATTTTTACTGCACCCACAACAGTCCGTCATTAACAGGGGAATGGTCGGTAAGCGAACACATTGGGCTCTATGGAGACCCGTCGTTAAGCGATTAGTCATGAACAGGAGTGATCGTTACGAGGGGTTCTACACTCCACTACTATACACTACACTATACACTACACATTGGGCTCTATGGAGGCCCGTCGTTAAGCGATTAGTCATGAACAGGGGTGATCGTTATGAGGGGTTCTACACTCCACTACTTTACACTACACTATACACTACACATTGGGCTCTATGGAGACCCGTCGTTAAGCGATTAGTCATGAACAGGGGTGATCGTTATGAGGGGTTCTACACTCCACTATTATACACTACACTATACACTACACTATACACTACACATTGGGCTCTATGGAGGCCCGTCGTTAAGCGATTAGTCGTTAACAGGGGTTTTACTGTACAAGAATACCAAGTTCACTGTCCCAGGTTGGGCTGCCAAATGAGATTTGTTTCTTCTCAAGCTTGCACAACACGCACTGCTGTGCGTATTTATATTCAACTCCTGACTGGACACAGTAGTGCATGACGAAAGCTTAAGAGAAAAAGTACTTAACATGCAGCCCACATCCGTTAAACCGCACTTGGAATACAAGCGTCTGCAAACAAACACACGTGTTAAATTAGATGAGAAATATTATTTACTTATATGTACTTTAACGAGCAGTTTGTATTTGAGGACCCTCTTGAAAACAATCTGGAAACTCAGTGAGGATTTGCAGGACAGTAGTCTCAATCATGCCACGATTAAGAGTAAATGTGTGTCTAGACTGGACATGCAATTGAATTAACAATTAAATAAATGCATGATACATGCATTGCATTGTGTTTATTCATATATTATTTGGAGGATATTGTAATTATATGCTATTATATGATATGCCACGAGAATGAGCCAGAACAAGACAGAACATTTGATGTAGGCAATATAAATGAAATAGTACAAACTAAAAAAATCATGTTCTGAATTAAATCGTGCCAAGTGCTTGAATCGCTGTTCGGGGTGAATTGCTATATGCCGAGTATGGATGCCACTGCGCTGCAGATATTTCGTGCTGGTTGGAGCTGAGGGGCGTCTGGAGTACCACGTGCATGAGCATAGTGCACAGGGAGGCCAGAAACCACGGGGCACCATTGCTCTGGCGGGCGCTGTGACCTCTCCCAGCGAGGAGGAACCCTATGCCTTCACGATCATCACCTTGACTGGGGAGCAGTACCGCCTGAGGGGTACAGAGGCCACATGCACACTAACTACCACGCACACCTCTGATTCCCCTCACCTCAGATTAGCATGTTTGGCTACGTACGGTGTTAAAAAAATTCTACATAAATCCAAATGGCAGGTACAGCAATGGCTACTCCGGTTGAGTGTGGTTTGATACCCGCTGCTTCCTATTTTTAAATGTGTATGGTGGAATTTGTGATACTATTTCAGATCCTCTGCATCATATAAGGAGAATAGCACACATGTACACTTCGATAAGCACTCCATGAAGTAGATTTCATTATTTATAATTTAGTGAATATCAAAGCCTAAAAAATGTATTGTTTTGGCAGCATCGAGGACTTGTACAATGCAGGGCATATTGTACATTACTATTTATATAACTGCACTAAGGTTGAATTCTGGTCTTAAAGGTAAATACCTAGATAGAATAAATATCATATTTTATTTAACCACCTTTTATAGGTTACACCAAGGACAAAAAATATGTTGCTTTAGTAAGTGCGATTCTCAAAGCTTGCTTTGAATTCCCTGTGGTAACAACTCCATCAAAAAATAGATTCTTCATTATCAACACCAAACAAGTGACAGCTTTACGTCTCATACTCAGGACTGCTATTGACCTTCACATTTTAACCGAATCTGTTTCATGTTCTACAATAGACAGATTTTGGGTACATTAGACAATGGGGGGTAGCTTATTTTAGACTATTTTGCTGCTGTAAATTTCCACTTGGATGAGCCACTTCGTTGGGCTTATATGTGTGCCAGGTCGCTTCTGAAAAAGAGCTATACAGCTCAGTTGGCTTTGCCTGGTACATTTTTGTACGTGTATATTCCTCGATTAATTATGTCTGTTAAACACAATATGCCCTGAGGTGTATGTACCTGTTAAATGTTGATTAACTATTCCCATAGGGCTCCTATTCTGTTCATTTCCAGAGTAGACCTTCATGAAATATAGGAAGCATTAATTAATTATCTATGTAACAGCAGGAACACCAGTAATAAGGCAATTTTCATAGCAATGTTTTGTCTGCATGGACCAATCATAGCTCACACACTGCTGAATGTGTTTTGAAGCTTTGAGGCAACATTGTTGAAAATACAGTTTATCTTGTACCCTTTGAGCCAATGGATATTTGACATTCATATTTGCTGAAGCAGCCAAGCTCTTCTTTTTTTTTGCAATGCCAACATCAAGTTGAGGGCAGAACATTCTCATTGTCCTACAGGTCTTCCTCTATGACAACATGAAAACATACTTTAAACAACTTCCAATTAAGAAGTTGTATTTACTCTTGGCTGTTTGATATACAGCAGTGGTATCATGGGTCCTACGTGCATTACACTCGAGCATTAGAAGACTGGATGACACAGAGAGATGCATTGGGTTCAGCAGCCGAGTCTTTGGTTCATTAACTTAATCAACATGTGCGCACGGTTCAGCTGCCATAGGCCGCCATAGAGCATGCTTCTTTAAATTGATGAGCTCGAAGCAAGTGCTGCAGCGTGACGTGACTTGACATACTGCGTTGTGCCTGCAACAGCCAAGGACGCGCGGGAAAGACAGCACTGGGTGAGCCGCCTACAGGGGTGTGTGCAGCACCACACTGATTGCATCGGCATGGTGAGCTCCAGATGTCTGTACCTCTCCACACTGTGCAGAAATTCACCTTGTCGTTTACTCATTGTGCCCGATGCAGTCTAGCAAGCAACTTTACGATGGAAATATTTGCAAGAATTGTGGGTTTCCCATGCTTAGCTCTAGGTTAACTGTCACAAGCTCAGCCCCAATATGATGTATCACAAAAATAATGTGTTGAGAATTTGTATTCACGTATAATATTGCACAATATTCTAATTGCATGCCACTGTGTTGCACAGGTCAAAGAATATTGTTAATCGTTTGCAGTAATTCAATTCACCACTTGCCATTTTCTTTAATGCCTCCCACATGTATCGGTATTCAAGGTGACATCATTTGCATAAGGGTGATGTAGATGATCATGTTTTATGCTGTTGTGTTGATATCTGTTGGTGTGTGTTTCAGATGAATCCTGTGTTGGGTCATGAACTCTACCTCTCGGGGGTCAAGAGGTCAGCACTATCTCCTGGGGCCTTACTGCGAAGGCCATATGGGACAAGGGAGGATGCTATTGAAGATAAAAGACACTCGTATCCAGGCAGCAAGACTTTACTACATGGAAACAACTGGCTGTCCGATGCGCAGTGGGTGAGTCATGCAAAATACTCTTATATAAGTGCACAACTTTATCTCTGATGAACGCTGCACTTTCCATCGTTTTCATGCAGGGGGCGCTGCAAACCTCCGCGCCCCCTGCATGAACGACGGAGGCACAGGGACAGACGTTCCATTACATTGGAATCGATCTGCAGATGGCGGTCTTCTCGCACGGCCAGCAGCTCTATGTCGTTTTATCTCGATCTCACAATCCCAAACAGGTGAAAGTCTGCATCGAACCGAATCCCCAGCAAGGCCATCTACTTAACGACGAGAGAAAATTCACACGAAATGTCCTTTTCATTGAAGTCTTCCAGATGTAAAATGATATAAGCTTTTAGTGAAGAAATAAAATGATATAATTCAAAACATAATACAATAAAAAATGGAGCATCGGGTGCTTGCGTGAATGCGTTGTTCGTGTGCAATTTTTTCGTGACCTTCCTGACCGAAGGCCGTAAATGGTTGTGAGGGGCGCCACAGACGCCCCCGAACAACCATTTATGAGAATACTTTGATGAAAAAAAAGTGTCAATACATTGTGACCGTTTGAAAATTTGGTCCCATGTTCAATTTATTAGATATGATTTGCATACAAACGGATCTACAATGCAGTGGCCTTTTACTGAAGGCTTATTGAGACTGAAAGTGTGGCAATCTCTACTCGCAGTTACTGAAGGATGGCTTTTGGGTTGGCTGTCACTCAACTGAATGTTTATATTCCCCTACATTTACTATTAATTTTGCAAATCTTTCCTGTGCTGTATACTTTTTGTCCTCTTCATTTGTACGTATTTGTTTGTGTGTTTGCATGGCAACAGTGGATTTAACATTTATTCTGCTTGCAAGGGTGTGAAGTTCACTTATTTTTAACCTAGTACTCTGTGCTAGCTCATTGTCTAACTTTGCTTGCTTACAATAACTCATGAGCCAGCTCCACAAACCAATTCAGCCTGCTAGTTCTACCTGCTCGTTCCTCGTACTCACACTTTTGTGCTAGCTGTGCTTGCCAGCTCTGCGCATCCCCATAGCACTAGCACTGCTTGTAGATCAGCATGCCGCCCCCCCCCCGCGTTCCAGCTTTGCGTGTGTCTGTGCCAGATGCTGGTGCGCGCCTATGAGGAGCAGCGTGCCCTGGCATTGACCATGGAAGCTCTGCCACGCTCACACGCTCGCATCACACCGCTGGATCCTGACCTCCTTCTGCTCAAAGCATCGGCCGTCTCAGCCCTTGGCTGCCTGCACGCCTGTCTGCACCTGCTGCAAATGCAGCGTAGTGCGGCGCGCACCCACCGAGGGCGGGCCAGGGTCGGTGGGGGCGGCAGAGGCAGTGACGGTGGCGGGAGTTCTCCAGGTCAGCAGCACAGTGTGGCCATGGCAGACCCTGCGGGTGAGCATCCGCCACCTCGCCTGGCCGCTTACGCATGGGACAACTCGCTGTGTTGGCCACACACCATGTCCACCGATCAACAACTCGGCATGTTTGGAGCGTGCTGTTCTTCGACACAGCAGGTTTCTTTTCCAAGGGTGATCTGGAAAATATAGAACGAACATTACATGCATTATGTGAACAAGTGATTTGGGTTAAGTATGGGATGGGAGAAGATTTCAAATGATAAAGTAAGACAATCAAACATTGTAATGAAAATAAAGTAGTTTTGTAAATATTCAAAAGTCTATGGAGTGCTGATTAACATTTGTACAATGCAGAGTAAAATTACTTGTATCATAAAAAGTAAAGAATGTACATTTTGCGGAGAAGAATCAATTAAAAATGTTATTATTTGTATTTCAATTTAAATAAATAAAAACTTAAATTCACTTCCATGGTTTTCCTGTATTGTCTGCAATCGATGATTTATCGGATAAAATTAAACATGCATTCTACTTTGCCTTTTTACAAGGTACTGGACAAAATAAGGCATTATATTCTTACATTTCCCTGAATCTACATTATAATGACTGCTTTGGTGAAACACTTTGTGAAGGTACAGTTCACACATGCAAATGGTACACATGAACGTAAGGCTTTAAAAACTGAAAAACACAAGAGATTGAAAGTACATATGAACCTTATGACGGTACCCCGGCTCTCGCATAATGTCCAGTGATGCAGTCATTTTTAGTCCGTTGATGGTCGGCGATGCGGCAATCGACTCATCTCGACGAGCTGTACACTACGATGCACCACTACGGTGCATACCGCGAGCGTTCAGGGTTTCAGCGCAATCGTCCTCTCTGCGTTTCGACATCATGGAGTGGCACTGATTTCGGATTGATTGGTACCCCAGTCGCGGAGTTAAGTACACCCCTGGAAAAAATAGTGTCCCGAAATAAAGTATTTAATTGCCTCGGCCAATTTGTATTATTTGGTACCCCGGGGTACTGCCATAAGGATCATATGCGGGGAGACATTCTGACGTTTTAATATTGATTATGCTGTTTGTGTGTTACAGTTATACGTGGTGAGTCCAGTTAAGGTATTCATAGAAGTCCACTGCTTATGTGCCTGTTGACCTGTTTACCAACTATGGTATCTAATTATAATTTTCCACATTAAGTGAGTATTACTTTGTTCAGAATTAGTATCATTGGGGTTTTCAAAACAAAAATAACTAATTGAAGGCCGACAATGAATTCCTGGATTGAACTTGTACATTACTGCTTCCTTGAATACAGATGCACTTATGTCTCTTGGTGGTAGCGATGATTGTTGACCCCTCGGTAACATTGATTCTTCTAGATGTGGTGGTCGGGTATGGCTCATTATATAGAGTCGCACCATGGTAGGGGGATTCGAGATGAAGAAAAATAAGGTGATATTTACCCTGTTCTTTTGCTTTCGTCCTCTTCATTCTCACCTGCCCAGGGAGAGTCCACTCATTGCAACCTGTCGTGGTAGCTCCTGTGCCACCGTGCGATTCTGTGAACCCCGGGAACATGTGCTCTCATGCCCCAGACGGCACATCGGATACTTTTCATCGTGAGTCGGAGCCAGCTCCACCACCTTCTTCGGTCTCGATCTCAGCACAGCAGGTTGGTTTGTCTCCTTGTCTTCCCTGTCTGCCCACAATAGCTTCGATGCTGCATTGAGATTAAGTGCATTGTTGGTTTACAAGCAGTTCTCGCGGACTTGCGTTGGGTTACTTTCATAGAAAATGTGCCGTAAGTCAAGACGACGTATGTCGAGACTGATTTGCCCACAGAAACTGATATAATAGAGGGTTGCGTTCATGACCAAGGGTCTGTTGCGTCCATGACCAAGGGTTTGGTACGCAACTTTTTACATATGTCTTATCTTAACGGAATTGATCTAGCGCCTTAACCTATGAATGCAATGGTGGAGCTGAGGTGAATGGAATAGATGAGGTAGCAATGGGTAAATCTGTGATGATGTGTGAAAGTCAAATTGATGGCAGTAAATTATGAATGGAATGAATGATTGGAGAATGAGTGATAGCTAGTCATGTAATGGGAATATGAATACAAATAGTATATTTAATCAACTTCCAATCATATATTAATTACAATAATAGTATTTAGAAATGTCTTCACTCAATTATTCGTAATTCCTGGATTATTTGGACTGAATATTTGCAGTTAAATAGGAATTACTGTAAGTAATATTAAGGATGAAGCAACATCATCAGGGTCATCCCTCAAACATTGACCTTTCCTTTTATCAGGCATTTTGAAGGATGAAATAAATGAAAAATGCTTTACAAATTTTCACTGTGAATACACAGAGGTTGAGCACCGGAGCTCGTCGGAGAGGCAGACTCACTGGGCGATGTGCCGTACGTTTGTGCACAGAACCGGCACCCGAGTCAACGTCGTGCCGTCCGACCGCCGTGCGTAATAATGTGCGTGTGGCCATTGGTGATCTGCCGTAAGCGCGGATCGACGTAAGTCGAACCGCACTTAAGTCGAGGACTGCCCGCATAATTATACAACCAGTAACTTATACTATACAACCAACAATGATTGATAATCGTAACAGTTTGCAATGTAGAAGTATTTTTGGATTACTCTTTGCAGATTCGTATGTTAGTTTCACAGACAGGGACGCTACTTCAACTTTTCAGCGGGGTACATTTTTCAGTTTATTGGACTGTCACAGGATTTAATGGACTCTTTTCAGGGAGTGGGGTGGAACGGACCACATTGGGGTGGCGAACAAGAGAACTGCGACGAGGATGAGCTGACCGACGAGGGCGAACTTGATGAGCTGGATCTGCCTCCGCCCCAAGGGGAGGAGCACTGCAGCATCATTTTGCACATGCTGTCTCAGCTCAAGCTCGGCATGGACCTTACTAAGGTGTGCGCAGCATTACCCACGACAGAGATACCGCGCCACACAGAACAATAACGCACCACACCCAACGATACTTCGCGCTATTCACAATAACTGCACCAATCCACAAGGCAATGCACGATACCACGCAGCATTGGCTGTCATATGCATTCACCCACGTGGACAGGTGGTGTTGCCCACCTTCATCCTGGAGTGTCGCTCGCTGCTGGAGATGTTTTCCGACTTCATGGCGCACACGGATGCATTCCTGGCTGTGGCGTGGGGCCAAACTGCCGAGGAGCGCATGTATCTACTCCTGCAGTACTACCTGTCCTCCTTCCGTGAGGGCCGCAAGGGCGCCGTTGCCAAGAAACCCTACAACCCCATCATCGGCGAAGTTTTCCGCTGCTCTTGGCTCGTGCCGCGTACTTTGGTGATGGAGAAAAGCTGTAAGGAAGTCAGTCCTGGGTCTATGAAGAACTCACCTGGGTGTGGAACGGAGTCTGACTTTAGTTCAGGGGAGAAGCCCGAGCCGAGGTCAAGTGTGGCATACCGCAGGAGGCGGGCGGGAGGAGAGGATGCCGGTGAAGACGGGTGTTACCGTGTTTGGTTCGTGGCAGAGCAGGTGTCTCACCACCCACCTGTATCGGCCTTTTATGTGGAGTGCGCGGAGCTGGGAATGTGCCTCAACGTACACCTGTGGACCAAGAGCAAGTTCCTAGGCATGTCTGTGGGCGTCTCCATGGTCGGGGAAGGTAAGCCAGAGTGTAGCAACGTCATTTACATGAATTGTATAATTTGGCGAGTACAGTATTGCCATTGCCCATTTATCCCAGAGATATTCCACAGATGGTTATAGTCCAATAAGTGATATCATAGCCAACATTACAACTTAGTTGAAAATTATTCGTAATTACATTACAATAATGCTCCAATAAACACTCACGTTTCTCTTTCAACAAATATATACATTAATATCCTCATAGAAATTACATTAAATCTCGGAACATCATTTAGAAGACGCACAAGGATTTGTACAATAAATCTAATCGAGCCGCCTGTGTATGACAACCAGAGACTGTTTTCATTGCAAACTCCGCATACCTGGTTGATTCTACAGGCATGCCTTCATGCCTTCCTTTGTTTATCACCGACTAATAGCAGCGTGATCTTCACAGGGAGGTTGTGGCTGCAGGAGCATGGCGAGGAGTACGTATTCACGCTGCCGAGCGGATACGCTCGCTCCATTCTCACCGTACCCTGGGTGGAGCTGGGAGGAAAAGTGTCCATTACCTGTGCCCGCACTTGCCTCGCTGCTTCCGTAACTTTCCACACCAAGCCCTTCTATGGCGGCAAACTGCACAGGTGAAAAGGGCGGTAAGATAGCAGCGGTATAATGGGTCCCACATGCATTACACTTAAGCATTGGAAGACTGGATGACACAGAAAAGATGAACAGGAAACCCTCGTTAATTCGACACATTTGGGGCTCTGGCCTTGCCGAATTATCCAATATTCCGAATTATGTACTATGGTACTCCCTAGTGCCTCCTGCCCCAATAAAGAAAAATCTAATTTGTTTTCCAAACTCTTCACACACCATACGCATTGACACACCTTCATCAGTTCTATCCAAAACTTTGGATTTGTCTCATAGACTAAAGGATTTATACGTCAGTCCCTTTCCATTACTTCTTGATGTAGGTGCAGACGACATTTCTGAGAGGGTTGGCTTGCACAGAGTGCATCAACAAGGTAAAGTCCAAAGCAACAGGTCTGCAGTAACGCTCACCACGCACGCCGCCACTCGACCGAGTCGTTGTTTTGGTCGTGGCGCGTGGAGTCCACACGTATGCGGAAATTGGACCATTCGGTACGGCAGTTCGGCTCATGGAGAATTACTAATATGCTGTATATATGCCGAAAGTGCACCCGTGCCGAATTATCCCCAATTACAAATAATATACCGAAATAATGAGGTTTTACTGTATTTGGATCAGCATCTGAGTCTTTGGTAAATTAATTTATGCAGTATGTGCACAAGTTATGAGTTGGTCTAGGGGGACACACCCCATAGAGGTCATTAGAATGTATTGGTTCATAAGTATGCATAGGTAACAGGTGGAAATGACATGTGCAGATAACGGACCGCAGTAATCAATGACTGAAGTTGTGTTCACCTTTCCTTTAATACAGGAGTAATGTTTTACATAATTGTACTTAGAGCAATGCTAAAGATTTGAACTGAAGGCCATTCATAATGTGTACAGTAATGGTTGACAGACAAATATAATAGTTGACACTGATTTGATACTGGTCATTTGAGTTTGATTTCTGGCCAGGCATATCTGAACTTGGTTATGGACAACTCCAAGATAAATTCAGCCTAAAATTAGTAGTGCATTGCGCATAAGCACTTGGTAGATGAAAACAGGCCGTCGTGATGCCAGCCATATCACACCTCTGCCAGCCTTGATAGGTGTTAAATAAAAACAATCCCCAATATCTACAATGTAGGATGCTGCCATAGTGTAATTGGTAGCACACTGGATTTAAGAAATCCCCCATATCTGTCCACAGAGAAGTATAAATAGGTCCACCCCAGTTGATTAGCAGGCCGCAAATGGTGGGAAAAAGTGTGGGTACCTTTTCCAAGATGCCTAATCAGCACGGAAGAGTAGGGCAAATGCTCCAGAAGTGACATGAGCTATTTACCGGGCACATTTACCATTTTAAATGGCACACCTGACATTTTGGCACGCCTGACATTTTTTTTCCACGCGTGTGTCTCTAAGGGTGACTGGCGAGGTGCGACACGTTGAGAAGGGGGCTGTACTCGCACGTGCTCAAGGCGAGTGGAACGGCCTGCTGGAGTTCACCGCCACCTCTGGGGAGACGGTCATCATGGACACGACCACAATGCTCATTATCCCCAAACATGTGCAGCCCATCGAACGCCAGGAGCTCATGCACTCCCGGTAATCTGTCCTGCTTTCTGAACCTTGGTTGTTGACCAATCATCGTGCCCCTATCCTTTTTGTATCGCTGCCAGCCAGTCCCCTTTTCTCAACCCTGTTATTCAATCACTCTGTTGTGCGCTGTGCACACATGCCATTCGGACATGTGTTGACAATTCTTGGAGGGATGCATTTGTGGCCGATGATGGAAACATTGACTTGGTCTGTCTTTTGTGGTTGTGCCAGTTGGGGCTTATGGAATCGAGAGAGTTTTTATTTTTCAAGGTCATTCTCCGGTGTAGCGTGATATTCTGCCATCTTCAGGACATTAATGGAATTGACTCTCGTCCCCCTCCTGCTTATAGTCGTAAAAGTGGAATAGAATTGGTATTTTTTAAGTGTATTAAATCAAATTATTGTGAACATAGCTGAATCAACGTACATAATATTCAATTGAAGTTGTTATCAATATTGTTTTTGGAAGTGATACTATCTAATCATAGTTGCTCAGTGACAAGATAAAAGACTTATCTTTTTCGGTTTTCCTTGCTGATGATGGTCACATCCATCCATTCCCCTCAGTGATTTTTTATTTTACCAGGTAAGGCCCACTGAGCTATATAGCTCTTTTTCAGAAGCGACCTGGCCACAAATGATAGCCCAACGAAGTGGCTTATCACGTGGAAATTTATAGCAGCCAAATATGCTGAACGCACGTTTATTGTGGAAGGAAAAACCAGAGAAAAATCCACGTGACCATGGGGAAAACATGCAAACTCCATATATATAAGTGTCAGGGTCGGGGTCGGGATCGAACCCACGACCTCCTGTATTCCAGGCGAGGTAGTCAGCATCTCCTAGCCACCGTGACGCCCACGTCTTGCCACCGATCACACCTGAGCCAGCCTCTCGTCTTGCTCCAGGCGGCTGTGGCAGCAGGTGACGTCAGCTCTGCGTGCCGGTGACATCGCGTCCGCAACGGAGCATAAGCACAAGCTGGAGGAGTGGCAGCGTGCTGAGGAGAGGGCACGTGTGCAGGCTGGCACAGAGCACGTGCCTAAGTATTTCCTCCGTGAAGTGAGTGGGCCCCAGAAACCATTGATGAGGACTTTATGAGCATGTGTATGGGTGTGTGGGAAGCGGTAGTGCAGTGGTTAGCGCACTTTGCTACGAACCAGGCGACTCAAGTTCAATTTTCTGCTCATGGCCAACATCAGGTATGGATATCTGACTTGGTTCTGGGCCTCTCCTAGGTCGACTGAGCCAAAAATGAGAACTTTATGCATTGTGTAAACATCACCATGGGGAGACGAAGGTGGATGGGTATGGTGCTGGCCACCCACTCCCTCGTGTGCCATGTTGGCCTTCAAAAGTACTCGCTAACAGCACTTGCCCCAACAGTCTGTTAAAGGCTATAAAGGGGGTCTTTGTGTTTGTGTGCTGGTGGAATGGTAGCACATTCCGTACACTACTATCTTACCAATTGTGGTTCAATTCTTGACCCTACACATCATTGGTACATATGAAATACTCTTGTTCCTTGCCTAGCATGATTCGGCCTTAAATGGTGACCTGCCGCAATGTATCGTCATTGGCATGTCAAAATCGGGATCAGAATATTTATTTATACTGGAGGAATCCGATGAGCTATGAAGCTCTTTTTCCACAGATGTTCAGTATATGTGAGACGGATTAATCGGTGTGATGTTAGCAACACCATCTTCACTTGAGCTGTAGCCTGGCTTAGTTTGTGCTTGATAACAATACAGTCTATAACTTACTGTCAGACTACACAGGAAATATTTGTAAATGTGTGCCCTTCAAAGAGATTCAGTTGATGGGATGTGCTGGTGTGAAAATCTAAGACAATACATCTCAGAGGCGTTTTCATTATCCATTCTTATAATGGAACATGCATACAGCAGCAACCTGTCATAAACTATGTATGAAACTGTAGCTGTATATTACGTCCAGGTAATACGATGGGATAGGTTAAAGCAGTTTAACATGCTGATGAGACGGTGCTCGTAATTTAAATGGCAGAATTTGTTTCAATAAAATATATCTGGGGCGTTTCAGTGTGAATGGGGAAGACTTATGTGGTGGGGAAGGTGTACATGCTGGTGGTGTAAGGCAGTCTTTGTACATCATATGACTCGACTTGTGCAGTAATGTGCATGTGTTTTCTTTGTACATGTATTTATTTGTGTGTGTGGGTGTGTGTATGTACACCACAGGGAGAAGGTTGGGTGTACCGTCATCCTTTGTGGAGGAATTCCTGAGTGACCTCGCAGCAAGGAATCCCCTTCCCCGTACCGATTGCACGTCTTAGGAGGTGCTCTCAGACTTGTATCCGGCTTAAGGAGTTGGACTTAAATCTCCCAATGGCAGAGCTGAAGCCCTCTCTCAAACCACCTTGATCCATACGTCCATTTGCTCGCGCTACAGCACTGTGTTTGTTTACTTGAAAGACATTGTATTTATTTATATTTATTTGAGTTGCCACATTTGAAATTGACTGCTGTGAGAGCGTACACTCTCTGGTGAGACGTTTTTCGAAAATGATGGATGTTATCAAAATGTAACTGCGAAGTTAAGCTATCAAGGAGGTATTATTTTCAAAGATACTTTACAAAAGTGTTAAAAGAAATGTAAAAATTAAGTTTAACACGTAGACTTTCGCGACCAGTATTATTAATAATAAAGGTTTTTGGGTTAGATCGCGTTATTATAAATGTGTCGCAACCCTCCACCACCCGACACGGCCAATCAGTAAAAAATGTGTCACGTTAACAAAACGCCAATTAGTTACTTCTTCAGCCCACCGGTGTGTTTGAAGAGTGAATCCACAACATTTAGAATTTGAGCACCATGACGTTTTGCTGGTAATCACATCCAGCATCTTCGGGCGATTTGCCAGAAGAGTGAAGCCATCCACCTGCTTCCAGTCTTAAATAGTGCAGCAGGATGACGTCATCGTTGTTGAACCCCATCAGGTTTCGAGATCAGAGGTGGATGTGGGGGGATATTGTAATTATTTAATAGATTAGTAATCAGTTAATTAGTTTGTGATTCCTCTATAAGGAATTGTAATATGTTTTGTGTATTACTTAATAATACGCTTCCAGGCTGAGCAAAGTCTTTAGCTATTGGAGAGGTTACAATTATTTGTATTTTTCGCAATTTCGATGGATTCTCTAATTAGTCTTGGCCAGTTATAATTAGTAAATGCTATATTGGACAGACGGGACGTAATATTAGCGTAAGACTAAAATAACACCAAAGGAACATTAAATTATCTAAAACACAGCTGTCAGCAGTGGCAGAACATGTGTGCTAACAAGGACACTCAATTGATTTTTATACCGTTTAAGTGTTATGCAAAACTAATTATTACTGGTCAAGACTAATTAGATGAATGAGAATATTTTATCGAAATTGAGAAGAATACCGGAAGCAGGTGGATGGCTTCACTCTTCTGGCAAATCGCCCGAAGATGCTGGATGTGATTACCAGCGACACGTCACGGTGCTTAAATTCTAAATGTTGTGGATTCACTCCTCAAACACACCGGTGGGCTGAAGAAGTAACTAATTGGCGTTTTGTTAATGTGAAACATTGTTTACTGATTGGCCGTGTCGGGTGGTGGAGGGTTGCAACACATTTATAATAACGCGATGTAATCCCAAAGACCTTTACAGTACTAGGAAAAATTAAGTTGCAAAAACAATCTCTCATAAATATTTCCGTATTGTGTTGTTTGTCGGCATTTAAAATATCAAAAAATAAGTAGACACTATTTTGTGTACACACACTATCTTGAGCCATCGAAGAAAAACATTCAATTGAATAAAATCCAGAGATGAGATTAATGCCTAACCCGCACCTCCGATTAGCACGGTTGGCTACGTATCTTGCGAAAGAAGTTCAAAATACGTAGATACGTAATGCCATTTTAGATATGTTGCGACTTCACTCGGGTTAGGCAAATTAAAAACCGCGTCGACACATTTTCAAATTTGAACTGAACCATCGGTCATGAATGCACCGTGCAGCCGCACAATCGGAAAATTGCCGACATACGAAAAGGCGACACTCGCTTACCTTCTTAAGCAGTCTCATCCCTAAAAAAGAACCCATCAAGATGAATGAGAATATGCAACTGCATGTTTGGCCATGCCAGAGAGAGTGGGAATTTCACGTCTTTCATCTTCGTGGCGAACGGACAACATTAAGTGTTAAAAAAAAAATGTTTACGCCTTTACGTATAAACTTAGTTTTTTGTGTGTGTGTGTGACAACAGTCGCCTGCTTTTCGTGCTCACAAACGTGTTTCAGTATTACACAGTGCCATGTCCACTCGCACATGGTAGGTACCATGGGGTTAAGGGTCCTGTTGACAATATGCAATCATATACTCGTGTCAGGGTGTTTGATTGCAATATTTTATATTCTATATTCTGGCAAGGCGCCTTGATACATTAGTGGAAGGCGCCATACAAATACATGTAAATTATTATTATCTCACGAATGAAGTTAATGCTCTGCGATTACTGATCTAAGCAATTATGCTAGAATATGCCAACGTGTCAAAGGTGCTGTAAAATCAATAAAATGTATGCTTTCACATGTACTTTGAACCTCTTCACACAATAAAACAACGTCTTATCATCACAGTCAATGACTACCATTCGGCTCAATGTTAACTTACCATTTTCATTCGCGGGTTCGGGTTGATAGTGAAAATAATTACATTCCGCACCAGGAAATTACTGTTGACATCTGCGGAATCGGTTATCATAAACTTTCAGGGTAACATTGGCCGTGTGAAATGGTGTACGAGGGCTGTATGTACAAAGGCATAATTTCGAAGAGACCAGTCGCCAGACGCCTCGTGCCTATGGATATTCCAAATGCACCACCGGCAGCAGCACTCACGTAATTAATACGTCCTCGAAGATAATGACAAATAATTAGAGCCAAAAATAAGCTGCTGTCAGTTTAAGCGACTTCCACGGCGATTTGCAACTCAAAAGGCATTCGCGCGTTTTTGTGATAGTCATGCGATGGTTAATCAGTGACCGGTCACAAAGTTCATGCTTGCCGCTCGGCACACATGGATGGAGACACCTGCAATCTGCTGGCGAGCTGGGTGCTCGTTTAGAGGCCGTCTTCCAGCTTTGGGTGATGGTGGTGGCCTGCCGAACCGCCGTGAGGGGAGGAGGAGAGCTCAGGGAGCAGCTGGGGCCCAGGGACCATTCGGAGGGAGCCAGAAGCAGTGGAGGGGTTAAAGATGCTGGAACAACATTTTGTTGAAGGGGCACTTACCGTTGTCCTGGAGGAGGCTAGACACGAAGTCACCAGTAGAAAGGAAAAGGTGCGTAGGTTTTGTGGACGCGATGGTGTTTTTCGAGCCGTTAAACCTGCGACTGGCGAGATAATTCAAATTGGCACGTGGTTGTGGTTTCAAAAAGAATGCAAGGCGTCAAACTGAAAGATGGCTAAAGTCCCCTGAAACGCACAAAACCTGCCTGCCCCATTCGGTCTCCTGTCAATAGATTCAAACATTTGTACTGAACTATAAAGCACATCATGCAATTTCTTAACTTATTGTCTAGGTAAAGTATATATTTTTTATATTTGGCCAACATCTTTTCGTGAATGTTGTGTGTGAGAAAACCAGAAAGCCTTGAGAAACCACATACATACGCACAAGGGGATAATACTGCAAACTTCACACTGACGTTATCAGGCACCTACTGTCTACACTGCTCTTCTGGGACAGCAATCAGGCAGGTACCAATAAAGAGGGAGATTCCATTTCATATCGGAGCACACGAACATTCATACCCTCAGTGTAACACTCCATCAGTGAAATCCTGCAAGAGCTGACGTGGGAGGTCAAGTGTCGACTGTACTCCTGCTTTTGGATCTGGCAGATTCGAGGAAATGATGGCGAGGTGCGGCGATGATATTAACTACATTGGCTCTGATGGCCTCTTTAGCTTGAAATTGAGTTCCTTCTCAGTCACCCCGAGGAGCTACCTCTGAATGGAAGGTGCATAGCGGTCACCGCTGTTCATTAGAGATAAACTCACCCCGCCTAATGGACTTGTCATGATTTATACTGCCTCGTGTAGGCTCCATCTCTTTGTTATCCACCAACCCACCGCCAAACCATGATATTTCAAGGGTATTGCTACCATGCCTGATTGTAAAATGAATACAAAAAAATCATAACATATTCCTGGAGTTAAATAGTCTCCATATCTTAATGAAGGATTATACCGTAGCTCCAAAAGTAAAATCATGAGTCATGGCTCTCAATGAATATTTACAACTAAATTTGAATTCGTAATGACTAACAGTTACACAATTAATTGGCAATGGTAATGATTTGATCAAATGCTGCCACGTAATCTACACTCTTAAAGGATCCGAAAATCAGAAGCAGAGGAGGCGTGAAATCATGTGGTTGCTGTCGGATTATTTCATGTCATCGTGTGTTGTGCTATTAGAGATGGCATTTTGATAAAACACTGAAACGATTACGAATGTTTTTGTTTGTTATTTTAGCAGGTAAGACCCACTGAGCTACGAGATAGCTCGTTTTCAAAAGCGACCTGGCTATCACAAATGATAGCTCAACGGAAGTGGCTTATCATGTCGAAATTTGTAGCAGTCAAATACACTCAACAAATGTTTCGAAATGTGGAGGGAAAATCCGGAGGACCCGCAGGGAAAAAAACGACCACGGGGAGAGAGAAAACATGCAAACTCCAAATATACAGGCGTCGTGGTCGGAATCGAAAACCCACGACCTGATGCATGTATACCAGGAGAGGTAGTTAACGTCTTGCCACCGTTGTGCCCCAAATCTCCGAATGGATGTTGCTGCCTTCGCTGAGAAGGGGGACATGGCAACGAATGCTCTCGCACGTTCGTCGTGCTTGCACAGGACGCACGACCTCTGGATCATTCGCGAGCGAATTGAAACCTGCAGCCATTTGGCCATTGGCGAGACGCCACGAAAGCGGCGCAATTAAGACTTCAAAAACGAAACACGAAAAATAAAAACCGGCAACACAGGAAAGTAATTCAGAAATTGTAATCCGACAAAGTAATTGGACGACGGGTGGCTTGGTGACCCCTTTTAGCACCTCGGATGTTGCGGATTGTTTTTTTTCGCGTCCTGTCCTCTTGTGACCTCTCTTTCTTTTTTTTTTCGATTTAAAGCTTTCGTGACTGCAGGGATTCATCTTCTTGGTTCTTTCGGTAAAGTCACGTAGAAGGAAAATAATAAAATATTAAAAATAAAACATAATTAAATAATTCTCACGACGTTTCGGTCTGTCAAGTAGACAGAGTCAGACTCTGTCTACTTGACAGACCTGTTCTCCACCTGAAGACGGCTGCTTGCGTTCATCCGCTCGTCGTTTCCCGCATGCGAGTGGGGCGACGCCGCGGGGCTGCGCCCAGAAGATGGGCAGCAACCCGTTAGAGCTGTGCCTCAACGTTCTGCGCTGCAGCGCCAACGGCAGTCGCCCTGCCGACACGCCTGCATGCCTGCTTACCTGCCTACCTATTGTCTACCCGCCTACCATCATACCTGTCTACCGTCCCAACTCTCCGCCTGCTTAGGGGTCGTCCATAAATGACGTCACGCGATATTGGACGATTTTTGACCCCCCCCCTCGTCACACGGCGTCACAAAAAGTCAGACCCCCCCCCTCAAATATGACGTCACAAAGCTTTGCCCCCTCCCCCCAAAACCATATTTCTATCGCTTAAAACTATTGCCATTGTAGTGCGTATTTAATGTGGCGCTGCACTCTGATGTTGTAGGAGTGTTGTTATAACAATTAGTGTTGTTATAACAATTCTATATTTATTTAAAGTTGCGCATTTTGATGTGACGTCACATTTCTCAACCCCCCTCCCCCCTCGTCACACATCATCACAAATGTCTGACCCCCCCCCCCTTTTAGGTGCGTGACGTCATTTATGGACGGCCCCTTACCTTCCTACTTGTCTACGTGCATGTCTACCAGTCTGCTTACCTTCACGTCTGGCTGCTTGCCTGCCGACCTAACTGCCTCTCCGTCTCTATACCAATCTACCACCTGGCTACTTCTGCTCCTGCCTGTGAGCTTACCTAACTACCTACGTGCCCCTCCCCCCCCCATGGATGTCCACCTGTTTGCCTATGTACAGCACTGGTGGTGCAGTCGTGTGTCTCGGTGAAAATTGTCTCTCAATGCAGTGGCTCGGGCACTGTGTGCAGAAACCGCCCTTGGCCTTTTAAAAGTCTAGTAATTCACCGCATGCATTTGTGAAAGAATGTTGATATTACACATACATAAAAAAAATTATACCGTCATCTACTGCCATAATAATACATCCATGCAATATTTATCGCTGCCATTAGAAACATGATAAATGTACAGACGCATTCAGACCACGTGGTATTTAGTCACGAGATGAGGTTGAGTAAGGACTCATGTGCTCTGTGGCGTAAAACCATCGTGCTGATTGCCAGGAAGGAATTGCTCCGTTGTAAGAACCGAAGCGCCGTGACAAATCTCTTTTGTTAAAGAATCGTACGCTTCTGGCGGTAAATGGGGGGGGGGGGGGGAGACTGATAACTGTTTGCCGACAGCCACGGACATCGGCAGGTTTAATGTAATGTGTTATCTAAAAGCAACACAAACGCGCATTTTTAAAATCCATTTAACTGCAAATGCAATGTTTGCTCTAGAAAGAATGTCACGTCTTAAATGGAGCGTCTGGGTTTCTCTGAAATAATAAGTACATGGGGCCCTTCATTTAACATGGCCACAGTGTTAGTGAATGCTGGATTGCTCAAATTATATTTTGAATGTCATTTTGAGTCAGCTGCATACCTGCAATTGAATGCAATTACATCTTTGTTCGCGAGTTTACATGATATAAGAGCAGTTTGTGGCTATGGGTTGGTTGCAGTGTCATCTTTATTTTACCTCTTAAGCATTCAAGTGTTGTTGCAGGTGTAGAAACTAGTTATATATTGTGTACTGTATATCCAAACATGTAGATGATGAGAAAAACTGTCAGAATTTTTGAATCGTTTCAAGGTTGGTCAATAATCATAACTGACAGTGTTTTCCCAACCGTGTGTGTGTATGTGTGTGCGTGTGTATATGTGTCTGTCTGTGGGAAGCGGTGGTGTAGCAGTTAGCGCGGCACATATATGATTCTACGACCAGCTAGCTGTTTTCTGGGCTTAAAATGACGACTGTCCTGCAATATTTGAGCTTGTTCGTGTGTTTGTCTCGGCACGCTGGTGTAGGCACACTGCCCGGTGCTCAAAAGGTGTGGCACTTTTGGGAATTGGATCCGACAACTTGTGTCCGCTGGCGACCGACGCACGGTGAGACACTTTTTGGTGGCTTGGTGTGGTCAGTGCGTATTTTTAAAAAATCGTGGACTGGAGGAGCAATGGGCTGGTTTGCTCATGGGAGGTCTTGAAGCTGAGTGGACCTGGCGATGTTTGTTACTGACAATGTTAGATTCTCTGGTGGCGGCCCATGATTGGAAGCTGCTTTGGGGCAACATCAATGTCCTGGATATATCGAATGTCCAGGACATTCATTCTGACATTTTGATTAAAATACTGGTACCACAAGAGATCAAGAAA